CAGAGCTGAGGGCAACAGTCGCTTCACTTACAGTGTGATGGAGGATGGATGCACGGTAAGACATGCTTTAACTAATCATTATTGCATAGTTTTCAACAAACAGTGCAGTTCGATCTGGAATGCAAAGTGCTAAAAGCTAGACACTATATTGATAATCTTGCATTTTCTCAGATTGGAATAAGACACACATCAAACCAGCTGGTACTTGGTCTGAAATGTTTTTATATCAGTTATGTACATTAATTATTCACAATATATAAACTCAATAAACAAATCACACTGCACTGTGTTGTGACTGTTGTGATAATATATAAACAACAGTGTGCCTTATTTATGCTATAGGGAAAACTTTTGAAAATGAGCTGAGTGATCTGACATGGCTATGTGGTTCTTTTCACAGAAACACACAGGACAGTGGGGCAAGACAGTTTTTGAATACAGATCACAAAAGACATCTCGACTGCCTCTTGTGGACATTGCCCCCATGGATATTGGTGGAGCGGACCAGGAGTTTGGAGTTAATGTTGGCCCAGTTTGCTTCTTGTAAAAAAGGAGGACTAGAACAAATGAAAAGTGGGAATAAAAAGTGAAAAAGGAGCATGCTTCAGTTAAAGGAGGGAAGAAGGAGAAAACTAAAACCAAGACACTTTTAATGGGACTTTTTTCTAAATAAAAGTGCGTTCTCATGTTGAACTTCGTAGGATATCTGCACTGAATGGCACCAGCAACTGTCATCTGTGATTCACACATCTTTGCTTCAGTAAGCTCAGCGAACCCATGGACCCCAGCACTCCCCACGCTTCTGCAGGATAAAATACGAACGCATGAAAGAAGGAGGGAATATGAGAAGAACAAGAGTCATATGGGAACACAAACGAAATGGGAAAAATAATATACTGTTATTTATTTATTGTAAAGGTTAGAGTCCAGGGTGTTTGGACTGGAGTTTTAATGCTACATGTAATACCTACACTCATTTAGTAACCATATGAACGAACTGCTTCTCATATATCCCCTCCTTTGCAACCATGATTTTGTCTCATTTAAATTCAAAATGTAGCTTAAAGAAACTTCCTGTTAAATCTTTAACAAAATTCATTGTGTATTATAATAAAATCAATGGTGCTATTGTTGTAAAACAGTTTGTATTTTTGACAAATTCCCCTTTTGTAGTGATTTGTATATATGTATATACATTACATATATATGTATATGCGTGTATACATATATAATTTCTTACTGCCTACCAAATGTTATTACTTGACTCTATTTTCTTGTTCACACAGAATGTGTCTAAAATAGAATCAGTTATTTGGAACACTAAATGTTAATCACTTTGTTGATTATTTAAAGGTCACCTGCCTACCTCATGCTAAAATTTTCACATTCAATTTCAAGGCTTTAAATCCCATGAAATATGTTTACAAACCCATTTTAATTGGTTGCTGACACCCCTTCTGCTGCCCACTGGTTGTTGTGGTAGTTGATCTTTGGTCTGAACTTTCTGCCATACACCACCCCCTGTCTCCCCCATGACACTCACTGATTTTACATAAACACTGCAATGGAAGAGCATTATGGTGGTAGTGGTCCAGTTCTTCAGCCAGCACAGAGGGCTCATTCATGTGAGGTTGTGTACATTTTTATTATTAATAATAGTATTATTATTGATAATAATAGCCTAATAGCTTATTAATTATATTATTATAAAAAAATATATTGACTTGTTTTTGTTACGTTTAATTATTGTAAATTGGAAATAAAAGACAAAACTAAGTAACAAACAGAAGCTTGTTTTATTTTTATTAAAGTGACTTGGGAAATGCTTTTGTCAGTTCACTATTTGTCAAACTTTTTTTTTTTTCTATTTTTTGATCCCTTCACACCTACTAATTGAATATTTTCTAGTGATGCCCCTACACAATTTTCCCTTAGGCTGGGAGTATGAAAAATATATTGTAAAATTTTAGTGGACAAAGTTGGCTTGTTTTACAATAAACCATATTTTCTGTGCAAATAGATGACAGAATAGAGATGGAAACTGCACATGGTGCAGACCTGCTATAGCTACACTCTTTCCTCTGCATTTGTGCAAATACAACACCAATAAAACTAGAAACCTTCCTAAGAACATAACAGAAAATGATTTGTGGTCTTTATTTTTAACAAACAAGTAAATCAGTGACACAAAAACACACAACACTGAAGACACAGTATTTACAGAAAACACACACAAACAACAACAAACTTTTTTCTTTTGTCTGATGGTGCTTCATTACATTTGTAATGCACGTGTCAAGTCAAAAAAGACCCGCATGGAAAATGCAGAGAACCAGTCTCATTCACAGGCAATAAAGCCAAGAGGTAATAATTAAGAGGAAACCTGGAAACGTGAGACAATCACCACATAATTGTATGGACACTTCTAATTTACCGTAGATCTTACTTTGATCCTTTGTCACAAGCGAATATACCACATTGAGATAATTACAGAAAACAAGACAAGACATTTTCAGGGTTGCACCTCATCTCAATGTTTCTGATAGGTTACTACATATTTAAAAAAATTGTTGTTTTATAACTACTTGTGTTTATCCCATTAGTAGGACACAGCACAAAGACACTAACCCATTTTATTCACTACAGAAGGCCATTTACCTTCCACTTGTAATCCGGGACAATGGAACGAAACTGTAGAATCTGGAGAGAATCTGAGCCAGTAACAAAGGAACAAAATACAGACTACACTTTATAACAATCTGCTATTTAATTTATCTAATTTTGAAATGACAGCACATACAAAAAACATTTCCTGTGTCTTAGATATTATGTACAGTATAATGTCTTATCAAAAGATAAAGATTGCAATTTTTTGTTTTTTGTATATCATCTAAAATAAGAAAACTATCAAAAAGCTGCACAGCTGTTTTCAATTTAAACTTCAGTAAAGCCATTTAGCAGCATGTTTAGCCCTCTTTTGATAGAGAGCAAAAATATGATCTACTAGGTCTATTATATACCATAAGTCATACAGTAGTTCCAAGATCCATTTGAGGTACCTGAGTTGTTATGAATGTGTATGAATTAACTGTCAAGTAATTCCATTACTGAGTTGATTGGAGAGTGATTCATTGCCTGTTGATTACTGAGCATAACAGGTTTATGTGCACTGCTGTCATTCTGAAATCTACTGGATGTTTTCCAAATGAGGAAAGCCTTTACTGTTACTATTTATAACATTGCACAATGATGTTACATTAGTCACACAGCACAGTCTCCCCTTTGCTCTACAGGTATTGCCGCAACAAACATGATTACAGTGAACTGAAGTGAAATTAATAAATGCACTCGTTAATCCAATCAGCTTGTGCTTTGCTGAAATGGATGTCAACCTTCAGTACTATTATTTCACCCAGTTAATCAATATTGATGATTGTATTACGGTCTCAATATAATCGTTAAAGACTAAAAAACTTTATTAATTATAACAGTGACAATTTTTTGAGTAAAATAAGTAATTTCAATTCAATCTAGACCCCAAAAAAGAAAACCTTAATACAAGTGAAAGTGCATTTTAAGTGGCTGTTGTTTATGTCATATTGGCTGTAATTTACCATTGAGAAAGTTAGATTTTTATAAAAGCAGGTAATAGAGTTGAAGAAAATTAAGGATTTCATTGTTGTCTGGTTATGGGGTCAGTAATCATGAATTATCATGAAAGTGTCATGTTTCTTTCCACAATGATTGTAATACAAAAAATGTATGTTGCCACATCCCTAGCTACTGCTAACATTTAAATATGATTGCACTAGACAAAACAATTTACACTTTCAAAATCAGGGCAGAAAAAAATCACATGGCGACAGTATGATGGTATATTCATCATAACTATTTAAAACGATAATTCACCAAAGTTGAATTAATATTACAAAAGTATAGGAAGTTGTGAGGTCATCTGAAATCCAATCATATTTCCTCACACATATATAGACAAATGGGGTTGATTCTGATCCAGATTCTTCAAAAACAAAAAGCACTTTCAGCCCTAATGGCTTGCTGAGAGTAAATTTAGAGCAAGTCTACTCTACTGAATCTACTGATTCCTCTTTTGAGGAAAGCTAATAACAAATGATCCAAAGTCGACAAACATAAACAAGAGAATACTGCGTTCCACTACACAAAGGTACACAACATGAAAAAGCAACCTAATTGGGTAAGGGAGGACACCTTGGCCTATGTGATGTCTTTTGTCTTGATGAACACAATTCACCTGATTAGTGGTTTCCATTATAGAACAGCTAGTCAAAGAGTCTTAATTAGGGGCTAATTTGTGGCTATAGCAGCTTGTCAAAGCCTGATCCCATCAGATTTCAGAAGCTAAGCAAGTCCGGGGCTGGTTAGTACTTGGATGGGAGACTCCTGGGAAAATCAGGTGCCACAGTGGGGTGCCAGTCGTTGTGTCCTGAGGCAAGGCACTTCACTCATATTACCTAGTATGAAAGTGGTGTGCACATGAGTGATGGTGGTGATCAGAGGGGCCGATGGTGCAGATTGGCAGCCTTGTTTCTGTCAATTTGCCCCAGGGCTTCTGTGGCTACAATAGTAGCTTACCATTGCGGAGTGTGGAGTGAATGAATAATGCTCTGTGAAGTGTCTTTGAACTGATGCATTATTATAATAATAATTATTATTATTATTAGTGATAACAAGGAATTGACATAAAGTGATCAGATCAAAAATACCACAGAGGAGGGCACAGTGAAGTTATACAGGGTTCTTTTGCCGTTACTTTTTGGATATTAATATTTGATCTTTTATCTTCTATCTTGGTACAATTTTATTTTTGGGTGAGTAAGGCGATAACATCAAACAAATATCTATCAAACCATATTCAAATTATATCTGTTATGTTTAAAATTAAATAATAAATAACTTGAATAAATAACAATTAAATAAACAAACTGTATATAATTAATATTCACAATGTTTGGCCACAGTGGAGGCTATTTGAAAGGGATCAGTGCGAGCTGTTTTATTTCACTCAAAAGCCAGTGCTAAGGGTATCTGTCTCTGTGGGGGTTTTGCGTGGACTGGGCAAACTCTTTAGATATTCCAAATGTCTCCGGGCCTCTGCTTGGTTCTGCCTCACATAGTATACAACATATACAATGACCATGAAGAACCACACAAACATGGTCACTAACATGGCCACATCAGTGGTCTTCCTCTGAAGGCTGCAGAAGTTGACTCCAGAATCCAAAAGTTTTACTATAGGTTGTCCAGCGTGTTCACCCAATGAGCTTGGATCATCCCAGCGACTTCCCTCACCCATCCCTCGCACTGAGCTTTCACAGATGATGCCATTGACTGTCTCTGGCTCCAGATTGAGGGTCTCCATGAGCTCTTGCAGGGTGCAGTCACAGTGCCAAGGATTATGGTACAGGCGTGTTTTGGCCCGGGTGGAGCCAAAGTCATCCCTGCTGGCCTGCCTCAGCTGGTTATGAGACAGGTCCAAGAGGCGCAGCTCTGGCCCCAAATGGCGCAGCGCCCCAGTGGAGAGTGAGTCAATACGGTTGTGGGCAAGATACAGGTCCCGCAGGTGCACCAGCTCACTGAAGGCACTCTCGGGAATTGTCCGGATGTAATTACGTTCCAAGTGAAGGGACACTGTTTCTGGAGGAATGTCCACTGGGATTTCATAGAGTCCAGCATCCATGCAGGACACTGTGGCTGTATCCCATTCACAGCTGCAGCTTTCAGGGCACTGGGAACAAACTGGTCTCCATAGAACCAAACATATGTACAACAGGCACAACCAGGAATGCACTTGATTTTTCCCTTTGACTTTGCTGATGTTGGCACGTCTTTCCACACACCAGCGCGTGCACATGGCCTCACCATAGCCCTCAGCCACACTGGGGCCTGAACACGCAGCCACAGTAGCACAGTCTGAAAAGTATAGGAAAAAAAGTTTATACAGGTCAGGACATTGCTTTCAGTTGTGTTTTTTTTTTTTTTTTCTTTAAATTCTCTATATATTCTATAAACACCACATGTGGCAGCAAATGTGGCAGAAGACCATCCAGAGGAAATACACTGAGACCTTCCAGAGGAAACACTTTGAACCATTTTCTCACCAACCAAAACAACAGAGCAGAGTATGAGGGACACTGTTCTCATGCTGCAGGACAAAGAGAAGGGACACTTTTGGTTCTTCCTCTCCTCAAAATGTCTTTACAGAGATCTGCTGACTCTACCTGACCAGTCCTCCTGTTAAACTGCACTGAGACCTTTGAGATACAGAGGCAACTGAGAAGCACAGTGGAAATGTTGCTGCAGCAAAACTTGAATTTCTCTCTGGATCAATAAAAGCTCTCTCTCTCTCTCTCTCTCTCTCTCTCTGTCTCTCTCTCTCTCTCTTTCTCTCTCTCTCTCTCTCTCTCTCTCATATTCCTATATTAAATACTGTATATCTTGAATACGATTTACTTTAACCAAAAACAATGGTAATTCCTAAACTGCATCTATCTTGAAGATATATATTGCACCTTTCATAATAATCCAATTGAGTTCATAATTTGCATAGTGTAGAGTTAATGTTTTGTAACAGGCAATGAACATAATTGCTTTTCATCACTTAGCCACATCTGGAAAAATGACATCTATTTTCCATTTTTTCCCAGGATATAGAATCCTGCAGTGGAAAACATAACGCTTTCTCTCCCTGCCCATGCAATCAAAATAAATGCAGAAGAAGATTATGATGTTAGGGACGGAGAAAAAGGTCAGTGGGTAAATCGACAATGAAATGAGTTTAAGCAGCTTTATCTGATTTGGCATAGACACAGTGTAAAACAATAATACGACATGTGCAATAAAAATCAGACCACTATTCCTGCTGCAGACTATTTTTTTTACATTACACATAATATTATTTACATTTGGTGATGCTGCTTTGTAATAAATTGCTTTGAAAAGAATATTAGACAACTTCTATTGATGCAGTTGAATGTATTATAGCTCATGAGCAGCAACGGTATTCAACCTGCTAGTTTTTTGTTTTTTTTCAGAATCCTTATATTTATTGCATAGATACATCATAAAATATTATTATCACAATCCCTGCTGCTCTAGTGTACTCTGTTTTTCCTGTCACTGCCTTCAAACCAGGAGGAAAGCATCACATTACTATAATTGATACATGCTCATCACATTTATTGTACTATTTATTTTCCCATGGTGCCACAGTCCCTCAATCATACTCAGTGGGAGAAGTGGAGCAGGCACATTGTGGGGATGCAGCTCAGGATCGATGCTTGTACTATTGTCCGTGGGACTATTAACAGCAGGAACATCAATCCTGCCAGAGTCCAGCTGTGTCAATAAGTGGCAAAACTGGAGAAAAAATGTAGTGGCAGTCCAGTTGATAATATGGAAGATGGGAGGCAATAGCCAGACAAAGAAGACTTAGGTCAACACATTAATGACATTATTAATTTTATGTGGTAGATGGATGGTAGTTCATCTCTTGGGCAGCTATTATATTTTTAGAACAATTTGTTTGCAGAGGTAACAACCACAAACCAGTATTGTTGTTCTCAACTAAAGCTGAATTTAATCAACAGCCCTGCTTTCAAATACACAATGGGATCTGCTACCATTATTCCTGTCCCTGTTTAGAGCGCACACACGTAAGTGGTAGACTACAGTGGCCTAGATTCCGGAGATAGCCTAAAAGTGAGTCCTGTTTGACAATTTGCTGTCCAAGTGTATAACAGGATTGAGATGAGAATGTAGTTAATTTCCACAACAAATGATGCATGACAGATGACAAGACTGCTGGTAGTGCTAGGGGAAATACTAGTGGGTTATAAAGTACTAGTAAGTTAAAATTATTTTATAAGTTAAACCACACAGTTAAAATCACATGTTGAGATAAAGCTGCACCAAGCCTCATTAGTCCATTATCATTATCAGCATCATCGGCTACACAGTAAATGGTTATAGTAAAGTGGGTCATATAACTTTTTTACATAGGCTTACTTAATTACTTTAGGTTTATAGACAACCTTTTAAATTGCGTTTGTTTCAAAGGTATGAATAACAAATCGTAGGCTACAACTAAATCTGGCAGGGGAAACTTTGACCCATGCAAGCAAAGCTCCACATTTAAATGGACTAAATAGCGTTGGCATAAACTTACGTGCAAATCCAAGAAGTTGCCTTCAGATGTTCATCTGAGAGCGTTAACGATGTTTTCTGTTTTGCTCCGGTAAGAACTGCACATGTGCGCGCGTGCGTCCGACCGTCGGAGGAGATGATCTGCGGCGCGTCTGCAGTTTGCAGTCCGCGGATGGATTCATGAACGACTGTTGTACAGGAGCAGATGTCCCCGCCCTCTGTCTTCACACAACCACTGTACAACTGTCTCTCTCTCTCTCTCTCTCTCTCCTCATCGCAGTATTCATCTTACTGTAGCCAGTGTGTAGAACGTGAATTTTTAATAATTATGATGCATCATAATGTCTAATGTGCTATGGATTCCAATGTAAGCAAAAGCCATTTGTAAAAGCGACTGAATTGTTGCAGTCAAATTTATGTGCATATTTTAATGACATCCTGAGAGGCTCTTGTATGATAATAAGCGAGTAGAGTGACAGTGTATGTGTACACATTGTATGTATATATGAGCAATTAAAAAATAAGATAAGATTTATAAAATTAGATATATGATTTTATACCAAGATGAACATACTTGGGCAGCAAAATACTAAGTGCTTGATTGTTATAGCTCAAATATGTCATATTACAAACAGATGCAGAGGTTATAATGAGTTTTACACCAGGATTATATAAATAGCATCTTCACTATAGTTTTGTCATGTACGGTGTGCCATGTTCTATTCAATGGCATTTAATGTGAAGGTGAATGTGATTCTAAAAGGTTAAGCATTGTACTTGATGCCTGCAAATTTCGCATGCATGGAACAGAAAAAAAAACGGTCTGAATAGAGGTCGTAGACACTTCCCATGGTTACACATTATCATATAGATAACATGACCCTAAAAGACAACAATGACCTAAATAACCTGAATACGCTATGTAAGTTCAATATGATTAAGGATACTCTTAAGAGAAGTGCACAGCCGGAGTACTGAGGCACCCTGGGGAGAAGGCAGGGCTCTGACAGGCTCTTCACATCCTTTACTCCTCTGCCTCTCTGCTGCCTGATCTGCTCCTGTCAACGCCCAAAAAATGATGACAGTTCCACATTCAAGTCCTGTTGCTGCTGACGGCAGAATGCAGCTCCTTTTTTTTTGTAACCGATTTGCCCTTCAGCAACTGGATGGACTCTTTGGTCACCGGAGACACGATTGCTTTTTTATTTTTATATATATTTACCGTATATACATTTGTGTGTGTGTGTGTGTGTGTGTGTGTAAAATTACAACATCATAATTCAAAATTGTAGCCTGTATAAATCAGTCTATAAATATCATTAAAAAGAGATGGTAGAAAAGTTTTGAGATAGTTAGCTAATATTTATGAAATCAAGACTTTCCTGAAGCCATTGGAGATATTGGTCTAAAAAGGTAGACGATTGAAAATGAGTTCCAGGTGACAGTCAAAACATCTTGATTCCTAAAAGATAGTCAAGATGAATTTTAAGTCTTTTCTACCAAGGACCACTCCTGGACAAATGAGGGATTACACAGACTATAAAAAGTGAATGAAAAGGAAAAACTATTGAATATACAAGGATAATTTCCAATATTGTAATAAATCACATATTTACACACCCCTAATTTGTATTTATTATAAAGAAACTTAACTATAATTTTTAATTGGTATACAGGAATTAGTCTCTGAAGTCACCAGTGATGCACCTAAAAGGAAAAACCTTGTACACTCTAATGCTCGTCATTATGTGCACTATAGTACACACATGACAGACTGAGGCATAGACAGCTCAATGTAATGTTTTGTACAGTTTGATTTGCTTGATTTGACTGAGTGAGAGAATAGGCGATAAAGAAGCCGTGATGCAGTTCTTGTAACTAGCCTGTCATTCTCCTGGGATTGAATCCACTAACAACAGGTCAGGCTGGGGCCAGGTGCTCTGCTCAAGCTCTCGGTAGCCTTTTTTCCACTGTGCCACCAGCTGGGACTTGCAAGGGCTGTTGTCATGAAAAACTGCTTACGACAGAGGAGCTACAAAAGGTTCAGCCAAATGCAGCCTTTAGATAGCACTGTGCAAACAGAAAAGCAACCATGCTGACAAAACAAGTATTAAAAAAATGTTGCTTTGTAGGTAATTTGGGTAGGAGGATATGGAGTATACCAGTTCTATTCTGCTGGCTCTCTAGGCTGAGAGAAGCATTACACAATACAGAAAATAGAATGACAACAAAAATGCTGCAATGTTTTATTTGAAAGGTCTATTGCAGCAAAAAAGTTATATAAATTTGAAAAGGCAAAGAATATCCATGGGCTAACACAGATGACATCTTTACAAATATATCAGTCTTTAAAACTCCAGGAAAACCTGCATTCCTGAACCACAAAATATGCCTGGTTTTTGAAATGTTGTAATGATTTTTGTGAGTTTTGTACAGACACCACTAAATTGCTTATCACATCTTTATCATTTTACCTTACTTTTCTGTCTCCCAAAATGCCACTTTGTTGGCAGTGACTTCAGTACAAGCAAGGGGACAGCCGAAGGCATAACAGGTCTAGATTGAATTGAGATCTTGGCACAGGTCCCACACAAAACAAGAGCAATGTAATATCACTAATTGTGTTTGTGAAAGTGAAATGATGGATGTACAGATGATCTTATAATGCTCCAGTGAAACGGGTATAATAGGAATGGTTAGATGTCAGTTAAGAGTTGAGAAGAATTACACTTTTACACTTTGTTTGCAATGAAAGTTTATTTGTAAGAACTTTCATTATGCATTTAATTGCTTATAGTATTCAAAAAGGCATCGAATTTTAGACGTCTACAAAATCATCTCAGTTATTAAGTGTTGTTATAACAAGTACTTGGGGACATGGTCCAAATTTCCTTTTTGGCTGCCGAAATTGGCACAACTCAACAAAACAACATTAACTCTGGCTAGGGCACATATAATGCAAATGTACAATCCTTCCAATCATGACTAAGGACTGACCCCAAATACCAGATGTGGTGCTGGCAGTTCTTTCAACTTTTTCCATTTGCAGCTGCAGACTTGGCAGCGGCTTGCAGTGTCCTTCGGGCCATCTCTAAGGCTCCCTCTTGGGTCTTGTTGCCACCAATAAAACCACTCGCATGGACGAAGATGCACTCTTTAATGCCACTGAGCTCTGACAGAGCCTCATCTCTGACTCCACGCCACTCTTCCAACAGTGACAACCTAAAGCCAAAAAACAAAGTACTGTGTCAAGTTGAGATCAAAAACAGAATATTATGTTAGTTAAGTATAATTAGTTTAAGATTTACATGTTTAGGTGTGTACTGAGAATGTATTTATGCATATGAGAATTATTTCAAAGTAAGTACATACTGTACATTTGCACGAAGATGCCCAGTATAGTTTAGCCCACTGGGATAAACGTTTGAATAAAATTATGTTCTATGGCATTGAACTAATATATGGATTTTTTTTCACATTCAAATACAATTTCATAGAGTCTAGCCCTGTCACAATAATTACTATAGTGACTAATCATTACAAAAATGATAGTGGAACTATATATTTTGGGGCTCATTGCATGCACATCTTTTTGCAGTTTTGTACTGTAACAGAATAAGATTTGAAGTATAGAGGGCTGGATAAGTATCTTCAATGGCTAATTAGACTTTTTAAATTTTTACTGATCCACAAAGAAAATTATATGGACACAGTAACTCACACATCACAATAGATTATAATAACAAAGAGCAACAATATAAATGTAATAATGATTTTTTTTAAAAGTAGCAAAAATAGCAAGAAACTTGTGTCAAATAAGGCATTACAATATTATAACATTTGGCTTTTAAAGACACTGTATATTAATGTAGTTTCAAGACAATAATTTATCACATAATTTTCTGTAGCAATATATTGTGTTTCAAAATGTTATTATGACAGGCCTAGTAGAGATTTGAGAAAAGATTTTAAAGTATACATCAGCATACTTACTATAGTACATACTACCAACACCTGCATGACTTTTCTTAGAACGACAGGACAGTTTAAATCATTGACTGTTTTATGACCTATTCTGCAGTGCATTGGAATTTACTTTCAGATTTCTTGAATCGCCATAACCCATTGCAGAAGTTCAACCACCATTTACAGAACAATAAAAATCAGCTCTATTATTCTCCAGTAATGTGGAAAATAACCCACTAGTACAATCATTCTGGTACCTGATGGATGAGGTACCAAACTCAACAAGCAATTGTAAAAAGTGAAGCAAGATTGGCTCTACAAAATGACCTTGACAGGGTTTGTTCAGGAGAATGACGAAATTAATCAAAGCTCTGCCAAAAATGTACCTAAGAATTAGAATTAGTGATTTAGGATGTAAATGTTCACACCTATTGGTTTTGGCAATAAATGTAGTTTGTTCAAATAATAAATTACAGTGTTTATGTATGCAATTAAACAAAAAATTAGTAATTACAAACAAACGCCAGACTGAAAATGTTGTCAGTTACTGTCACTGCTCAAAATTACCAGTGTTTTGTTTTAAATATATGACTTGTGTCTTTATGTATATTATACTTTATGTACAATTATGTGCCCTCAATGTTGTTGGCGGAAGGCTACCACATGAAAACACAGAGAGAAAGCATTGGCAACCCATAATCCCTGTTAAATGAATCAACCAATCAATAGCCTCACAGTATGGCTGGAAAACAAGCTCCAGGAAAGGTCAAGAGGGCTGGTAATGAGTGAAGGTGGAGGAGGAGGGGATGACTGTTGTTATGACAATGCTGGAAGCTCTGAATCTAATGATGACCAGTCTAAAAATAATATCACAATTAGCAAATTATTTTCCCTTGGGTGCAGGATCTACACATCTTTAATGAGACAGATACTGGCCATTATAGCATTGTATTCATAACATTCCTACCTGAAACAACACAACAGTAGATTTGAATAGGACACATACATCTGTAGATGCTCAAGAACGATTGTACTCTTTTATGTTGAGGCCTAATAAGATTATAAAAGCATCTATGGGTGCTAATGAAGCACACATTAACAATACTTAATAAAAGAATGGCCAAACTTCTTTCCTTGGCAAACTCAAGATGTATCAGTGAGCCATATGCTAAACATTTTCCATGTAAAAGTTAATTTTGTGATTTTAAAATCACTCAGCTAGGAGTGTACAATGAGGAAGACACCATGACTCAAAAAGAACATGGGCTGTCTGTCAATATTTTTTTTAATTTAGATGGACAAATATATGCATGTCATGTGATTTAGATGACAAGGCTGTTTGGAGTTTAAAAGTATCTTTTTGCATATAATAAAACGTAACTTGTAAACTTCTGACTTTGAGGAAATCGCAAACTCTCTGCTTCATTTTGGAGGGCAATTTAGAAATAAATAGCAATTCTTGCTGTCTAAAATCATAATGAAATGTTGTCATATGCCAGTTTCAGTAAAGTAACTAATATACAAGCTCTGACTGTGTATTTTTTGCTATATCAATTGCTATCAACCATCACCCCCTATCTACAGCACATGTCTAAAGAAGACCTGTTCTCGTCGTCTTTCTTTTGGAGCTCACATTTCCTTAGCAATGTGATCCTGATAAAAATAGAACCTTTCCCCCGCAGGTGCAGTAGCAGGGACACAGGTGATAACACCCCTTTGGCAAAGCAGACCCAAGCCTGCTGGGAAGAAACAGACCACCAGAGAAAGAGCCACCTGTACCCATGCATTTTATCTAAGCCATTGTCCCTGTGTCTCTGTCAACCGATTGCCATGTTTGCGTTACATTAAATATTTGAAATGTCCTGCGATCAAAACAGGTCCCTGTCTTTTTACTTGAAAGAGCGGCCGCCTGATGAGATCCGGCAGCCAAGTGGAAAATGTCCTGGTGGAGAGAACGGGAAAGCAGAGGGAGGGGAGGATAGAGGGAGGAGTGAGAGGTGAGACAACGAGATAGAAGAGAGTGTACGAAGGAGGGGAGGTGCAAGACTAAGAAACAGGATTAATGGAAAGAGAGCAAGAAAAATTGGAAAAGAGGAGAAAGAACGGTAGAGGGTGACTGTAATAATGCACAGACAGACATATTGTATAATGGAGTAAAGGACTGAAAAGATAATCAATAAGAGATGAAAATAGAAAGCAGAAGGCTTCACTGATTCAGGTTAAGGCGGAGTCAAAAAAACTCTTCACATCTTGCGGTTATTCCTAATGCATTGAAGAGGTCTCCTGCTGTTCCAAAGCAGAAATATACCAATAACGAAGTACGTCAAAACCACAACTCAAGTATCAAGCTGCCACAGGTAACGTTTAAAGAGCGTAGAGGTCACATGAACAAGTGAAGCTTAGACTTAGCGGGTGGCGTTTGGAGCTTACAGGAAAGTAGCTCATTAGAAATGTGCAGGGTGAGCTGGTCTTGGATACTACATTAGTAGGATCATATGGTTTGGATCAGCAACAGGAAAGAATCCAGACACAGCATAGATAGCATATTTTTAAGTAATTAAATTGTGGATCTGATCAAGTCAATTTCAGAGCAAGGTATGTAGCATATCATTTGACTTAGTTATTTGTTTCATTTCAGTGGAATAGTAATCATTAGATTGCCTCTTGTTCAGGTTTAGCAGGTAAAAATACTTTCCTTATACATGATTAAAGTGAAACAATACATGCAACATATAATTAAAATGCAGTAACACAATAACCATGAAGGATATGTGTACTGTCTGAAATTGCTGAGTGTGAGACAGCGAGACTAATGGCACTCATTCACTTCACCATTTAAACGGGGCAATCAGCAACTGTTTGCCTGAAGCAAGTGTGTGAGTGTTGAGTGTTGAAAATACTGAAAAGCACAAATCACAATCAATTGTTTTCCCCTCAGAAATCTGTAATTTTTACTAAATTAACCCAGGACACCAGTGGAGTGCACTCAATAGATTGTTCTTCAGTTTAACAAACAGAGAGGACTAAACAAGATGCTGGAAAAGGCTTGAAAGTTATACGAGACATTACTTTGTGGTCAATGGTAATTCTTTAGAGAAGAAGGGTGAGACACATTGTTCCCATATATGTAGTAAGGAAAGTGTGAGTGACTTTCCGGTTCCAGGTGACAGCTACAGTGGAGTGAGCTCTTGCACGAAAACTTTGTTTTGATAAGATTACAATCCTTCTCTGTCCACTTCTGACACAATTTATGGTTAAGGATTTGGATGCTGGATTCATACTGATAAAGGTTAGATAGCTTTGATGTTATTGCAATACCAGAGACTAAAGAAAACAAAATTTTTTTGGAAATAGAGAAGTTAAATCTGAAATGCGACTATTTATTGAGAATGTAGAAATTGAAAAAGTCAACAAATTAAAATTTTTAGGCCTGACACTGTATCACAAGTTGTGTTGGAAACCACATATTATGAATACAAAATTTAAAGTGGCCAAAAGTGTTGCTGTACTAGGCAAAGAAAGGCATCTTTTAGGCTCATAATCCCTTCACGTATTATATTGTTCTTTGATTTTGCCTTATGTGAGATATGGGGCCCAAGTATGGGTACACAGGTACAAAACTAACACTGAATCCTTATTTAAATTACAGAAAAAAGTAGTGAAAATTTTACATGGAGCAGGATATAAAGACATTATTCCTTAAGTCTAAAATCTTAAAATTGTAAGATTTAGTAGTATTTAGTATTTAGTAAACTTGAAAACACTGCAATTACTTTATAAAGCTAGACACAAACAACTATCAGAAAATTATTCAAAAGATGTTTTGTGATAGAGATGAAAGCCATAATTTAAGAAAACAGATATACTTAAAAAGACTATTCCTCCGAACAACACTGCCAAAAATGTGTGGGGTTGATTTATAAAAGACCTAAATAATTGCCTAAACTTAAACCAATTTAAACTATTGTACAAAAATAACATGTATTCAAAGTATGTTGAAGAAGGATAAGGTATAAAATAAGGGGGAAAAAAGGAAAATTAAACAATTTATCTTTTGAATTGTATCAAGCAATCAAAAAAGTAGAAATCTACATAAGCAATTACTGTGAATAAATTTACTAATAGCATTCAGTTAGTCACAGCTGTCAATATCTAGAATTAACAGGGGTAGGAGTTTTTTAAGTGTACTCTTCTTCCTTCTGCTCAACTGAAATGCAGCACAATGTCGTCTCATATTGATATAATATTTCATGTTGCTTAAATAAATGAACTGAAATGAAGAGTTCTAAACAAATTAATACAAAGGCTCTGGAGATATTAAACAAAACAGCTAGTGACTTTAGTACACTGACACAACTCCACTAAACTAAAATATCTTGATTAAAAAAATGGTAAAAGAGAGGAGTATATTTTTATTAGATTTATTAACTAATATACCATAGCCAATGTATGGAGAAGTTTCTCTAGTGTTGTGGGATATGTTTACATCCTAACAATTCTTTAGGGAATGACACGAAGAAAAGCTCATAACATTATGAGCTCCCCAAAGATTGCCATGAAAGACTTGTAGCCCTATGGTTAAGTTAAAGTACAATATTGTCAAAACTGTATAGTGTATGATGATTGTGACTTTTGTGTTAAAACACTAGCATGTACAAAAAAAACTAATTAATAAATTAATAAATGCTACTATAACAACTGTGCTGTGGGAACTTCATGTGTTATGATAGACAACTCTGATCACCTATTTTGGAAAGTGTTGAGACCGGCGGGAACACACTGGATCCTCCATTGACTGTTCTGATCCGGGTACAGGACAAACTTGACTGGCGACTCCACCTGTAGTTCTTTCTCCAGCACAAACAAATGTTCCTTCCACGGACATCCACCCTGAGAGAACACAACAATCTCACCACTGGGGTCCACCTGTAAACAAAACAAACATTGGGAATGAAGACAAGTCCAAGGCCAAAACAATCAACTATCAAAACATGTGTGTGAAATGTACAGTTTTCACCATCATTAGAAATTATGTAGTCCAGGGGACTAATCTATTTCTGCCTATAAGATTTTATGCTTGAATTTTGTACCTTGTGTCTATTCAAAACAGCCTCCTCCACAACAGTACGAGCAGGCAACCACGAAGATTTGTAAAAGTCCAAACGATCCAGGAACTCTTCTCCCACCATGGCCATAGCTTTCTTGAAGCCTTCCTGGTAGAAGAGCCCATAAATATATAATGTAAATAGAATTGCTAACAAAAGATATTTACAATGTGATAATATAAATTTACAAGATACAAGTTTATGTTTTTCAGTCATTATCATTATTGAGCAGTCAGACAATGGAATCAAAACTTTACTAACTGCAACAATGAAGGAGAGTAAAGGAACTTTCAGTTCCTTTACTCTCCTTAATCCTATTCATGTCATAAATTAATCCTAATCATGTCAGTGAAATGTTTTTTTTTTTTTTTAACAAATTGATCTCCTCTGAGCTAGCCTCCAACTACTAATATGGTCACAGCTCTTGGTTAGAGCCATCTCAGAAGATTGTTGCAAAATTTGATAATTTTCTCAAGGTAACTTAACTCATAGAAAAACAATGTAACAAACAATGTATTTGACAAATAATGTTTGTACATTTGTTCAATGTAAAATATATGATACACTGTGAATAACAGATTGCACACACCTCAGTGTCCTGGCTCTTGCTATTCCAGCGTGGGTTCAGGTAACCAACACGTGAGCTCAGCGTGGTGGAGACACTGTAGCGGGCCTCTCCCTCACACTGAGAAATGCCATTGTCTATAGCATCCACCTCTTCGACAAAATTTTCATAAAGCTGTTGTAATGGAATAAAAGTATAATTTGGTGCTTTAAGTATGATGTATTACGTTAGATGCTTTAAAGAATCATTGTTTCAGGTTTAAACTAACTTTAATTTCTGAAATCACCATCCACAAATGTGTAGTTTAGACATGGAACTAAGCTCAATGACCTAAGATTTAACTTTAACAATGTGTACAGAATCTGGCAAAAAAAACAAAAACTGAAGCCTATTTGATATTTCATTCACATGTACTGAAAACAGTAAAACATTGTCTACATATGACTTCCAATATTTTATGAATTAATAGTCTTTTCCACACTGAAATTTCAAACAAGAAATAAGTAAGTCATTTAAGTAGTGAATTTCCACAAAATTCTTTACTATAGTATAGGATGATATTTCTGAACACTAAGAAATGGCTATTACACTGATTTTGAAGCCATGACAAGAGATCCTGTTCCAGGCAGTGAAGTATGTTTTAGGTTTGTAAGTGCATCCTTTTCCCTCACCTTGTCATAAAGCACCTCCAGCTGCCGGTCACCCTCCTTCAGTTGTGTCAGTTGGGACAGCAGCTGCCGCCCAAAGTGCAGGTAAACCAGGCCAGCTGAGCTCAGCTTGGTCACCCAGGGCTTTTCCGGACACAGGCTATGGAAACTTTCTGAAAAGGTTCTGGAATAAATACAATATTTGTGAATTAATTAAATCAATAGATAAAAAAACACAGCTTTAGGTATGGTCTTTTCTCAAGTCAGTTTATTAGGAATATTTATATGGCCAAAATTAAGGTACACAGAGGCCTGTCCCAATGGTTCAGACCATGTATTAGTCTGACCATGTATTAACCACCCATGAATGATTTTGATTTTAGACCTACAGCACTAAAACTGTAGCACTGTGAAAGGAATGCCATTATCATACAAGGCAGCTCCACAATGGTCAATATTGTGAGCACTGTCTGTCATCTCACACACACCTGAATGACTATCAGGAATCAATATGCAGCTTCATGCAGAGAGCCTGCATCGATCCCAGAGAGACGAGAGTGTGAGCACACATAAACATTCATAAGACTCTCCTTAGTCATGTCCATTCCAGCAGTAAGCCTCTGTCGATCATTTAATACAAGCATAATTAGAATGCTTAGGCTGTAGCACAGCAGAAAGTAGATCGTCAAATGAGCAAGTGACATACTAGGGAAGTGGGGGGTAATCATAGCCACTAAAGGCTAATTGGCCAAACTGAGGCAAAGCTTGGATGATTACCAGGAGATGACAGCAAAAACGTGCAATGGGAAAATGACAGGTTGAAAAGTGCAGCACTAAAAGACTCAAAGCAAGAAACCAACAGTAAAAATTATAGAGTAAAATGAACACACTCCCTAAACCCCAATCAGACTCATTTAAAATTTGCTTTAAGAGTTACTAGATCTGAATGGTATTATTACCTCCGCCAAGGAGGTTATGTTTTTGCCGGCGTTTGTCTGTTTGTTTGTTTGTCTGTTAGCAACATAACTCAAAAAGTTATGGACCGATTTTGATAAAATTTTCAGGATTTGTTGGAAATGTGAAAAGGAAGAACTGATTTCATTTTGGGAGTGATCCGGAAGAAATCCTGGATTCTGGATCACTTTGAAATTTTAGTTAACATTGTGGTAAATGGGGCCAAAAACCCCATGAAATTTGAGTCAGGGATGGACAATGGGATCCTCTTTCATATTCCAAAGGCTGATCCAGATCTGATCCAGAAGACTGATTTTATCGCAATTTATATAAATATATGGGGGTAGTCCTCGGCAGAGGTCTGCACTCTCTGAGTGCTTTTCTAGTTTTCATTGCGGACAACCCTCAGCTTTATCATAATATAAGGAATGATGATGTTTCACAGCAGGGCAGGCCTTCGTGCCATTGCCTTGATCACTTTCTTTGAATGGCCCTAACAACTATTTCCTGCTATATTAATTTTCATTAGCTATTAAAACTAATGTAACTACCGATAGATAGCTTTGATTTATTGTGTTTAAGCGGTGGCAGATGCTGAAAGTAGCCTTTAATCATTTTCTTGTCCCAACTTCCTGGAATACCACAGCCCTCTTACATTCACCACTCATCACAACCTCTTCCGCTGGTGCATGTGAGTGACAGGCACATTCTCATACAGCCTCTGACAGTGTTGTGGCAGCCTCTGAGCCTCGTGCACCAGCAGCGGGGGGCATCCAATTGAAAAAAGGGCTAATTATCAGTAACCACCTGCCAGGAAGAGAACCCGTGGCATATCTTTATCTCTGTAACCATAAATGATATCTCAGATTGTCATCACATTAACCTGAAAAGGCACTTAGAATTGAACTAATTACAGCATGTGATCTTAAAAAAGGTTTTTTGACAATGTTTTGCAAAGGCTGTAATTTAAATTCACATTAAACACTATAAAAAATTACATCATTGTCTCAATTCACTGCATGCAAATATTACAGTGTACAGCCCGTTTAATGGTCATTGTGGCATTCCAAAACCACCTAAAAAATCTACTGTTTGTATTATGCTTGTCGTTTACCTCTGGTGGTGATCATAACGATGGATTTTAGGATTAAACTCTCCTCCAACATCCACAACAATATCACACTCTGCCAGCTTTGCCGGGTCCCGGGTACGAACTATTTCAGCATCCTGAGGAAGGCAAGTTAATATTAACCCAAACATTAAAGGTACACCAGACAAATTTTCTGTTAAAAAGTAACATGGCAATGCCAATGTACATGGCAAATAATTATGTCATAACAAAGTGTATAAAACAACACTACACTGTGTGATAATAAATTCCTACAACATAGAATGATGCTGTGGAGAGCAAAACAAATAGCACACTGCACTGACAATACAATAGCGCCATCTTGTATAGTATTTTGTAAGCACAGTTGAGATTGACACGCACACAAACACAAACACAAACACACTTAATTGGTGAACATTTCACTTTAACTGGGTAAAGAAGAAATCTATACACTGAATGTGTAAGTGGGGTTTTGTGAAATATAAGACAAACAATATTCCCGCCAAAGTTACGCCAATGCCTGTAAGAATGAATCCTGCTTTGACCCGTCGTACAGTATTGTACCGATGTAGCGTGAAGTCAATGGCCATACCTTGTACTCTGCAAGCTGGCGAAGGAAGAAACAGGCGAGAACCTCGTCACAATGAAAAGTGCCGTTGTGAGTACCTATTTTTTTAACAGTCATGTTGTCGGTGCGGAGTTTCTTTGCTTCACTCGACATATATCGATATTGTATGAAGATGCTACGATTAAGTAATATCGATCCACTTCTTACAGCTTTTCGGAGTAACGTTATTATATTCAAAGCCTTGCTACTGCCTAGAGATATGGCTACAAAATATAGATTTATGGAACATAGCATAGGGACTAAAAGCAGACTTGCACCCACGCGTGAAACCTGCCGGTGACGGACAGATTTCAAAGGCGTACTGCTGCTGGTCCGTCGTTCTTAGCAACCGGGTCAAACAATGTTTAGCAGAAGTGACCGAGGGCTGGTTGGAGCAGGCCATAATCTGCTTTGTTATCCACCACCATACGCATCAGAACCCTCACAATTTTACACAAAATATTCTCCAGATACACACGGTAAGGTCCGTGTTGTGATCACTAAACTAAACTGGATCAACTGTCTTTTGAAGATTGAAGGCCTGATAAAATTACATTTTCGGCCACCAGGTGGGGACGTGGGACTATATCGAAACCTTAATCGCAACGCGTACATTTGAATCCTCTCAGAACATGTGTTTTATATTTTTATTTTATAAAGAGAGCGTTTTGCTCAGATGATCATTCAAGCAAAAACCCACTCTCCCTGATATTTATTATAACATTAGGACAAATAGGATAACAATAAACAAAAAATCTGCGACAATCAAGACTAGATTAGAATATTCTATGTTAGGCCAAGGGTTCCCTGCGAGATCAAGTTATATCATATTTAATATATAAATATATAATATCATATTTAGTCAAATAATGTTTTGTGTGGTTTAAATTCACACAAAAAAATCTAAATAAAGAAAAGATCTCGCCACGACTCCATACCTAGGGCATCAAACTCTGTGGAAAGCTCACTCACTTTAATAACTAGCTATAGCTGTAATACGTTGTACTGCATAAGCAACTTCCTTTAGAATGAACAATGATCTGACAAAGTGGGCTTTGTGTAATATGATAATAAGTGTGATCTAAAATGCTTGCTGTAAAAGATCTAACAAATAGCCTACTAGTCTAATCTTTGTATAAATGTTTTAGTTGGCTATAGGCTAAGCGTTATGATTATGGACAACACCATGTTTAGGCACTGCATTCAGTACCATGGACAGCGCAGTGCACTGGCAGTTTAAAATGTTATTAAATATTTGGTTGTTGATTTTTCACATTTCACAAATTTCTGTCATAATTTCACATTTATGCAAGCTTAATGACAATAATAGTTCAAATTCAGTAGTAGTAGTAGCAGTGAACTATACAGCTCAAAGTAGTAGTAGTAGTAGTAGTAGTAGTAGCATCAGAAAAATAAGAGTCATAGTCACAGCTCTAAATAGTGTTGTCAAAAAATAAAGCAGCATACTAAGAGATGCTAAACCTTTTATCAAAATTAAACACTAATTTGAACAAAATTGGACCTTTCTTGAATAGTTTCCAAATTAGAGTTGTGTGGCAACACCAAAGAAACAACTATAAGTTAGTGTTAAAAGAAAAGAAAAGAAATTAAATTGTGTTAAAAATTATGTACTTTGTCATAACTGGGGTATTTCATTCAGTATTTTGTATCATGAAATCACGTTTGAGAATGCAGAGTGACAACACTAGCTCTAATATAAGAAGCACAACAAACTTGCCCTCAACAGCACTGACTGGCTGCTGTTGAACCAGACCACGTTCCTCATTGGCTATCCTTGCACCATGAGATATACTCAGAGGAAGTGGCAATGAAACGTCACCAGGCTTGTGATTTTCCTCGCTGCTTCCAGTTTTACACACAGCAATGATGGGAAATAAGCCTGCCCCAACCTACCTTAAAAGGCAGAGCAAGGCTCGGGTCAATCAAAATCAGTGCTTTGGCTTCGGCTGAGAATATACGTCACATTCACCTGTGAGAGCAGTTTTTATCGGCTGTGCACAGTAAATCAAAATGGCTCTTTGAATATTCGGTCAATATCATATTGAATTCTTTTTACTTTAGCTTCTGTAATTCAAGTCTTGTTGAGTGGGTGAAATTAAATGGGAATTTGCTTAAGCTAAAAATAGTACAGTGTTTGATAAATACACTTGCTCACTGGCTTTCTGAGAAATAAATTGTACAACTTAGTTTAGTTAAAATCTTTAATGCTGTTGTGGGAAAAGCACTTGTGGTCTTAAAACTGCCTTAAGGTTCCACAGAAATTATGTTGTTGTTTTGTTTTGGAAATTCTTGCTGAGAGACTGTTTTCTTTGTTCTTCACTATGTTTTGCCCTTAGTTAAAATATTCATTAACATAACTGTTTCCCCCAACCAGTCATAATGAGATCCAAAGTGACTTGCCTGTAGCTAGAAGACAGGGCCCCCAAACAAATGCCTAAAAATGATCAACATAATTACAAAGCCCTTTCTTGTAACAGCTGCCGAGATGCCACACTCAAGGGCATTTGGGGAAGTGTCGTTAATCCAATGATAATCTTGAGCACAGTTTACACATATTATCTCTTTAATTACTATGTGGACTGGGCAATTATACCATCACAATTACATGGCTGTAGTTTACTGGCACAATAGCTTTTGTAATAGATGCCCTTTATCAGCAGGGCAAACATTTAAGTAATGCCCCCAAAATATACTCTAATGGACATTCTATTGGTGTAATGAATTAATTAGACTTTCTAAAATAATTGGCCAGAGGATGGTAGATTTACTAGTAATTGTACATGTAGTTGAGGCTAATAATGCAGTATCCATAGTCCTATAGCAGTATACAGTATGTGTGTGTGTGTGTCTGTGCATTAAAATGCATAGAGCATCGCCTAGTGTGAGTCACCCCTCTCTTGCTCACACCACCAGCAGCATCTCACTGCAGTCACAGCTAATACTGACTTCACAGTGGCCAACTCAGGGTTTCTACGGCAACTAGAAAGAGGCTCCACCCACTCTCCACCAGCCTCCCTCCCTCCCTCCGTGTCTTCTACCCGCGATTCCTGGCAAAGACCATGTGACTTTCAGAAATGCTTCTCCTAACCTGTCTTCATAAGGGCCCACGCACAAAAGGCCGAGTGTGACTGAGTCAAGGACCTGCTTTATGTACTTGTGATGGTTAATTGTTATCATTATCATAATTGTATAAAAAACAACTAGAATCTTCACTATTGCTAAATGAGGTAATGTTTTTTTTAAAACACAACAAACCAACTGTGTTTTGACAAACATTATATTATGAGTTTTTTTTTTTTACTAATATATTCTAAAATAGAGCTGTTCCAAAAATACCCTAATGAATCAAACAACAAAATTATAATTCTTCATACTTATTTTCTTTCAGATTGCACCTGGGTCAAGTCTCGCAGTTGGAAATGCAGGCTTTAATCAATGCCCCTCTGTGGTCACAAGGTGAGTATAGGTCTATTCTCTCTGCCTAGAGTTTAATTTGTATTAACCCTCTCCTGGCTATTTTGCTCTAGGGCTCTCAATGGGCTGCCAAGCTGCTCTCTCACTGCTTAAAGGTTTCAAAAGGAAATCAAAAGCATTTGTAATCCCTGCCTCCAGCAAATAAAACAAGATTGACAAAATTGGATTGGGAATAAACTTGGAAACCTCTTGAGATAGCAATAAACCAGTATCTCAAGAAAACAGCATTTTCATGTGTTGGCAGTATGGAAATTTGTTAGGATAAAACAGCATATAGCTATGACTAATGTGAAGCAGTTTGAACACTTTCTGAACATCTAAAGCTAAACTAACTTAATATAAACCTACATTTCGCACATTTTCCTTTGTGATGTAATCTTTGCGAGACCAACCTCTAAAACATATCAAATGACATATGGAGTCCTTTAAACAAAAATACTGACCCAGGCTATGATCTCACCTGAATATTTTCTCATTGGCTCAATTGTTTCCTCTGAATTCCACCGGGATGTGCTTGTCTGACCTATGTGTTGGTGTGTATGGCCTCGATGTCCAGTATGTGCACGCCTCTCAACTTTATGAATGAAAAATGTTCATCCGGGGCTACAGACAGGAGGTGAGATCATCCTGTTTGTTGAAATGGAGATTCCCTCTTTCCTTCATCCGACTGCCCCTTCTGCTTGGCGCCAACCTTAATGAGCCCATTGATGGTGCATATTGATGAGGGTACTGTGATGGCAAGCTGACTGATGACATGATGTCTTGTATTCTATAGAGATACAGGGAGATATCTGAAAGAATATCTTGTTTTTGTCCAATGATATGTGACAATTATATGTGCTTCTTTTGTGGGGTATAGACTTGACTGGATTGGATGATTGGTCACCTATTCATGTGGGTGTGAGGGCCTCTTGATGCAGATCCATAAATAGGCAGCTCCTACACCTTCACTGCCCCCACCCTCTGCATCCAAGGACGCATGCCAACCACTTCCACCTTTCACTGAGGCAATCTGTGACCACTGGCTCCAGGCCCACACAACATACACCATCACACAACATGCTTATTAAGAGGCTAGTGCTCATACACACACATAGTATGTAGCTACGTTCTTCTCTCTGAAATTTTCTCTCAGGGCTTCTGCTTACTCCCTTCTGCACATGACTATATCATCTTTCTATCTATATCTATATATATATATATATAGATAGAGAGAGAGAGAGAGAATATATAGATATAGATTGAGATAGAGATAGAGATACAGTCAATAGAGAAGTCATGACTCCAGACAATGCACCATTTAAAACTGCCATCTGGGTAGAAAGCTGGCTATACATTGCAGACACTCTTTCAACACAAAAGTCACTCTAAAGTCTACTACTAATGCCATGTCGTCAAAGTTTGAAAAACATCGATCTGAACAGTGTTTCTCCACCTTAACTGTCTGATGACAACTAAACAATTGCATAAAGTATAAAAACAGATAAAATTCATAAACGCCAATGGCAAGAGTTGTTTTCATAAAACTATAGTGTGTTCAAACTTTTTCTGAACCTTTTAGCTTTTGCTTTTTTATTCCCATGTTACCATTATACTTTTATTGTCTAAAATTCTAAATTGCCTACAAAGAGTGAGTATCAGTCATTGGTTAATGGCACAGAAACTCACTGTCCATTGTCCATGGTGTACTTCACCACCATACCTCATCTATTATAAACATTTTTATTAATTTAAATAATTAGTAAACAGTTTGGTTAATCTCGGAATGACAGGTGTTTTATGAAAATGAGTCTTTAATTTCAAAGACACAAAAAAGAAGCAGAGCCACTGTGTTTTGTGTACAATGTGTTCAGTGTCTGCTGCCCTCTGTTAGCAGGATGAGGTCATTGTTAAGGGTTTAAATCCAACATGGGAGATAATCTGGGAGATAAAGACTGGATTTAGATTTGGCACTCAAAAAAGGGTCATGGCGCGACAATCATTCACACTCCTTCTACAAATACATAGGGCTCAGCTGCTCCATAGAATCACATGGGCCCAACACTATCCTGGCAAAAACTATCCTTGTTAACACAGACCTCAAGAACTGCCTCCCGGCTTTCTCATTCCATTCCACCGGATTTACTTATTATGTTACTTTTATACTGATTATTAATAGACAAGAATTTAATTAATTATAGCACACATCACGTTATTTGTGATACAGATATGTTAACATGACAGATTTGAAGATTTCATTGATTCAGGTTAATTGAAGTCGCAGAAGGAAGTAACTTGCGCCTGAGGAAAGTCCCATTTAGGTCTTATGTCCCACTACAACTATCTGGGTCAGTGGAGATTGAAATATAAAAACGACCTGGTGGGTGTGACAGACGGGATAGTCGCAGCTTATGCACCAATTACACTCCAAGTACAGCGGTCGTTAATAGGTTTGGAGAGGATTTACATGGTGCTGTCCCGTCAACTACTGCATGGTTGAGGGATGACATCATTTCTAGAACCTCGCATTCCAGTTGACCCCCCTCCCGTGCGTAAAAGTTTAGCTTCACAATTTGCGCGTAAAGCATTATTTTAACCTGTCTGTTGTACCATCTCTCCCTATACGCAGCGCATCACAACGAATATGCACTCTGATTGGACAAGGACACACGCTGCATCCCTCCCTTTTCTGCATCCCCTCTCTCCTCTCTGGTGCTGTTTACTATCGGTGAGATAGCCGTATAAATGCTTGAGCGTGCGCACAACGCGTTGTCAGTGTAGAATGGAAAACAGGGCGATCTAGTAGCATTACCAGCTAACACTGGAGTATAATTAAGCATATTTATTGTTGGAGTATTTATTTTTAGTGAAGAGTGCGGATAAACGGGTTTAAGGACAAGATCTCGGAGTGTTTACTCTTTCGCTCTGTTTGGTACCTTTTCATCATCCGAAATGGACTGTCAGCATTAAGGTAAGACACGTTATTTTATGTCAGTGTAAGTGCCCTCCTCCCGGTTGTAGTCAACATCGGCACATATATCACGTTTCATATATTTGATATATTCTTTACTTTTTGTGACTACTGGTTACAATCAATAGGCCTATTGATGGTGGAAAGGGAGAGAATAAGATGATGAACGCACCCAAACCCTCCTCTTTCGCCTCCTACATCCACAATGCAGTGGCCTGTAACCAAGCACAACCTGCGCTCCCAGCTGATGCCTCCTCGAAACACTGAAGACAGAATCACTGAAATGTGAATGGTGATTGCCTACAAACAGCAGATGCGCCTTATTTCTTTGCTTTTTGTCAAGGCTTATAATGAGCATTTTCGACACTTAATGAATATGGTATTGGCAGGTTTTGGATCTGTCTGCATCAGCCATAAAACGTAATGGTGATAAAGACCTGATTTCATTAGCATTATGCTGTATATAATTAAAATATCTTATTTTATACCAGCCTATTATTGACTCTAGGATATATATAGTAACCTGTATACAGTTCTGAATTCAAATGTCCCTATTAATCAAGCATAATATTCTATAGTCAGTATTAACATATGTGCCACTGCATCCACTATCAAAACATTTGATTGTTTGGGGTCTACTGAAACATTCTTGTGAGGATTTGAAAATGGTAACAAACTAATAGCATCCAAATGATGTTTGTGACAATATTCACATCTCTGTGATGTGAAGCACAGCTCTGGCACATTTGAATAGTGTTATTTCATTAAATCAAGGCTGTTCGGCTTCAAGAAGCTTGTCACACTCAGCAGGGAATATATGATTCACTTCAAAAGACTGAGAAAAAATTATGCACTTTCCCTCACTCTGGTGTGCATATATTTAAAACTAGAAACTAGTGTTTTACTCTAGCTTACAATAAAATGTCAACAAGTATAAGACTAATTTCACCTATGATTAGTTATTACAGTGTAGTTAGTTTATAATTTCTACAAAAGACCAAAACTTAATGGCTATTATTTTTTCTCCTAATAGCCTTAAATAATCAACCCTTGAAGGTGCTATATACCCTAAAATATTGATTCTAAACTTAGGTTTCATTATATTAGTAGCTCCCAGTGGAACAGAAATCATTTGAAATCAGATTTGCTTTAACCATTTCCTCCTTCCATTCTCTCTCTGCCCCTCAGTTTCCAGGCTGATTGGATGAGCACAGACTGTCATGGCGCTCCTTCACGAGCAGCGTGCACCTTCTCCTTCTCTGTCCGGCTTCAACTCTCCTCTCTCAGACCCTCCGTCCTTTCGCCGTCTGGATGCAGAGACACCGTGCACCCCAGAAATGGACCTAACCCCAACCCAATGTGTCCTCCGTAATGTCCTGTCCATAGATACGGGAAGTGTGGTTGAACAGGGAGGAGGGGGTGAGGGACATACAGTCGGACATAATCACTCTCCAAGCGAGGAACAACAAGAGCACTTTGCCAACAGTGTTTTGAAACTGCATGAGCATGATGGGAGTCCCTGCAGGACCGAGGGAGAGGGGCGAAACATGGACTGTACTATGGTCCGGAGCCCGGGGGACGAGGCCAGGCTGCAGTGTCAGTCGACTGGAGGGGGCGGGGGCTTTCTGGAGGGGCTCTTTGGGTGTCTGAGACCAGTCTGGACTATGATTGGCAAAGCTTACTCCACAGAACACAAACATGATCTAGATGGTAAGTTACAAAATCTTTCAAATATAAATATTTATAAATTCACATTATTAACCATTACAGATATTGTTTACATTATATATCCAGCACCCTGTTTTATACTGAGGTTTAGTAATGCAAATACATAATTCCCTACTATAGAATCTGAACAATACATAGTTCCCAGTGTCTTGAAGAAAAAAAACCAAACACTAATAGTAATAGTAACAGTAATAGTCTCACATTCAAAAAGGTCACACTACCATAACAACTGATGATATTAACCAATCATGAAATGATAATTTATATATTTCTGTGTACTGAGCATATGCAGGTTTATTATAAACTCACAATGATCTTTGATATGCAAATGTAATAATGGTTTGAGCCTGTTAAATTACAACAAACAGTTAATGGAGACAGGCTGTAAACAAACCCTTCGTTGACGTGAAATAAATGTAGCCAGTGAGACTCTATCAAAGCTGCAAAAGGCTTCATGTTCATTCCCCTGATATTAGACCCCCCCCCCCCCTTGCATTTCTTTTTTTCCACCTACTCCTCTCTACCACTACTGCCACCCCCGCAATCCAACTAGCTCCCCGTGACGCGGGGTTGTTTATGTCTGCAGCCACTACAATAGCGCGGCGCTCCCTTGGGACTCCCCCTGCCAATTCTGCCTCATGAATTATGCATGTCCACGTTCTGACCCTGTGCCTCTCATCTCTATTAACGCAAAACCTGACACACACACACATTCAACCACCAATTTGTATTAAACTTTATTTTACTGTGACAACATTTATTAGAACGAATACATTGAGAGCTATTGTGACAGTTAAACATCTCTCCTTGACTGTATCTCCTCTCTTGCTCCTGCTTGTTTCTCTCTCATTGTGTCCATCTTTATTCTCTATCCTTATCTCTGCCAGCCCATCTGCACCACAAGGACACATGATAGAAGGCATAGCGGATATTGTAGGAGAGAAAATATAAAGGCCTCTTGATTGTCAGCTTTCATATCACAAAGACCTTTTTACAGCATTGATTGAAAAGTACACAAAACCATCAGGGCATCAGCTTTGTATTTTTGATTTTCACAGCTATAGTCAGTATCTTGTTTTGTATCTTAGATGTTGGATATTTAATGAAAAAAAATCACAATCAATCATTAGATATTAATCATTTATAACAAGCTTATTAATGTGATGGATGGAGTGGCCTCTTCTTCTGTCCTGGAGTGAAGAACAGCAGTAGAGCAGGGCTGTATATTTCCCTTTATATTAACAGTCTGTCTCCAGCCACATGGACCCTGCTTCGGCCCTTTGGGAATCCCCTCAAGCATTTTCTTCCCTTCACACGCACACATATACAGTTGCTAACGTCACAAGCTTCTCTGCGTTCCTATTCGCTACATAGCTACATTAGACCCTCAAATCCCATCTCTTCCTTGACCCCCCCTCTTGAGTGCTGGACCCCTGTTTCATGGCGCCCTCACAAAGGCACTAAGCAGAATTTGAGAGGCTGAGAGAGAATTAGCCGCAAGAGATTAGCGTTCCCTCTCTGTGTGACTGTATATCCTAAGTGTTTTGTTTGAGGTGGGGTCCAAATACTCAACAAGATATTACTTTAAGTGGCAACAAAACACTACATTTTCTTTACACTATAGACATTTACATTATAAACAGTTGGATAATTTGGACACTTGACACCACAGTGCTATTATTAACATAAGATAATAACACATATTTTGTGTTTCGTACTTATCTTTATAATCATATAAATTCAAACTATTTATTAATACTACTACAGAACATTTAACAACTGCCCAAAAATATTACAGATTGCTTTGTTTTGACCATAGATATTGTAACAAATGTAATTATTATGTTATGACAGTGGAGTAAAAATGTGTTAATTATCATTTATTCCACCAAGATAACAATTGTTTGTTTTTTTAGTAACACCAGAGCTAAACATAAATTATATCAGGTCTAAATTAAGGAGACAAAATGAATAAAAACACAGATAAGGTAGTAACCCAAAGGAAGTCAAAAACATTAATAGATTTGTCTCTTAAGTAAAACAAATACAGTAAAACAAACAAATAAACAAAGCCAGTTGCTTTTCATGCTCTCATAACTGTCCATATAAAGTGTGTTAATATTGTCCTGGCATTTTCTCTTTCTCAGAAGCTTGGGAGGTCCCATTTGAGGAGATCTCAGACCTTCAGTGGGTGGGTAGTGGAGCTCAAGGTGCTGTGTTCCTTGGCAAACTGCACGGACAGGAAGTGGCTGTCAAAAAAGTAAGGAACATCAAAGAGACTGATATCAAGCACCTCCGCAAGCTCAAACATCCCAACATCATCACTTTCAAGTGAGAACTATTACATCAATATTCCTCATCATTTGGCTTTATTTGGGTTACATGAAAGCGTTTTATTGTTCTAATCATCTAATTACAACTTCAGGGGGATCTGCACTCAAGCTCCATGTTACTGTATTATTATGGAGTACTGTGCACAAGGCCAGCTGTACGAGGTATTACGAGCAGGAAGAAAAATCCACCCATCTTTGCTCATGGACTGGGCCATGGGAATCGCAGGGGGCATGAACTACCTCCACCTGCACAAAATCATCCACAGAGACCTCAAGTCACCAAAGTAAGTCTCGGAAATTGTAAACATTTAAAAAGGAGATTTATGAGGCTGATAGCATAACAAATATGTGTCAATGCAGTATGCTGATAACCTATGACGATGCCGTGAAGATCTCTGACTTTGGCACATCCAAAGAACTCAATGACAAGAGCACAAAGATGTCCTTCGCTGGGACAGTGGCCTGGATGGCTCCTGAGGTCATACGCAATGAACCTGTCTCTGAGAAAGTTGATATATGGTAGGTAACACTGCAATTGGAGGAAGACTTTGTGGTGATATTTTTAGCTCATTTTCTTAAGTCTATCCCATAGACTGTACATATAAATAGACATAGCTAACCCGTTAGCTGTCATGTTCCAAACAGGACGCGAACACTGAAAAATTGTCGCTTCTCTCTTTATAACTGCTGCATTGAAGCTAGTTATTTTGATCTTACAATATTCATATTAACCTGCTCTACTTGATCCTTGTGTTTTTCTTTTGCTATTTTGTCCATAAATAAATTCCTATTCCTAATACGGAATAGCATCATGAGCTTCATTTGACTGGAGCTCTGGGTGACGTCACACATTCCCTTAGTCCACATCTTTATACAGTCTATGGTCTACCCCAGTAGAACTATTTTGCAGCCATCCACTGATACAATGGACAGCTACAGATACTTCTATGCATTTAGTTACCACTATGGTGTATGATGAGCATCATTTCACAACTAATAAATTTGGATTTCAGTAGCATGACATCTACTACACTATTGCAAAGGATTAAAAAAAATATCTATATTAGTATTGTACAATATTTGATTACATGATGTTCTGTAGGTTCTCCGCCATATCAGATGACTTATGCTGAACACCGACCACTCTATCTCCCCTTCTCTTTCTTACCCGATAGTCTTCATCATCACTCTTCCTCTATGTCCTGAAAGGAACGCTGGGTAATTTAATAATTGATTTGCCAGATGCTGCAGTGCTCAAGAGGGGCTGCAATAACCTTCCAAGCCCAAGGATGGTTTGGCCTGGGGCCAGTGGTGCATTAGCTTAGAAGTGAAAATAGAATTACTACTGATGTATAAGGAATACATACTACAGGGTAGGCTTTCTCTATACATTTATGCTAATTACTAAATGACTGTCAAATTTGCACAATATCAAAAGAGGGCATGTGGTGAAAGACTGACATGTGTATGTAACATGAGAGGTGATTTACTGGGAGAATATTAAATGTACTTCAAGGTGCACGGCATGTCCTAATTTAACTTATAAACAAATGTCTGGAGGAGCTCAAAAATATGTATGTAAACAAAACTTGGCACAGCTCCTAATATGCCCGTGTGACGCTGTGAATTATCACCTTGGATACTGTATATTGTAGCTATGGTAATCATGGGCCTACCAACAACATTTTCCTTGGTTACCCACCCATGGGTGTTTGCAGACATGATAGAGATGTTATGAATGGCTGACACCATAGTTATATAAGAATAGTGGCACATTAAACACACATTATTGTAAGTTATTGAATTTCAGAACATGAATTTTGAATTTTTTAAAGGCTTAAATAATTGTGATATGAGTTTGTATATATAATCTGTGTCTCTGAAAGATGAAAGTGTGGCATTTCCGAGCAGTGCCTTTGATCTGTCATCTTCATATGAGCATGACTGAGCGTATGTCCTCTCTCCACAGGTCGTTTGGTGTCGTGCTGTGGGAGATGTTAACGGGAGAGGTGCCATATAAGGATGTGGACTCTTCGGCCATCATCTGGGGGGTGGGCAACAACAGCCTGCAGCTGCCTGTACCTGATAGCTGCCCCGACAGCTTTAAGCTTCTCCTGAGGCAGTGCTGGTGAGCAGATGGAGAGGGGGAAGAAAAGTCAATGTACTATATTTGCTTTATTACATGTGTTTGTGCATGGTGTAATTAATGCTATACAATCATAAAAGACCACATGATTCATTCAGTTTCTAAATATGTAAACCATGCAGTATTAATTATTTGTGTTAGTTGTCACACATATTTGTGCTTCAGATAGATAAGGAATGATCCCTAGTTTAGTTAACAAAATTTTCAACTTGGAAGAAAATATGTGTATTCGTTTTTTTGAATAACAAATGCATGCCAAAAAGTCAAATCAAACCTAAACATTAGATAACTAATATTTTTCTGATTTGTTTTCAGGAACTGCAAGCCAAGGAACAGGCCATCATTTCGTCAAATTCTTTTACATCTGGACATTGCGTCGGCAGACATCTTATCTACCCCACAAGAAACCTATTTTCAGTCGCAGGTATATATTTTTGTGTTATATTTAGAATATATTTGGGTCACATTTTGTACTGTACACATTTAGCACAAGAAGAAATAGCAGTACTCAATCAGAGGAGTTTTGGGGCATGAATCAATTAATTAATTGAGTTATAATAGTAAACAGGGTTTGTTGTCTATGCTGTTTTGATTAACACATGTTTTGTAGAGTGGAGAAATATAGTCACAAACCTCACTTTGATAGATGATATACACTAACAGTGGGTTACAAATTGGCTCTCTCTGCTGCACATTTTGTCAATTTGCTGTTGTCTTGCTGTAACTATGGGCACCATGCAGCTGTGTGGTGGCCCCAGAGCTGTTGGTAGCTCACTAATAACACCTGTCCTTTCAATCACAACACATTACTGCTGCTTGCTTGGTCTCACCAGCCTGTCAAACTAAAATAGTGATTTCTGGTCAAAGGCGAGTCCCATTTCCACCTCCATCATATCAAGGCATGATTGGGGAGGTTGGTTTGACGGGGGAAGCAGGGTGTGTGCATGCCACTCTTTAATTGGATGGGGGTTGGGAAGAAAGACAAAACAGACCTCCTCACCCCTGAGCAGCTGAAGGACACATAAAAAAAGTATTTATGTGGGGAAGGACGGTAGGTTTACTCAGCCATATGAAATGACGAATCCATTTATAACACTGGCACAGTGGGCAATTTTTATACACACACATCTTGTCGCCACTGTCTTTTCTTTTGGTTCTATGTATTTCTGAGCCTTCTCCCTTTGAAATCTCCCCATTATTCACCCCATAATGGATTTTTTTCCTTGTTGGGGAAGCATGGAATGACCAATCTATTTATAACCCTGGCATGGGCAATTTATACAGACATACATTAAGAATATAGTTTACATTCACATCTCATGTACACTTATGTCCTTTGGTCCTATATATTCCTCAGCCTTGCCTCTCTGACATCTCCCCAGTATTTGTAGCCACTGCCCCATAATGGATTTTTTCCTTGTGACGTTAGAAAGAAGTATTTGCTGTTGGAGTGTATTGATTGCTCTAATGGCAGAAAGCAAAAAGAGTGGGGGAGAATCGGCCAGGGATTGGATACTCACACGAGTGCACACACTACTCAAGTCCATTAGCTTAATAAAACCATCACTCACACATGCACATACATAGACATGCATACAGATTTGACTGCCTTTGTCCTTCCCTATGACAGGTATCAGATGTCATGCCCCACTGTGCCAGAAAATGCTCACACTGCATTTTTGTGTGTGTGCTTCTGTCATGCTGCTTATGTTTTTTGTCTTTGTATTGATTAGTATCTGACGGCTAAATGGTTTCCACCTCAGTGGTACAAAGCATAGCTCATCTCATGTGTGCAGTTAATCGGTTTCTTAATAGACTTTTCTCATTTTGTATGATGCCGCACAAGCAAAGTATTTAGCAAAGTAGAGATGTTTTAAGTTACAATTATTTAAAATATCAATTCTAGGAGGAGTCACTGTCCTGATCACAATTATTTGACACAATTGTTTATGTATTGTCAGAGGTTAACCCATGGAAAAAATATACACTTATAATTAGTTGGCAATGTTTAATGATTCATGTTTTTAAAGCAATGTTGATAAGAAAAAAGGCTTTGCTCCAGGTTTTGTGGAGCAAAATAAACACCCATTGAATTCACATCAGAATGCAGTTAATTATTTGATGACAATTCATTAATTCATTAATCAATCTATTTTTTTTTCTTCAATTAATCAATCTATTTCTTTTTTTTTTTTTTTTTAAAGCAATAATTGTAAGCTTAGATATATGTCAATGAGTGTAATATTTATCTTTGGTTATGAAACCAAATCCATATATACATCTCAGTTAGTGGCAGGTGATTTTCAGTAGTGACTATGAAGAGAAACAGCCAAAAAGGAAAGATGAAATGATGACTGACATGTAATGAAGTATTTCAACAACAGCACTACAAGCATTTGATTAAACTGGTTTTAAAGACTAGGTTGCTACTAATGTATATGATTGATTGATTAATTGATTGATTGCATTTATACAGCGCCTTTCAAGATACCCAAAGTGCTTTACAGTTCATTATTCAGTCATTCCACACTCAGTGGTGGTAAACTACTGTTGTAGCCACAGCTGCCCTGGGGCAGACTGACGGATGCGAGGCTGCGCCATCGGCCCCTCCGACCACCACCATCACTCACACACACACTACTTTCATACTAGGCAATGTGGGTGAAGTGTCTTGCCTAAGGACACAACGACAGTTTTTTTGCCACTGGCGCCCCAGCTTTCAATCAGCTTTGGTTCTGTATTACTTATATGTGTAATGAGAGTGAATGAGAGCATGATTTTGACCAGGAGTGCTGTATTGTCTGTGCCTTGGTATAGGTGGAGTGGAGGGATGAAGTCAGGCACCACTTTGAACAGATCAAATCTGAAGGGACATGTCTTCATAGACTGGATGAGGAGTTGATCAAACGGCGCAGGGAAGAACTGAGGTATTTTTCTGTTAAAACCAGTAAAAAAAAAAGCAATTATATTTTTCATGTCCTTTGTAGAATAGCCCTTCACTGCAAGCATCAGTTAGCCTTCACAGTATAAGTAATGTAAGTACAAACACTGAGAATAAAACTGTAACAAGTAAACAAGTTAAAGCAAAACATTTTTTATATATTTTTGTTATAGTACATAATACAATAACACAAGTAATATTCTGAATTCAAATAGATGACTGCAGCATATTGTTGGATTGTTTTTGAAAGGATATATAAACAAAATTTTCACCCCCATATTTTAGACATGCCCTTGACATCCGAGAACATTATGAGAGAAAACTGGAGCGTGCCAACAACTTGTACATGGAGCTTAATGCCATCATGTTGCAGCTGGAGATCAAGGAGAAGGAACTGCTCAAGTAAGTGAAGAGCATATTGCTGTTTCATTATATTATTATGATACTATTATTATCTAGGTTGTGATACAGTATGTTTGTTAGAATTATTAAAGTGCATTGGTTTTGTGTCAATATCAGGAGGGAGCAATCTCTGGACAAGAAGTATCCGGGTTGCTTCAAACACCACAGACAATCTGCCTCCTCAAATTCAATGGAGAAACTCATGAAGAAACGCAATGTACCTCAAAAACTGCCATCACACAGCAAGAGGTGAGCCAGTTGAATCATTATGTCCAAGAAATTCTATTTTTTATTTTATTTTTTTTAATTCCAACTACCAGTTGTGTGAGGCTATTCATAAGTCAATGATTCTGCCTGTAGTCTTGTCTCTTGTATCGCTAATGAGCTTAACCAAGAATTTTGCTGTTTGCTTACAGGCCTGACTTACTGAAATCTGAAGTCATCCTTCCTAAATTAGACTCATCTATGACACAAGTCACTATCCCAAACAAGGGCTCAACATCACCTGGGAGGTCTCGCAGGGGCAAGCCTCGCTACAGAAAGGCTGGCAAAGGCAGTAGTGGGGATCTGGCTCAGCTAAAGGCTACATTGTCCTCCTCTTTAGCCATGGTCAGTGCTACCTGCTCAGTGCCCAGCAGCAAACAACTTTTGGATCGTAGTGCCGCCCTAAAAGGACTCCAACACGACCTTCTGCTCAAGAAAATGTCCTCCTCCAGCCCTGACCTTATCTCCACCACTCTGGAGGCTGAAGGCCGGAGAAAGGGCCAGCTGAAGACAGGACTGGACAGAGCAGGGAGTCAGAGCGCCTCTGGGCTGGAGGACAGTCGGACTGAAGGGCAAGAGGTCAGGGTAGATGTGGGTGTACGGACTGATGATTTAGTAGAAACACCTCCACGCAGTGACACACCTAGTGAAGATGCAGCGTCCATACCTTTTTCCAGCAGTCCTGACTCTCCATGCGGCAGGGGTGCTGCTGCTGGGAGGGGCTCAGTACTGGGCAGCACGCGAGTCCCACTTGATGGCGACGACAAAGAGGAGGGGACTGTGATCACACGCTCTCCGAGGAGTCAGAGGCTCACGCCCTCAGCACTTCTGTACAGGGCTGCAGTCACACGCAGTCAGGTGACAGCTTAATGGACAGGACACTTAAAGTTACAGTTAGAGCTTTATAATTAACTCCAGTGGTTGTCACAGTCACAGGTTTGTAACTAAAAAAGGTTGACCATTTTCATTACAGAGGCGTGGTTTATCGTCAGAAGAAGAGGAGGGCGAAGTGGACAGTGAAGTAGAACTGCCAAGGAGACGGTAATAATATATACTTATACTTATATAAACAGTTGTAATTAATTTGAATATGTTAATATTTAAGTTAATATTTATATTATACTGTTTGTGCATAGGCGCACTATGAGCATGACCAAGTGTCAGTCCCTGTCGACGTTCAGCTCAGAGAACTTATCGGTGTCAGACGGAGAGGAGGGGAACACCACGGACCACTCCCACAGTGGCACTCCAGACGTGGTCAGCACCAACACAGATGAGCGCCTGGACGACAAAAGTGATGACCTTCTGTCTCAAGGCTCTGAGATCCCTGCTGACCCATCTGATCCCACACAACTGGGCTCTGATGGACTCTCAGAGAAAGAGGCCGTCCTCAGACAAGTCAAGAGCCAGCTTGCTTCAAATGATCTTAATTATGAGGTAAGACATGGATTAAAAACACTAATAAATGTTATGAATATATTTTCTCTATTTAGATCATTATAATGATAAAAACAGAACTGTTTCATTACTATGATGTCTTTCCAGGGTCTTTATGATGACTCTGATTGTGACAGTACTGAATTGGACCATTCCTGTAGTGGAGACCCAGGTCAGCCTCCAAACAACTGGTGAACAGCATTCAGGCCTTGAAACCTTTCTCATCAGGTCACATAACACACAGCGCACACAGGTGGTCAGTGGGAATGTCAGATGATGTGATATTTGTTAGCCAAAAGCCCAAAAGATTAAGTGTCTTGAACATTTGGGACATATAGACGCTTCGGAACAATAATCCGTTCATTCACCCCATCAGAAAATACAAAGCTGCCCATTTTCCATTAACATGTAACTTTTAGTGTTTTAAGTTATCTGAATCTATGACAGAACAAAATATCAGGGTTTACTTTAGTAAAGTCAATGTGAACAAATTTGGTTGCTCTTAATTTATTAAACAAATGTGATATTTTTGACATTATGTATGGATATATTTATGTTTTGCTTTACAGTAAATTATTGATCAATTTGATGTTTACATTTTTTACTATTTTATTTATTACATTATTCCATTAAAAAACAAAAAAAACAAAAAACATTGCCACTTTTACCAGTTTGTAAGTTGTAAATATCATGTCATGTTGTAAAATAGAAACAAATTTTCTAAAATGTGAGATTGTATACTTTAAATGGTGCTGATTTTTATCATTATTAAGTGGCAATAGATGTTCTTTTATGCTGGTTTAGAATGTATCTTTGTACCTGCCATTATAATCTGAGCTTGGAAACAAAAATATAGTTCAAGAATGCAACAAAGCAATACGTCTACTACTGTCATTGTTTTGTCAGTTACACGCAGAGGCTGGTTTTGAGCCGTATTTGTTTTTGCAGACATGAGATGTGGAGAAGGCATACAACATCAGGATTAAATGCTGTAGCTTTAACAGCAATTATATTGTCATTAATACCGTTACTACACAATGAATATATTTTTGGTATTTTACATCCCTTCTCACTTGTACATGCCACAGACACTCCAGGCCTCAAAACTGATGAAGCTTCTTGGATGAGCAAAAAAAAAAAAAAAAAAAAAAAAATCTGAACTGTTCACCTTGACAAGCTTTCATTTGTGCATATTGTGGAGACCACTGAGCCATAAGCACCTGCATTTTCATTTGACTGGTTGGAGGTAAAAGTTCTGAACAAAATATTGCCAAAAACGTACTACTGCCCTCTGGAGTCTGCACCAAGTAACTGATTTCCCATGAATGTAAATTACTGTATGAACTGACTGCTTTTTAATGCATAAATGAAATGTATAATACAATAAATAAAAATATTATTAAACTTGATACACAAAGTATTTTTGTTTGAGCATTTTATGTCTTTATTTCTGTATTTTTTTAAACAATGCTGTGGCAACCAGATCTACAGTCTCAAAAAACGTGCACTGTCGTGCTTTCCTGCAAATAAAAAACACAATATTTTTTAGTTTAGCAAAGCACGAGTAGGAGCTGTGTTAGCTCAACTCTATTACTGTCTACTTCCAGAGCATTTATGACCTCAGCTACATTGCAGAAGAGCCGGATCAGTCAGTGTCTAGGAGATACTCTCCTTGGTACTTAAAAAAAATATTTCCTCCATTTAAAACAAATATTTTAACATTTTAGTATACATCAGTCTTTACAAAAAAGCGAGGAAAACTCCTCTGCTTCTAAATCCCAGAGCCACGCCCAACACCCTCCCTTCCAAGCAAAATATAATCATATGATCAAAATGAAGAGAGCCAAACAGGAATGACAGAGGAGCACATGTGACATGCGGAGCAATAAACATTTTAAATGATCCATAATGACACATTATAGTGAGTGTTAGATTAAATGATCTGTATACATATTATAGTAACATTTGCCAATAACTCAATATAACCAGTGACAGTGCATGTACAACATACATATTCTCTGTGATACGAGTGAAATGCATCATACAAGACTGATGTGACAAAAAGAGAAAAATCCAGATCAGAGTATGAACACAGACTTGATCTCAGATTTTGAGGCCAGAAAAAACATTTTTTTGTCTTAAAAGAAAAAGAAAATATCTAAAAGCCTATTGAGATCACAAACTGTCTTTTGAGTTGTACATTGAAATCCAACTAAATAAATAGAAAATGCAACAAATAGTTCAGTGGCAGTTGACATGGTTAAAAAATGAGATGCTATGATATAATAGACTTAATCTGGAAAGTTGCATTGACTGCTCTACAATAACCAATAGTATAAAAGTGAGATTTAGTGCAGATACGGTGTCTTATCAGTTGGTTGCCAGTCCTGTGGCCTCAGAGGAAAGCCTAGAGACAAAAGTGAGACCAAGGAGGGAGAGAATAAGGCATGCAATCAGATAGACATTATCAATGTCAAATACTATTACTATACAACAACTGCCATTCTATAAAAATTCTAAACTCTTCCAAACAATTGTAAACCAGTTGAAGACTTGTCTGATATACACTGGGGCATGCAATGAAATACAAAGAGAGACTACCTAACTAGGCAATAAGAGAGCTATGTGTTAATTAAGCTTTAGATACTTGTTTTGTACATAAAATAAAAATGGTGATAAGCACAAGAACTGAATCATTGTTTTTTTTTGTCAAAATGATTGGTGCTTTGGTACCTGAGGGCAGTTTACGACAAAATTTTAATTAGCAACATAGAATAATGGTTTTGTTAATGTGACACCTATGATTTTCCCCTCTCACAAAAATATAACGACACCTTAAAAGAGCCGCTACCTGAGCAGAGCTGCACAAATATAAATGCCAAATTTAGTAAAACAAATCATTTTAACCATGCAAACTAAACGTGTAACTGAAAAATGTATACAGATTAAATACAGGCCAGGTTAAGCTACATCTAATTTAATGCGGCATCAACTGCTATGGCTGAGTGAGGCTAGTGTGCATTGTGTGGTAGTATGCATGGCATGGCACAGCCTGTAACTTAAGCCAGAGCTGGTGCAGACAACAAAAAGCACTGTCAGTATTATAGTAGATGACCAATGCTTCCATCATTAATAAGGGGACAGCCTTCGCCTTTTGGACTTAGAACTCAGCTCAGGGGCCATTTTGGGTTCAGGGGGAGTGGGGTGTGTGGGGTTACTGTTGCCGCTGACAACATGGAGGGCCAGGAGAGGAAGGGGCTTGAGACTGAGGAGACTTGACACACAGGCAGGAGAGCTGGGAAGCAGGGAGTCAGTGGAGGAAGAGGAGGATAGAGGTATGGAGGCTGAAGGGGGCACCACACAGGAGGAAGAGGACAAGGTGGAGCTAGCAGCAGAGGAGGAGGTGGTGGTAGTAGTGGTGGTGGTGGTAGTAGTAGCAGAGGTGGTCTGTTCAGGGTTCAAGGAGGAGGAGGAGGAGGGAGGAGGTTTAGAGGACTCTACACTGTGAAGAGAGAGACAAGGAGAGAGGGACAACACAGTCGGGATGGTTCACAGGGCAGGCTGGTGAGCAATGGCGTTTTGTGGGTGTTGGGGTTAAGGTGGTAAAGGTTAAAGAAAGAAAACTATTTAAGAACAGGAGCGAAACAGAGGGCAAATATTTTTTTAAATTAGGAGGGAAAAACTTAAAATTGTGAAACAGAAATGTAATATTTAATAATACAAATGCCATTAATTGTAAAAGAGAGGTTTGTGCAATAGTATAGCTCCTAATATTTCAAGGTTAAGGTGAAAATAATAAGTAAAAGAGTGTAGCCATAAATGCAGTAGCAGTTGGTGATACAATTTTCTATGAGGCGGCATTTGTGTGAATATATTCCATTTACTGTATTTTTCTAAGAGTCATCTATTTTAATTTACTATAGGTACATTTGTACTCACCTGGCATTAATGAGGTACTTTGCCAGACTTATGCTCGCTGGGATGCCAGTGATGGTGACCTGACGGTCAGTTGAGCCATCCACTGGATTTGCAATCTTAATCTGTGCACCTGATGTTTGCCGAATTTCATTGATTTTAGCGCCTTGACGACCAATAATGCATCCAATGAGCTAAAGGGAGAGAAAAAGACTTCCTGAGACTCCTTACCAGATGTATCTTTTTATTAAATACATATGATTATGTGACACTTTAAACTTACGACACATCTTTAAAATTGTATTTTCAAAAAGGACTGGATAAAATGTGATTAAATTAAACTCAATGTTTAACAAAATATAATTGCCTTACGTCATTTGGAATGGTCATCTCATGGGTGGTGTTTTGAGAAGAAGCATCTATTCCTGACATGATATTAAGAAGTTTGTTTCACTCCTGTCACTCAGGATTAAAAATGATATAATGATATTTGAAGGTTTTCATACCAGTAAATCCCGTAGTGTTTGTTGCAATGGGGAATGGATTTTGCTGCATAGCAAGTTGATGAAGCTTGGTGAGCTGTGGAGAGATAGCAGCAGAGGAAGACTGAGAGTGAGAGAGGAGGCAGGGAAAGAGAGAAAAAACAAAACAAAAACAATACATTGTAAATATACATTAACAAAACACAGCCCAAAAACTGAACTTTAAAAACAAATTCTGTTTACAGATTAAATATGTTGGCAAAGAATATACTGTATTGTTAAAAAGGATACCAATTTCTGAAATAGTATGGACATTACAGATTTTAGATCTGTGTAATATTAATGAAATAATATCTCCCTTACAAAGTTCAACCAGAACACCTAAACTGCATAAAAAAAGGGTTGAAAAAGAAAGCTGGCAGAGCACATAAATGCACATAGGTTAGAGATGAATACTGTAACTGAATCTAATGCAACAAAAAAGTTATACAGATCTTTACAGTATACATTATGGTGTTTACTTGAGTCATATTCTGCGCAAAGTTTTTTCAGACAGCACCTGGCTTAAACAGTTAGGAAAGGTCAGTAACAATCTATTTGATTGGAGTTGAAAGTTGCATGTTCTGTGTTTCCCTTGTCTATTAGCTACACGCACAGGTGGCAAACAAAATGAATTTTGATATTTGCAATGGCCATGGGTCATGTAATAGTAGCTACTGGACTTACATCTGGCTGTGGAATTGCGTGTTGTCCTTGTACAGCATATGCCTGAAACAAATGGAAAAACAAACTTTGATGGACCAATCATCTGCAGCTGTGGTTAATTCCCTCTGGATGTAGGGGTAAAAGAGTAAATCGTTTTGTGGGCCTAACCTCTTTAGTTGATGTACTAATGAATTAGGTTGATAAAACAAACATGTAGTGTGCGAAGACATTTTGCCGAGAAAGACAACCATGCAGGGGCAATGGGACATAGGGAGGATGAGAGATGCTTTAGTACAAGTATTTATAGGATTGTTAGCATGAGACAATATACAAATGGTACACTAAGAGCAACAGGAAATTTGAAAAAAAAAAAAGGCATGATGTAACTATTTGGAAAATTAAATTCAAACATTGACATTAACATACATAAAGATAAAGGGATTATATGGGTCTCAAAAAGTTACCTGTCCACCCGCAAAGATGACTGGGGATCCTGAAAGCTTTGGTCGGTAAGGAATGGTAACCCCCTTTGGTGGAGACTACAAAAATAGGTTAAATATATTATGTGACACAAACATGTTTGAGTATTTAAATGAATCCACCAACCTCAAGCATGACCACACAGATCTGCTTCACGCACTCAATTATAGACTGGGGTGTGCCAGCTATTGTGATGGCGCGCTCTGTGGAGTTAGGAAGCATGTCCCCTGCAACTTGTACCTGAGCTCCAGTTGACTGAAAAGCACAGAAAATAAGTTCAAACTAAAGACACTGTCTTAACATAAACAAAAAAACATGTGGTTCACTAAATAAACTAGTTTAATATGAATGCTCCACAATCATGTATTGAATAAAACCCCTTTACGTACCTCTCGTATCTCCTTTATCTTGCAGCCTCCTTTACCTATTAGAGAACCACACTGGCTGGCAGGGACCACAATGCGCAGTGTTACAGGTGGTTTGGTTGTGGCTGTGCTATTTGTCATTGAGCTACTTATATCCTGCAAAAGCATAATGAAAAAAGGCTTAGGTCAACTAGACTGAACATGAATTAAATTAACCTAAAAAAAATGCATACCTCTTCAAGCTTTTCAATAATCATTGAGAAGGCTTTGAAAATGGCTGTTGTTGGGCCTACCAGTGTCGTAATCCTCTCAGGACAATTGCCCTCTGATATATTGATACGAGCTCCACTCTAAATCCAACAAGAGATAAAACATTGCAGTTTTAATTTAATGGTAGATATTAACATCCCTATAATCCTCCAAAAAGACAGGCATTAAATGAAAAAAACGATTCAACTTACCTCTTCTCTCATCTTCTTCACAGTTTCCCCTTTCTAAAAAAAATAGGAGATATAAAATGAAATACAAAAGAGCTACAGAGTACATTGCATAAGTCCATTAATAAATAACAATTACCTTTCCAATTATGCTCCCCACTTCCTAAAAAAAGAAAAGAAAACCAATAGCCATATTAAATGCCAACCAGGTGCTCAATTTCCACCATTAAAGTTTACACTGCATAAAAGTGGTGAGTTCAAGCAGAACCCCTTTGTTGTACACATGTCAAAACTGAGTGAAAATGTGGACTAAAAAGCTGCTGTTACTGTACCTTCCCATGCATGAGAAGTCTTATGGTCAGGGTAACATTAAGTCCACTTTCAATCACACCGGAGTCCATGACTGCAACTGTGATGTAGCTGAGTGCCTGCAGCCTGATGTTTGATCACCAACTTGGTTCTAAAATGACACATATGCATGTACACTAAGGTGTGTAGAACATACTTAAAATACTCTAGTACAGTTACTTCAGTGAGCTTTAAATAAATAAAGTTTAGTTCTCAGAGTAATTTTCTGACACCACAGTGCTAATCCTACTTCATTAATATGGTGTAACAATGGTCTTACTTGAATAAAGGTTTAGGTTCCTACTGTGAGTTAATCTATGTGACAAAAACTTTGATTTATTTTAATCATTAATAATTTTATGTTAAGGTCATTATTGAGACACAATGTCAAATAATCAGATGTTAGTTCAGACAGTTACTTTTACAGTTACTCTCACTTAAAAAATGCTTTCACCAATTACTTTTATACGCATACTTGAATAATGTCTCAGACACATGGCTACTTTTCCCACCTCTACACAATATTGTAACAACAAATCATCACAGTGAATAATGTGTGCATATAACAACATAGAAAACAGATACATTAATAATACATTTAAAAAAATAAGATTCAGATTAACACTCAGACTTTACTTTAACCAAATTGATTTGTATGTTCTACAACTCGTACAGTCACACTGTGTACTGTGTGTAAAAAGCTGCCAGCAATCAAACGATGGCATAATTTTTTTCTTGTCAACTTTATCAACGAAGTGGCATTGATTGAGCAAACTATTCCACAAAGTTCCGTGGTATCTTGTGTACATCATGGACAAATATAAATGAATTTTAATTTAAATGAATTACACTTATGCGCAAATTAAGCGTGTACTATATGAGATCTATTTTATTAAATGTATAGCATTCTTGTTTTTCGTGCTGACAAAAATGAATGGAGCATGCGCATGCTACTATTTAGCATGACTAGCATGTAGCTTTTAGTCCTAAAACTCTATAGTTAAATCTCTTTGTTTATTCAGAGTTTACATTATTAACATCTGTGCATAGTCGTGAGTACATTCGCAAACTATACGGCGGTGGCGACATTTAGGTCGTAAACAACTCTTTCGCAACCGGCCAAGCTAGTACGTGCTTTCTGTGCGGCCTGTTAGCATGCTAGCAACGCGTTACTCTCATCTACTTCGCAGATCGTAACTACGCGCACAAAAAACACAGCATACGTCTGATCAAGCTCACCTGATATCTGTGCGGACAGGAACCAGGGGGAGGGATGGGGTTGTAAGGGTAAAGGGGAGAGGTTCGGGAGGGTAGAGACCCGGGGGAGAGTTTAAAAAGGACTCGGGGAAGAGGGAAGAGTGATGTGAGATCTGACCGAGTTCCCAACAAAGACAACACAAACATGACCTCTGAACTTCTCCCACCACCACATTCACCAATCCCGTCCTTAGTCCGCTTCAGTCTGACTCAAATAGTCATTATTTCCTATTTTTACTTGTTAACTAAACCTTATTGTACATACATTTCTAAATATAAATAATAGGCTAAAGGGACATCTCATGTATTTAACCTTTATTTTACCAGACAAAAAAAAAAAAAAAAAAAAAAAAAAAATATATATATATATATATATTTAGATTTATTTATTTATTTATTTATTTATTTATTACAAACAATGAGTTTATAATTATTCATAGTTTATAATTAATAATATATTATTTTGTCATTTTTATGTAATTATTTTGTAATTTAACATGTCTCAGTGTATCATATAAGCACAGAATGCATACAGTCATTATTTATGTGTAACAGTAGTCAGGAACTCCCACTCTCCACTTTTGGAACCTTAAAGGGTGGCTGTCAGTCAGAGTCGCTGCTGCTGCTGCTGGATGACTATAAAGAATACAAAATTACAAGGTACTTAGTATTTGCATTTATAGACAGGTAACAAAGCTATGAAGAAATGCTACATCTTCTTTATAAAATCTCTGTCATGCCTTAATTGCCATCATTAAAGAATATATTTTTACTACAATCACAACTGCACCTGGGTTGCAAGTGCCTAAATCTGCATAGAGAGGATACAGTTTTGTTTTTTTTTTCTTAGAATTCAGATAAGACACATAAATTACATCAGCCAATGCTTTTGTAATTAAATGTCCTATATTATGCAAAATTGACGCTTGAACTTTAAGTCAGGTTAGAATGTTGTTAGTTCATCAAAATCATACTCTGATTTGTGTTTTGTTTCATTCACATGTTTGAATAACCCTTTCTTATTAGTCTGTTTACATCTCCAAAATTCAGCATGCTCTGTTCCATCTTGTCATGTACTGGTAGTTTTCAAGTCAGAGAGATTAGCAATTTCAGGGCTGGACTCATCCAAATGATTGTAGTGAAGTTGTATGGAATTTATAAAACACAGTGGAGCACTCCCTGTAGGTCTATATTATCATATGGCATTGTGGTGCTTTCTGTTTGAGAGTAGAAATCAGGCTAAATATGCAGGGTTTGTGTGTTAAACATGTGTGAATGAAATAAAACATAACTCACGGTATCAGTAAAAGCTACAGGCTTTGATTTGAGCATATGCTTACCTTGCCATGCCAGTACTTGTGTCCTTTATGTGCTTTCTTCATTCTTTTCTTCATCTTTTTGTGGGCTTTGTGACCCATCAGACCCATTCCAACAGCTACCACACCTGCTGCTAACCCACCAGGCATGGGGTGCATCCCATGGTGATGAGGAGGATAATATTTGTGGTGACCTTTATGAAGACCAAAGTGATATCCTTTTGAAGAGTGTGGAAAAGGACCACGATGAACATACACAGGAGGAACATGAGGGTATCCACCTGAGGCAGGAGGATAAGCATGGGCCCCTTGGCCTCCATAAGGCATGGCCCCTGGATGTGGATGTGGTGCCATTCCTGGGTACTGATAAGGAGGAAACTGACCAGGTGGGTACTGACCAGCTGGATAAGAGGTGTATGGGGGTGGGGGAAACGCTCCTGGACCAGCAGGGTTGCATGGATAGCTGCAACCAGGAGGATAGGCAGGGTTTGTTGATGCCATTGGAGGAGGAGGGCCTGGTTGAGAGTAGAAAACATGCTGGTAAATATAATGTGTAACTTTCGATATTTAGGTACTCTGCATAACTTTTCCAGTTGTGGCTACTTGTCTCCATGGAGAATGTCACAGAGTTTTGCACTAAACCTATCTATGCTACTAATATCCGGTCACAGATGTTTTTATTGCTAAATGCCTTGTCTTCATGTGGACAAATAGTTTTATATGTTTCATAGTATGAAGCAATAGGAAAAGGATGTCAATTAGTGAGCACAGGCAGGCCGTGAACTTTCCACCTTAATGTTAAAAAATATAGCCAGAAAGCTCTGTTCCACCTTGATATCATGAAGTGTTAGTTTTCAAGCTAAAAGCTACATTTTACCTTTTGTTCAGTAGACATAGGCAATTCCAAGGCTGAAATTATCCACATTATTCTAGTGTAGGTGTATAGAGTTTAAAACACCGGCACTTCCTGTATTACCACATGACATCACAAGTTGGAACAGAGTGTTTTTATTTTGAAAACTCAGCTTAAACATGCAAGGTTCGTGTATTAACATATCTGAATTAAACAAAACACAACCCCAGGTATGTTTTTGATGAGGAAACATAACATAAATCAGAGAATAGCATGGACCATTTAAGTTATATTGACCTACCTTGATTTGGCCACATGGTTCAGAAGTAACTCTAAGATATAGACAACTGTAAAATAAAGTAAAAACAATATATATTGAAACAACATTTTTATACGCATCAAAACTGCAGTTTAAACACATGGGCTATAGATCACAATAATAGTTTAGGCCAGGCCTATATCAAAGGTAAGTACGACTTTAGCTGCCTTGGAATATATAGCGGGCAGGGAATGGCAGGGAATTTAAAATCAGAAGTGGAATTAAATAAACTTACCAAGAACTTCTGTAGATGACTTCTGATCAACTGACTGGAGCGTCTCTTGTTGTCTTCCGCATTGAGCAGCACGGGATGTAAGGGAAACGGTGAGGTCACGCCCATAGAAGCTACGCACGGTCCTCTCACTCGACACAATTCATTGACGTAATGGCAAAAGTGTAACTTGCAAAACCGGTGTTTCACCTACTGCTGTATAGGTATGACAATTACAATTGACAAAGGGATTCATGACACGGGAACAGCCCAAATGTGTACGTAGGCTATATCGCAGACTATTTCACTATGTCTCAACTTCAACAAATATTGCCTTGACCCTTGTTGTCAGACGTTTGATAGGCCTATAGGCTATACATGTTTGTAGTTACCTTATGCGGTCCAATTGCAACATTATTCATATTATGAAATATAGTCTAGAATTTGTCCAAGTTGGCAAAATAGGCCTACCACAATGAGACTTCTCAATTTGAGACACACACACATACACACACGCAGATTGAAGTGGTGATTTAAAAAATATTTTATTTTCTAATTGTGCTGACTGGTAGACCTACACATTTTCAAATAATATTCTCTTCAGGTTGTGGTCCAGCTACCTGTTTCTGTTTTATAATAAAAAAAAAAGTGTAGGCATATATCAATAACTTGCATTTGCATAACATCACAAAGCCTATAACACTGGTAGGCAGTGATAGAATTTTGTTATCAAAGTGCAGATGTTTTGTCTTTGTTGTCTTTGGTTAATGTCTGCGTAATTGGCAACATGAAATAAAAGTTCACCAAGTTCAATTAGACTAACTTTAAGTACAATTTTTACCATAGCTTCATAAAAATGTGGTTGTAATATACATTCAGCTGAAAAGATCTCATAAGATTTACCCACTTGTAAGCTATGGTCTATATTTCAGAATTGAATAGTGTTTGAAGACATGATGTGCTACATACAATACACATTAAGCTCTAAAGATGATTGGTTAAATAATTGTAGTAAGTAACAGGCGTTTCTATTCATCCTTATGAAGTAGTACACTATTGGTGATCTTAGTCAGAATCACTGCTGCTGCTGCTGCTGCTGCTACTGCTGCTGGAGGACTGGAGGAAAAATGAAGAAAAAAAATCAAGCAATTAGAACAAAGTACAAGCTAATTAATGAGAATTGTAATTACGTCTCACATTACTAAATAATAGTTATATTCAAGGGGAAATACAATCAGGAGCAAAGAGATGACAACACCTGATTTTGGGAATGCACTTAAAACCAACCCATGGCAAACTGTCTAATTTCTCAGAACAGCAAACTTTAGTTAACAGTGATCAACACTCAATATCCTACTCTCACCTTGCCATGTTTATGGTGTCCATGTCCATGCCCGTGTCCATGTCCATGCCCCTTATGTCCTTTCTTCATTTTCTTATCCTTTTTCATTTTTTTATGGCCTTTGTGTCCTGGAACTCCATATCCTGCTACTACACCACCCGAACATCCTCCTGCGCCATGGTGACCCTTATGATCTTTGTGATGCCCTCCTTTTGGGGAGTGTGGGTAACAGCCAGGAGGGACACCTGCAGGATATCCACCTTGGCCAGCAGGGTAAGAGTGGCCTCCAGTAGGGGTTCCATAGGGCACGGTTCCAGGAAACATATTGGGGGTCATACCAGCAGGGTACTGACCTGCTGAATAACCTGGCTGAGGAAAGTAACCAGGAGCAGCAGATGGGTAAGAAGGGTTGTAGCCTGGTGGATATGCAGGGTTTGGTGGACCCGTAGGAGGAGGTGGGCCTGTGAAATTATACAGTAGAAGTCAAAGGCATTTTTGAGCAATAAAAACACTTAAATGAATAATGCAAGATAGAAGAGTTTAATGTCATACTGTGGGACATTCCAGGCAAAACAATAACTAAATATAGTACATATTTATTATTTATTTACATAATTTAATAAAACAAGTAAGCTGTGCCTACCTTGATTAGGCCACATGTTCTGTCTTATGTAGGCCTCACGAGATGCTAAAAGAAAAATGCATACGCTATGAGGAAAGACGTTGGGTAAGCTCTATATTAGCTATTCATTGCAGTTTTGTTGATAAGTAAACTTAAGATGATCATGAACATGGTAATTTATGACGTTACTCTCACATATCCATATCTCCACTCTAATAATAACGTAGTACTTACAGCTTTAGACCGCACCGTTGCCTCAAAAACGTCTTTCGGATGTAAAACGGGAATTTGTTTGGACTTGAACAGTATTGTTTTTCTTCCGCGTTGAGAAGCGCAAGGCCACGGAAAAAATGCACAAGACACGCCCCATGTTAGAGGATCCCGCCCACTTCGTCTGAGCAGACAAAGAAGAGTTTGACAATTACTTTATTTATTAATTAAAAGCGTTGTTTTCAAGTCTTTATATAAAGGTACACAAATAAATATACTATGTTTTTTATTCACTGACAGTATAGTATCGTTCAATTCAACATTCTTCAAAATTCGCCCTGTAGGTCTATATCTTACAGAACATTTGGGATCCAGAATTCACACTTTTCAATACTTTAATAAATACAGAGAGATATCGTTCTGGATTTGGCACGCAAACTGTCACAATTCAAGTTAAGCTTTACTGCTGTTACAACCCAGATAGTTGTCATCTGGATGCGTTTCAAAATGTACTAAAAATAAAATTTATTTTCAGTGTATAATAAAAGCTAAAAGCTATTTTGAATGTCGTATTGCCTATATATATAGGCTATCATGTGGACCAAGCAAAAAGGCAACACATTTGTGTTAACAAATACCAAGTAACCAGCCTGATATTTAAGTTTGTAATATTGGACTAGATGCTGTAGTCCCTCATTCGTCCAGGAGTGTTTTTTAGGGTAGTGATCTGGACACTGTTTTTGCTATCAAGATGTTTCATCTCATTTTCAGAAGCCATTTTCAGTTTGATGGTGCTGACATTAGAATTTATGCTACTCTGAATTGAATAGAAAGACTATCTCTGTTGACAGTCCAATGAACATCTTGAGGTCCCCCCAAAAGAGTTGGAGAAAGTGTCTGGGGTGAGGGAAGATTGGCCAGACATAAGCACAGGAAGATGGACGGATGTAATATTAATGCAAGAATTTTCCTAAAAATATTCTAATCTAGATAGAGTATATTAGACCACTGAAAAGTAACAGAATATGAACAATATCACTAAAATGAGACTAATCTGTTCAAAACACATGAAACAGATAGTCTTGCATCTGCATCAGAGTCCCAACAATCGCACAAAAGTTCCTGGATTGCTTCCCCCTGAAAATACATCACAAAAAACAAGCAATAAATACAAAGAGAGCAATTTAAAACTTGAAAATTAATGTAAGATAGCCTACCTGTGGGTGCTGTTGCCAGACTTCTGGGATTTTTGGTCGTTGGTCCATGTAAAATACATGCTGGAGGAGGTTTTCTAGTGATACACTGGTCCCCAACTCGTTTTCATATGGAAGTAGATGCAGTGGAATCCTCTCACCTGCAGATGGGGACATTGTCATTGCCTGTTGCAAATATAAATTTGACTTATTTTTACTACTTAATTTGTCACATTATTTTTATTTTAACTACCAAATAAATCAGAGCATCGCATCCAGATTTCCCACAGGACTAGTCCCAAAGAGTAGATGTCTCCCTGAAGACACCAGTTACTGTTAAGGCACACAGAGCCCTGCAGGATCTCAGGTGACATGTAACGCAGCGTACCCATCCGGCTTTCACCCTGCAGTTACAGTAAGAAAATGCATTATTACTTGCCCATGTTACAAATACTATAAATGCGTGTATGACTTCACTTCTAGTTTTCTGGAGTAAAAATGACAGCTGTTTGGCCCAGAGCACAGAATAGTAGAGCACCCAAAATCACTAAGGGCACAGGTTCCATCTGCTTTCACAAGGACATTAGAGCTGCTGAGGTCTCTATGGGCCACTGCAGGCTTATGAACACCTGCAAGAAACAATACGGGTTCAATTATTTATAGATGTGTTGTCAGATTTGTATATCAGCACTACAATTTCAATCTTCATTATACTGAAGACAAGGTTAGGTTTTAGACAATAGAGTGTAATTTAGAATGTAAATAGAAAGTAATTTTCAACACCTATTCAATTCAGTATCTAGTTTAATGAGTTTTAGAATTCATTAGCATAGTATTGTTGTTTTTTAGTTAGAATCCTAGAACATACTGTTATATAGCAGTTCAGAGCAGTTCTACAGTAGATGCAAGATAAGTACCATCTTTGTGAAGGTCTGAGTGGAGGTAAGAAAGTCCCTGTGATAAGGACTGACACAACACGAGTGATGACTTCCAGCTGGAGGTGTGTGTTGATAAATAAGAATGCAGAGAACCCTGAAATAAATTGTCCAACTCAAAACTTTGTACCACTTCATAAACTTATACAAACTTTGATACAAGCACTTACATATTTAGCATATTGAAGAACAAGGACTTCATATGTGCCAATAGGTCCAGAGCCCAAGAACTGGACAATCCCTTCCTGTGCCATCAATGGAAGCTGGTAAACTTCACGTTCTGCAATAAACTTGTGTTTCCAGGCCATAGGAAAAACCTTCACAGCCACACGGGTGCCCTGGTATCTCCCTTCCCAAACAGTAGCAAAAACCCCTTCACACACAATCTGAAACAAGATGCATTTTACCATAATTAAATAGTGGCTAACTGACAATAGTGCTGAAAAAGCTGTTTGTGAACTATGCGCATTGCATACCCGCTGTAGTTGTATGTCAATGTCTGCGGGTTTGGCACACAGTGGATCATGAAGAGAGTTTGCACGTTCTTCTAAAAATAATATTAAAAGGATATGTAATCATATTATCAAAAGACCTTTCTCCATACTTTATAATGGTGTGACGTTTATTGAAAATGAACAAAGAATTGGGGCGTAAGGGAGGATTCTGGCAGAGATAAAAACCAAGGTCAGGCCACAGCAAAGAATTAAACTGTTTCAAGGTGCACCATGAGAACACATTTATCAAATACAAACACATGAGCTTGGAATGTTTTGAAAAGGAGAGCAGGGGTTCAATGAAAAACAGTTGATCCAACAGAAATTAAAGGTCCTATATTATACAAAATGGCTTCATGTGAGCTTTAAGCCATGTTGTTTCCTCATCAAAAACATACCTGGAGTTGTGTTTTGTTTCATTCATACATGTTTCAGTAACCCTTTGTTATTAGTCTTGTCTATATCTCCAAAGCTCCGTTTCACATTGTGATCTCATGAAGTGGTACTTTTCAAATAAACAGCTACCTTTTACCTTTTGTTTAGTAGAGACTGGCAATTCCATAGCTTATCAAAATTTTATTGAAGGTGTATGGAGTTTAAAAACAAAGTGGAGGACTTCCTGTATTACCATAAAGTATCAGAAGGAAGAACAGATTGTTTTTTGTTTGATAGAAGCCTAAATATACAAAGTTTGTGTGTTAACAAAACACAATTCCACCTAACATAGATCAAGAAACAGCATAATATGGACCCTTGAACCACCACCAGCATTTGTATGGAGAGTACTTACTTGTTTCTTTGCGGAAGAGGTTAAATGTGGCCACAGCTACACAAAATACTACCAGGGCCAATATCGAACAAACCACCAATATCCCAACTAAAAAAAAAAAAAAAGTTTATATATATATATATATATATATATATATATATATATATATATATATATATATATATATATATATATATATATATATATATATATATATAATCATTATTTACATTGACAATTTGAGACCAAGTCATACCATAGAAGTAAATATCATAGGAGTATGTGAGTGGAAGAGGTTGCTCTGGAGTCCATGTAATGTTGTCATTGCATAAGTCACTATTACAAATACATCTAATGTGATTTCTGTCAAAGGGTGTTCTTGAGCACCTTGAATTTGAACAAGACTTTTCTGTCAAATAACACCCTGAAATAAAAAAGCTCAAAATTATTAAGAACACAATAGGTACTACTATGTTAATGACACAAGACTTTCTTACCAAGAGATTCAACTTCAAGTTCACCATTTTTGATTATGTAATAACCTACACAGCAATCAGTAAAATCACAATACTGCACTGATCCATTCACATAACCATACTCATGAAAATCAAGGTTGTGTGGAACTTGGAAAATACACCGCCTCTTCTGAGATAAAGCCAAATGGGTGATGCTTAGGATGACACATTCTGAGAAAAAAAAAAACACAAATTTGCTATAAACACTAGATGTACTGATGTGTGTAGTTGAATGATCAACAATATGGAAAAATAAGTAGCCTACTGAATGTGACAGAGTTAGGTATATACCTTATCGAGAGGTTATAAGTTAAATGTAGGCATATTTTCTAATTAGTGTCCAATTTTCTCCCTTTTTCATGGTGTACAATTTCAATAAAAGTATACATATATATATATATATATATATATATATATATATATATATATATATATATATATATATATATATATATATATATATATAGTATCATCAGGCTATTCATAAGATTCATGTACTGGAATAATATTTTAAAAGGCAGACTTACCCACAAGTAGCCACCGATGTCGCCAGAAAAGAGCCATGGCCTCTCCAGCCAGACAGCAAAAGCAACTATTTATCAGGCATAAGAATGTGGGGGGGTTCCCACGTTTCCCAGCATCACTCCCACTGCACACCTGCACACAGCTGAGGGAGCACAGTTCGGCCACATGCCTACTTAGGAATTGGTTAAATGGGCAGAGACTACAGTCAGTAGGCTAATTAATTATTTTATTTACATTTTGAACAATTTAATGTAATTATGAGAGCTGATCTTGAGATGCAAACACCAACATAGCACTTAACCCTTTCAAACCTGTTGTTTGACCTTCAGTACCACCTAAAGCCTACCCAAAGTTTGAACAAACAAACATACACACATAATTTAAATTAAAAATATAAAGTAACCACTAGCCACAGACCTCCACCGACCCTAGGAGGCGCACGAGTCCACAAAATGCGCATGTGCCATTTTTAATCACTGATTGGACATTCAGCTGCTGCGCGTGGTCTGGACATTCTGAACTTGAATTCGTACACATTTGATAAACAAAAATGGTAAGTAAAAATTTTATTAGAATTGGCAATAATAACATTAAAACGTTTGCTTCTTTTTTTTCCCTATCCAGGCTGTGTTTTATGGAATGCACTCCCTCACTAAAGAACTTGCTGACATTTTTGCTGAGGATTCAGACAATGACAAGACATTTTACGGATTTTCTGAAGGTGAACTGAACGACAAAGAGTATAAGGTAACACTGCGTCTGTTCTGACAATTTCAGACAGCGTTAAGCCTATTGTGGGCTTACTTTGTATGAAAACAAACTAGTTCAGAAGTCTGGATTATTAGAGAATTTAACAAACCTGCATTGCTAATGTTTTATTTTTTCCAGACATTAGATTGGGAAAATAAAGGCAAATGGTCTGATAACGACCCCACCAAACAGGAAGGCACATGCAAACCGACCCAACCCTTCAAGCTAAGAGTGGCCCTGCGCTTAACACGTTTAAACCCCCAGTCATCTGATGAAGAAACTGAAAACGTGCCTGCAAAGACAGTCTCAAAAAAGACCCCTGAGACCCAAAAGGAGAAACATGTCACTTTTGAAGAAATGGAAAAAACGGTGGTGCAATTTTCTCCTCTAAAGAGTGAAGCTTATCATGAAGCAGAGTCCTTTTTGGCCAAGAGGGAACAAAATATCAAAGCCAACAAAGCAATGGTAAAGAATATACACACATCCAAACACCTAAAAAAGTATTAAACATGTAAAGAAAACACACACCAAAAATGCAGTGGGTGTAAAATGTCATGCACATTTTAATAGGTGCTCGTTACTTCATAATGTTGTCTTTTAGAATCTTTCTTTATGTAGGCTACAACTAACCACCAAATCCACCAAACTCTTCAAAATGTTTAACAAGTATAATTTTTATTTTGTCACATTGTCACAAAAACTTGCAGTGGAATTAGTCAATATCATTTAACATAATAATTGGCATATCATCTTAATATTTAACATGACTTACCTTGGTCTTGCCAGCTAGCCCAGCTGATGGCAGATTTGCAAACGATGCCTGGAGGTGCTGGATTTCTGAAAAAACAAGCAGGGAAACAAGCAAAGAAGAAAAGCCCAGTAAGTAATGTTCTAAGAGTAAGAATGTTGAAAAAAAAAAAACTTTCTTTTTTTTTTTTTTCTTATGATGGTTCATTCTTTCTTCATGTAGCATCCACCGTGTTCTGGAGGTGACCTGAGGAAAAATCCTGAGCGTGCATCCCGTCGATGTACTCGCTCCATGGGAGGAAATAATGAGCCTAAGAATACTCAAGAGGAGGAGGAAGAACTGGAACTCACCCTGGAAGACGAATTACTGGAGGTCTCTTGTTTATCTGTAGTTGAACAAAAAGCTATCTGTCTGCATTACCATAATTATTTCCATTACCAAATGCAACATAAACTGAGCTCATAACCATTGTAAGATTATTTTATTTCTTCTGCACATGGAGTGCTTACTGACAAGCATACTAGCCTGGCCATAAAGCTTACACTGCTGCCTGTACATGTATAGCTGAGATTTTTATTTTTATTTTGACTTGTATGTATACATTTATACAATTATGCCTTATCTGACAGCTGTCTCTTGCCATCTTTTGCCACTTATTTAGAATTTATTATAGCCATTTATATTTTTTACTCTTTGTTATTATATTAAATTGTTATGTGTGAGCTACTGTGTCCAAATCTAAATTATCTCTGCAATGCCCAGGTCAGAAGACCTCCACAAGGACGTGGGACCCCTCGACCTTATCAGACCAAACCTCATGTGATTCGTCCAATTGAAGATATCACAGAGGAAGAACTGGAACTGGTGGCAGACAGTATGACGGAGAAGGTCTACAACAAAGTCTCGGTCTGTGTTGTCTTGTCACTGCTCTGTGCAGGTCATCACTGGTTATTGAAGTAATACTGGATTGTCTTGGGTAACATTTAGGGCTCTACCTGTCACCAATGCAGACAGAAGACCATAGACACAAAAACATGCTGCCGTAATGAAGGCTGCAGAGGGATTCAGGGCCAGTTTTGTGGTCCCTGTTTGAGGAACCGTTACGGTGAAGATGTCAAGAAGGCACTGCTCAACCCTGTGAGACACTGTTTACTCCTTCTTTACAGATAAAATGCAGATAAATTATGTTTAGCAGTTGCCTGTTTAGTCATAAAATGATATAGATAGATAAAAAAAATATTAACTTTTGGTCCTGTAACTCTGATGGAAATAATCATATATGACAACTAACAAGTGGAGCATTTTCCCATTTAGGAGTGGAATTGCCCACCATGCCGAGGAATATGTAACTGCAGCTTCTGTCGTCAGCGTGAGGGTCGCTGTCCAACAGGCATACTCTTTCCTCTGGCTCAGTATCATGGATTCTCTGATGTACATTCATATTTAACAAGGTATTTTGTATTATACACTACATGGCTGTAATAATACACAAAATATAACATGCAAAGCAATAATGGTAACACACACGTGGTCTGCCTTGGTTGCATGTGTAAATCAAGTTTCATTTTGCAGGTGTGACTAAATGAAGGGAATGCATCAGCAGATGGCGCTAGTGTAGTTAAAGATAACGTGTGGTTCTCAGTCCTTTTTAGACTGTCCATAGGACTTCAGTATCAACATTTTCAGCTCATCTGTGATCGTTCTAGACATAAATGGAATTATGCACAAATGTTCTATGGAAACATGTTGCTGACTAAATTGATATATTAAAAATGTGTTAAATTGTCTCACTCATTTCATGTTTGCTTCCAGCCTTCGAAACAAAGTGAAAAATGAGGAAGAAATGTGAATTCAACAAGCAGTGGTAAACAATGAGTATTGTTTTTAAGTGATTTTAACAAATAAAGTTTCTTTAATTCTGTTGTATAAAATATAAAAGCTTGGATGGTCCATGTTTATACATTTTAATAGGCCACAGCTGTGTGCAGTCATGATACACTGTAAAATCCCTTATTTAAAATATAGATTAAAAGTTTGAAAAAACATTGACAAAACAGGTATTTTAAAATAGACATTTCACGTTAGCGTATTTACAAAAAAAAAGTAAAATGTATTTCTCACTAGGTACTTAATTTATATATTCTACCATTTACTTTTGACGTGCCCTCCACTTTTCAAACTATAGGCAGTACAGATTAGATTATGTCAACCTTTGACATTTAATGTAGGGACATTACAAAGGCCAAAGGAAAATTAAACGAGGCAAAACAATAAATTCCACAAAAAAAACATTGGAGGCTTATAAACACAATATTCATGGTTATGCACCATCAAGCCTTAATTTGACCTTTGACCAGATTTATTTAAACAAAGGCAGCAGATATTAACTTATTCACAGGGTGCTGTTTTTTTTTTTTTAATTTTCAAAAAAATGTCAACTGCTGTCCAGTGTTCGGTGAACTAAATGCACACACGACCCTTTGTCTTGCATAATTTTCATTCTATGCATTTGTAGACCCATACATGAGTTGTTAATGATGGTTAATATAGTTTTGCAATACTGTACTGTGTTGGAGAGATGCATAGGTAATAAAATTGTGATACTTTTTTCCTTTAAACGGGGATTAAAGTTTGAGAAGCAAGCTCTCACAAAGCCGTGCTCTGACTAAGTTGCTTCATAGTATAGCCCTATGGACTTACTGTTTTGACAAACTGTTAAACTTGCACATAAAACTACATAAAAATAACATGAGATTAAAATGATTGTGCAGTTAAATTCATTCAACAAAGGCAAATCATATGTAATATTTTCTGTAAAATGACCATGCCTAAGATAGCATTTTTACATGAGCAAAAAATATACAAAAATCTAAATAGCTGGGCTATCAGAAACATAGGAAAGTAAGATGGCTTAAGATGGTACCTACAAAAAAGTTCACTTGAGTTACCCGAATGCAACACAACACATTGTGGTCTTGATTTAGTTGAGACGTTAATTTTGTTTCCTGATTTAATATGAAAGATAAATTTCAGCCCCTACTGTGTGTTCAGTCCAATATGTCACATTTAAATTACAGTTTAAGCATGAAAAACCTCTTGGGAAAGATGCAATTCTTTTAAAGCGAGCATGAATTACTGTGTAATGTTTGTGGAGACAGGTTTTTGTATAAATTAGCCAGTTTGTCCAATTCCATGTATAATCTTCATGCAGAGCACATGCCCACTGAAGATTACATGGCAAACTGATTTGTTTCTGGCTCACTTGCCTAAATGGATGCTATAGATTTAAAAGACTGAGAAACCACAGTCAAAAGCAGTGTCCATAAAATGAATGTCAGTGTTGCATTGCTGTCAAGATTTGACATTTCCAAGGATTCACCCTTATGTCCAACTTTTGTCTTAACAGTCTCAGTAGCTGTTTCCATTAAGCTGGTGCAGATTAATCATATTGATGCCATTGCTGGCTAATCGCGCTATGCTCTCAGCGGACAGAGTCTCCATGGTGACGATAGTGTGGTCCCCTGCTGTCACAGCTCCAGAGCCCGCCTCAGAACCTGCTGCAGGAGACGCTGCATCTGTAGACTCAGAGACTGCCGAGCTGCTAGAGGGAATTTTCTTATTTAAGTGGGTCTTGATGTGCTTTGACAAGTGGTCACTACGCATGAAGCGTTTTGGACACTCTGGGCAAGCAAACCTTTTTTCACCTGCAAAAAAAAAACAAAGCAAAATGTTTTAAAAACCTGAAAATACTACAAATAAAATATTTGAATGTGGACAAAGACAAATGACCTGTGTGTGTTCTTCTGTGACGCTGAAGCTCATCGGAGCGCGTGAAGCGTTTGCCACAGAATGACCAGCTGCAGGCAAAAGGCCGCTCTCCCGTGTGCCAGCGGAGGTGAGCTCTTAAGTGAGAGGTCTTGCCATAGATCTTGCCACACCCCACAATGTGACAAATATGTTGCTTCTTTTTAGATGGGTCCCTGTTCAAAGTACAAAGATCACTATCACAAAAAGATAACAAAATATAAACACAAATTTACATTTATTTAATAAGAGATGGAGCATCTTGTTTTTTAGAGGGTCCTCAGAACAGGTACAGGAGCAGCAAAGACAATACATCAAATATACAATATTGGGCACGGACACATACACGCACTCTCACGCTATCCACCCTCCCCAACTGTCCCAACAATCAGTATTAGAAGCAATTACAAACATGCTTAAGGTCTTCTAAAACAGCATTCCTGAACAATGGAAGAGAAATCAGTGTGGATCAAGAGCGCAGATAGGTTCCAATCAGTCACTGCTTTGTGTTAAAATGCATGTTCACCTACTTCCTTTTTAAATGAGCGGTTATATTTTAGGCATTAATTTGTTAACAGCAGTTCCATTTTCAACTGAAACATACCGGCTGTCTCCATCTTTGCAAAAAGGGCAGGTACAAGCTTCTCTTCTGTTGCGTCGGCCTTGTGGTGGAGAATCTACTTCATCCACAACAGTGCTGTCATTCAGAACATCTCCACTTGGGTGCAATGACTGCTCACCTATAAGGGGAAAAAAAACACTTGGGTTAACATGTTCTGTACATTTTTGTTTAACCTTAAAAGCTGCAGTTTCAAAATGAGCCTTCAGGTAAAGTTTCCTTTTACACAAACATTAAGTAGGCCACACAAGTAAGGCAGAGGAACAGGTTAAACCAGTACAAAGAAGGTGGGCTCTTAACAAATAGAGACCGGATACCATTTTGAATAATGTTAAGGTAAAAGCATAGGAAATTTTTTTAAATGCCCATATCAAAAACTCAGGACCTTTATAAGTGCCACCAAAAGCAAAAACTAACCTGGCTGACTTGCAATGGTGAGAGGGAGACTTTGTAGTTGGTGCATCTGCAGCCCCGAGTTTCCAAGTGAGTTGAGATTTATGGTTTGAATGCCTGGGATTTGGACTGCATTTACCGATACTCCGGCTGCCGTTGAAGCAGATGCCTGGGTCTGGCCCAGCTGGGGGATGGACTGCACTGGAGCCAATGTGATCTGTGCTCCTGTAGGACTTTGAATTTGAATGGTCTGCCAGCTCACCTGCCCGTTAGGGCCAACAGTGCGTAGCAGGATGGGGCCTGTGTTTGGCATAATTTGAAGGTTTTGAAGTCCTTCCTGGGTAAGTGTGGGTGTAGCAAACACCGGGTTAGTTGCATTGGGTACTGCACTAGCTTGGATGGTCTGAAGAGATGTTGCACCTTGGATAACCTGCTGGGGCTGAATTACAATCTGTTGAGGTTGCTGTCCTTCTCTATTTTCGGTCTGAATGGCCACACCAAGAGAAGCTGCATTCTGCTGAAATGCATTGGTGTTCTGTGTTATTCCAAAAGCAGAGGTGGTTTGTGTAGTAGCTGTGGAGGCACTGGTCATAAATGCACTGCTGTTAGATACAGACTGTTGTGTCTGTTGCTGCATAAGTTGATTTCCCTCTGCATCTCCTCCACTATTGACATCCCCACCCCCAGTTGTCCCAGCACTAACAGGCAAGATGGTAATGTTTCCATTCAAGGACACTGGCATATTTGCCAAGAATTGAGCTTGATTTTGTAAAACACTGTTGCCCAAGCTAATGTTTTGTATTGGGATAGCTCCCTGAATCAGGCTGGGCATTGTTATGATGTTCCCAGCTCCTCCAGCTCTGTTGGTTGCAGCTATAATCTGTTGTCCATTAGGAGACGACACAATCTGAAACTGTGGTGCTCCTGCAGTGGCTGCAGATACAGCAGGATCCTGCTGAGCCTGTGTGAACTGCAGTGGCTGGCCATCTACAGTCTGAAATTGTGGAATTACCTGGTACTGAATGTTAGGCATAACCCCTGATAATGTGGTGAGGATCTGCTGACCCTGCACTGATGGAGCCTGTGCCACCACATACTGTTGCTGCTGAGCTGGCTGTGCCTGAGTGCTAACAGCGATTGAGGAGGAGAGACCCTGCCTGCTCTTGCCCGAATCTCCAACCACAGAGTCAGTGGTAACAGTGTTGGAACCTGAAGAGGCCTGAACACTCAGAGGAATAACTTGCCAACCGTTAGCGTTGGACGTAAAAACATCTGCATTCATATCAAGTTGTTGCTGTTGGTTTTGCTGTTCATCAGCAGAATCATTTTCACCAGGGTTGTCAAGTCTACTGCATGTTGCAGCTAACAAGGCCAAAGGAGATGGCTGCTGTGAATCCTGAGGAAACAAAACAAAACAAAAATCAACAGTTTATAAACTTGAGGAAACATTTAACACTGGCTAATAAAGCCACAGATTGCATTTCATCATAAATAATATAAAACATAAAGATAAAACAATCTTAATTTTAATTTAAGTAAATTAATAAAACACTATTCACTGTATTGTCCTCACTCTTCAGTGGTCTCCTGAATTAGTAGAGTGGTGTGCATGTTGCAAAGAGAATCAGGGTGGGACCACATGGGAGGGATTACACTTTTTTCCACAGAAGCGGCGGGCTCGACTTCCCCTCCCCCGTAACCCACCCATCTCCCTCCCACACTTTATTTTGCCCTATAAAGTGACACGGTGCTCTAGCCACCCCCTCTGAAGCAGGCCAAATGGGCCGAGCAAGACTGAACACACAGAGCCGGGCTTCGAGGGGAACACCCCGTGTGGGCGCATTTTACCTGCCCATTCCCCACCCCAATGACATGTGCTCCGCTGAGAAAATCAACAACCCATGGAGCGGTCTAACAGGGTCGCAAATCGAGTCGTCAAAAAGTACAAAAGCAGTCATGGTTGTATTAACAAACGTAACTTCAGAACCACAACCTACTTGTGAGTTTCGTTTCTGGTTGAACCCAGCTCCGCTCTCCGCAGCGGCCATTTCACCCTGCTGCTGATCTGCGGAAGAAAATGTGTTAAGATGACTCAAAAGTAGTACGACTTACAACACTACGTCGTATATTACAAAAACGTTGTTCACAGCCTTTAAAATTCACCCCAATGGACATGTTTGGACAGTTTGAAGAGACAAAGATTAAGTAGCTTACTTTATGCAAGTATTCAGCCACAAGTAGGCTACAAAGTTAAGAGTGAGCTAGCACAGGAGCTACGCTACTTCGGAAAAGTATGGAAGTTACCAAACGTAGCATGAGTTGCACTTGAAAACAAACCACTTATTACGTCAAACACAAGTTTCTACATACTTCGGTTTCATATATGAACATAATGTTGAAATAGAATCGTGTCATTTTAACTGGAGTAGTTTGCAGCTGACCTGTTAGCTTACTGGGTTAAAAGCTAAATGTTGTCGGCGTAGTAGTTACCGACAATTACAAGTGTGGTACTTTGAAACAACCAAAGTCTTCTTTCAATCTAAGTATTATTTAGAAGTAATATTTAACGTTAACCCATTCGAAACAACAAAGTTGTAAATCCACAGCGTGTCCCTAATCACTGCAACGTGGAATGTCACGATAAAAAGTTCACTTACTGCTCATAATTTGAAGACGGGAGGAGTTTGTGTAGTCTTTTTCGGGTTGACAACTTTTCACAACTTCAAACAAACTTGAGTGCTCCCCTATGAAGAAGAAACACGGTGCGTTAGATTTAGTCACCTGTACGCGCCGGCGGTCTCCAACTCCGTACAATCTAGCATCGTCTGCGCTAAAACGTGTAATGCACAATGTAATGTTAATTGCATAATTAATTAATTAATTACAGTATTAGTAATATGTTTGTTTACATTTCGTTTACATTATGTAGGCTGCAATACTGGTGTAAACTTTAAAGTGTCATCATAAAATTACAGAGCATAATTAGTTTTGAATCTATTTTAGGATCAAAAGGCAACATGGTTGTTTGATCATGTTTGCCAAAGGGTAAATCGTAATTAATTATGTGTTTAACTAACAAATGGGTTTAATTATTGGCACGTTTGTTCCTCATGATGGTTCTCTGTAGTTAAAGCTTTTATCATCACCAAACGCACCTTTTTTTAGAGTTACTTGTGATTTACAGCCAGATTGGCCAATGGAAATGGCTCTTTCTTAAACTACCGTACATGGCGTTAATCATTGGCTAATCTGTGGCTAGTTGGGCGGGTTATAAGCATGGTAGGTTACACCAACGGAATTTGATTTCCCCCCCTTTCCTGGTTTAAGACAAACGCAAAACGTGTCAAGATATATCTACCCGTTTATCACTTATATCACAAAGATGTTATTAACTCTTATGATTTAACAAGAAACAGGAGAGGAGGGCGCTGGGGATGGCGATATGAATAGGCTGTTTGAAGGTTGCCTCCGTGGCCACTGACCACTCCCTACAGGGTGGGCCTTGGCGCTCTGAGGAGGCAGAGGGAGGAGGGGATCTGGGAGGGGATTTGGGCGGAAAGAAGGGGTTGGCTAAACCAACTTGGGTTGTGTGACCTGGAAGGAAGAAGTTTGAAGCACAGGATTGAATAGAGAGCTACAGAGTTGTCTTCTTTATTAAGTTATACATTTGACAGTGATATCAAAGTTACAAGTCCAAATTTAAAGAATTTTGTCGAATTTTTCACGTCTCTTCCACACCAGGGGCGTAACATACAGTTCAACCTGACGGCCTTTCCTGGCTACTTAGAACCACAGAAGGTAGGTGGTTGGTCAGACAAGGCCCTCACACCCCTGGTGTGGTATAGAGGTGAAAAATTTAACCAAATTCAATAGGTGTGGACTCGTGATAAAATAACGTAACTGGAGCCCCAGGTACTTTGTTTGACCCTGTAGTTATCAGAGTTGAGAAGAATAGAAATCTTGGCTCCCATTAAGAGAACCTAGTGAAAACCAACCCTTACTTGCAGTTGGTAGTAACTAGTGCAAATTTTCAATTCAATAATCAAGTGAGAGATGAATGACAAAAGGGACACCAACCCTTGTTTCCCCTACTCCAAATTTGTTTTTTTTACTAGGATGTATTTTTACAAATAAGTATTTTTACTAGGCTACATGTACTGTATTTTGCTAGTTCCCAACACCACATGTACCACCACTGGTACTCACCACAGTTTGAGAACCACTGCTACAGGATGTGTCTGACACGGGCTCAACCCACTATGATAGAAGATATGTAAAGTAACTTCCTCTGCAAGAACTCAATTTAAACACCGACATGAAACTACCTTTAAGTATTGTACAAAAAACTGGGCTGATGTTTATTCATTTGTCACAACAGGAAAAGAAACAAAAGGCCCCAATACAACAGGAGCTGCATTTATCAAGGTATTTTTCTTTTGTTACATTTTATTCACAACTACAAATTTATGCCATTACCGGGTAACAGATCAACGTAGAATTTAAATTCTTTACAACGGTGCAATACAATAGCACATGTAAAACAATATTTAAATGTAATAGGTTAATGTATACCTATACCAAAATCTCAATCAAATAGTAGCCAACATGTGAAATGAACACATTTGTCAAGCTAAAAACTAATTTCCTTTCAAGACTCAAAATGTGTCCTGGGCTATTTACCCATGGTCCCATCAACACAGCATACAAAAGGAAAATGTAGCAGGCACAGTCCAATACAATATATATTTTTTTTGTGTTATGTTTCACATACTCTTGCCACATACACAGCTGTGTGTGAATACATGCTGATGCTGAGCCACCTTGAAGATGGAGAGCCCAGCGTCCACTGTGAGGCGCCGCGCCTGGATCAACAGCTGCCGTCAGCGACTTACAGACCCACTGCTCTGCAGCCTCCAGTCCACTACTATAGCCGACGATGACGACGTCTTCTGTGACGGTCAAGTCAGTTTACCAGGTAAGTAAAAACAGTAAGAACATTATGCACAGTAAACTTCGATTGCACATGCTGCATACTATATTTACCCTTTAGTATGATTGCGATATCACATTAAAACAAATGTATCAAATTAAAAATGCACTGCAGAACTTTTTTGGTGGAAGTAATAGTACTTACTCACCTGGAATGTTTCAAATATTGAATGCAATATTGTATGAAACTAAATCCATCAAAAAAAAAAAAAATAATAATCATTTTGGGTGTTTTAATTACTCAAAATTACCTGAAAAACATGATTTCTTACTGTGACCAGGGTTGCCTCTCCACAGATCTGACCTTGGCATGGTGGCAGGTCCACATTCCAGGGAAATATATCAGTTTAATGCAATACTATTGGACATTCTTACATCTCTATGGAGAGGAGACAGGAGCAAGTCCACCTGAAAAGTTACGCAATGCACCTTTAATCTTTATGGTTAAGACTTGGGAACTATTTTTCACATGTGGCATGATTTTCTATTATGCCATCTTAGTAATAAAACCTGACCGCCTCTCTGGGTAAAATGTGACATGATTCCTTCAAGGCTGTCAAGAACTGTACAGTGCATTTTAACATAGCTATTAATATAATTATGGATAATATTTATCAAAATGTACCATTCAGAAAGCAGAGCACTGAAGCTCTCTCTTTCCACAGGATGTTCTACTGGAAAGATTGAGAACTGGTTTCTCACTTGTAGGTGAGTCACCTTTTTGTTTGTTTATCAAGAGTAAATTACAGCCTTTGGAAACTTAGTATTACGCGTAAACTCTCTGAGGTCAGGTGTGCTAGAAAGTGCAGATATTGTGGTAAGCTTGACACACAATTGCTTTCCAGTTGTGCAGTTTTCTACGTATGCACATGAATACAACATCGTCTCAACACGTGTCAGCAGATTATTCAATTTTGAGAAAAGTATCTGCTAAGTGAGATTTCTGAGTTCTATTTGGTACCAAAAGAATGGTTGCTGATAACTTATATTACCTGTAATCAGAAACATTTTCTGATGTATTTATTGTTCATTAGACCTAAGTTTAGCAAATTATTGGTCTGTCTGATTTCTTCTAAATCCTCTTCTCTTAGTTAACACAGTTTGAGCGAGACATTAGAGTTAAAAAAAATTAAGTGAAAGTTCATTCTGCACCAAAGAATTTCACGCGCAAGCATCCAACTAGAGGCTCTTGGCACGATTTGACAGAGTGAACATTGTATTATGTCACCACTAGATGCTACATTACTTCTGCTTGTTAGCATGGCAGCTTTGCCACAGGTGAACCTGAACAAAGGCTAGGTGAGGGTAGAGGGGAGCGGTGAACAGATTTCATATCTGCGATCTACTGGTAGAAGAAAATCAAGTAAACTTAAGGGAAGGCAGCCTTAAAACTTTAACTGTTAGTTTTTAATTTTATTTATTTATTTTTTTACATCCATGCAAACTTTTCACTGTTGAATTTAAATGAGTCTCAAGTGTTAATACCTTTTATCCTAGGTCTGGGAGCTCAGAACATACTGGGCAGTTGAGTTTTGGTAAGCCATTTGATTATTAGTGATATAGCCTCGTAAAACATGCAAATTACTTTATGTGCCCTCACTTTGCAGTAATTACTGTTGCCATTCTTCTTCTTGTTGCAAAAAATGTTTAAATCAATATCACTTACATTTGACAGATTCAGCACTCAAAGCTGGAAGCATTATCGATGAGCTAAACCTTGGTGCTGATGGTACGTTTAAACACTATGACTGAATAACAATAGATTATAACAAGCTGAAAAAACTGTGTTCTCAGCATGTGATAAAATGTGTTAGTGAAGGCGGTTCTTCACCCTGAATTTTAGGAAATGCCTCTGAAAGAAAAGTGTTTTTTGTTTTTTTTTGCCTTAACTTACTATTTGGTTGACCTGTGATCTGTTGTACACTCTTGTTTCAGCAGACACAATGGATAATACACAGGATACGTGGTAAGTAATTATACAATGATTTATAAGTTTGCATTGTGGTATTTCTGAGACTTAGACTTTATAGAGCCACAAGGGAAATTGGACACAGTAGCTCACACACATATATTAAATTATATAACTGTATGCACAGTAAGTAAAAAACAAATACCGTAATATAAATACAGGGTATCACAGTCATATACAAGAGGTCATAAGGAAAAAGTGCAAAGATGATATGAAGATTGACAGAACCACAAGCTACATAAAGGTGAGTTGTTGTACAGGTGTACGGAGTATGGTATGAATTCTTATATAATTCCTAAATCCAAGGAAATATTTAAAATATATTTAAAATTTTATTTATGTCTTTTAAGCTTTGTCCAGCATCTGCTAACCAGAGCAACGTATTAACCAGCCTGTCATGACACTTCCTCAATAGATAGTAGATAATAAATAACTAACACATGTTTTACCACTTCTGTTTATAATATTCCATAACTTTTGTACAATAAATATGCTAATATGTTATTAACAGTATAGCTCATGAGCTGTGTCTGCACTCCCAAAACCCGGGTCACAGCATGGGATCAAGCTTTAATTCTTCATCAACATGGAATTCTACAACAAGGTCAACCAACCTTAGTAATTTTAGTTTATATGTAAATTTTCTGGTTTTAACTGTGAGCCTTTGCCACTCCAGTGTAGCGGAAGTCCTTCAGGTGTACTCAGAGAAGGCAGAAGAGACTTTATATGAGCTGGGATTTGGCAGTGAGGACCCACAAGTTACTGTTCGTATCCCACCACGATTCTTTACTTTTCCATCTCAGGCCAAGGGCATAAACTTCCGACTGTTTCTGGATGCCCAGCTACAGAGAATTCGTGAAGAGGATCCAAGCCTCTCCCTTGCTAGTATGACAATAATTTGATTATTTAAAACATTTGTAAACCATTAAAACATAGGCCATGAATGATATTTTAAAACTTGTTGTTAAACATGTTCTTGTTTTCTTCTGGTTACAACAGTTCTCTCATTTTCCTCAGGTCGTTTCAGACAAGTACAAGTGCTCACAGCAATGGCTAATGCATTCTACTCACTGTACTCCCATGTGTCCCGAACACCAGTCCAGAAACTCCCCACACCAGAATTTAACTTTTCCACTCCCATTGAGCGAATGGAGCGCTTTAGAAGTAGCCTTCGCAGTGACCCGCGATCCCCAGTGGACAAGCTCAAAGACACTGTCTCCAAAATGTGTCTCTATTCAGGCTCAAATCGAGAATTTGATTCACCTCTGCCATCACCCAAAAAACGTCTCAGCTTGCCTGACATTGTGGATATAGTTCTGGAGAAACCTGGGCACACGAAAAAAACTGAAATGGGAAAAGATAGTGTAAATGTGTTACTAGATGTTTGCATGGCTGATCAAGACATGGACATGGAGTACATACAAAAGGAGAATGAGCAAACCAATGGAGCACATACAACAGGAGAAAGAGCAAACCAAAATAGGACTATAAAGAATGATCTTGCATTCAGTGACCAACCAGATATTTGTCAAACTGAAGACTTCTGTGTTGAGACAACATGCCTTCCCTCATTATTATCAGAGGACCCAGGGTCAGCTATTCAGTTAACTAATCCAAAATCATTGGTGAAAGCTGAACAAATACGTTCACAGATAGTGGAGAGCATACATCAGGCCCCCTTTTATTAACAATATGGAGACTTAAAAAAACAGATTAAGAATCAGAAGAGACTTAAATCATATAGACCAAATTCTAGACAGTAAGAATCAGTGTATGTTTCCTCTTCACCTGCAGAAAAGTAGTAGTTTGTCCTTCAGTATCCAATATCACATACAGTTACAGTGCTGCATCTCTGTACAATCTGAAAATCATAACATAATAAAACAGCATCTGTCTCCAGTGCTACATACTATGTCATGTAATCTTCCAACAAGACAGCAACTTTATACTTGAAGAGGTAATATGATTTAATGATGCTTTCTCTGTAAATGTGTAATAATAATAATAGTAATAATATATAAATGACTATAACTGACTCCCATGTGCTTTCCATTCTTTTTTAGGCCTTTAATTGAATTTAATGTTATTTTGGTGTTAATTAAGCCCAGAGCATTTAATCTGATGATTTTGTATTTGGATGTGTACAGATAAAATTGTCCAAAAGAGAACACCCAAGTACAGTAACGATGTAACCAAACCCCTTGGATTGGCAAAGTAAATGGCTAAAAAGGTGGATGTTATAATTACAAATCTATGATGGATCTATCAAAATGATCTGAATACTTCAATATTCTGAAAATCTATTTCTAAAAAAGTCAATACACAATGTTTGGCTGTAAATGTGTCATTATAGCAATTGAATAGTTTACTTATCTGTAAAAGAACAAAATAGCGTATTCAGATGGGTTTCAAATGACATCACAGTATTCTGTGAGACAATAATATTAAATACAGATGGGCAGCAGTGGCTATGTTAAAAAGCGAATTGTTGCTATATTATAATGAGTTCTAGGCATCTATAGCCTAATTTCAACATTTGTGAATGTAACTGGATTAAAATATTGTGGGGATTATAGTCACTCTAAGAATCTGAAAACCACCAATAGTAGACCTACCGCTTAAATCTACACAGGAAATAATTCAGTGAACGATGTCACATTTACAGTAGCCTACATGCGTGAAACACTACAACACCATCTGTGCCTTTCTCAAAGGCAAAGCTATTGCGGTATGGGACACTAATTAATAGTCCTGTGAGGAGCAGCGGCTCAGTCCTCTCTCCCACCAGTGCATAGGCTACTGTTGCTGTGTTCTTTTGCAAGGCACTTTTTGCTTCTGTGTGTGAGCATGTATGACTGTTTTCTTAATCGAACGGAGGCAGAACAGTTCTATGGCAATAACAAAGATGTAGAAGCCAATGATGGAATTATACAACGCCCTCTGCTGTCCATTGACATAACCTACACATATTCAGCGGATCATACTCGATAAAAACAACACAGAAAAAACGTCTGCTCCGTCTCGCCATGGCATATCACATATATGCCTTTGTTTGTGCGTTCACCTGTCTGATTGGTGCCTAATGTGAGCGGGGATGGGCTCTATTCTACAGCAGCGACTGCCACAACAGTACCCGGTGAGGCTGTGCACGGAGCCGGGATGGAAGCCGACGACTGGGAGCGACCACAGGCCTGAAGTGGACAGGTAGCACGTCACGGCTGCTTGTTTTTATGTTTATGTTCTTATCCCATTATAACCTATACCATTTAGTTCTACAATCCGTATTAGATTTTTTTTTTTTTTTTTTTTTTTTTTTTTTTTTGATTCGGTTGGTTTTCTTTCTGCTCATGTCATCCTTTGGTTTAACCTGAGAGTTCTCATCGCATTTTCTCCTTTTTGTAATCTATGTAATCTCAGCTACAATACGGACACGTTCTTGCTTCAGAGGAGGCCACAGCATCTACAGGATACACCCACAGAGCAAACCATTCGGGTTAGTAAATCACGTGTGCTAAATGTAGGCCTAATATCCTAAATGAGGCTGTGGGCTATTGTTCATCAAGTGAAATGTAAACAACTTAAAAGCAAAATTTGTATGATTTAACTCAAACTCAGTTATGAATGTTCTTGATGAATACACAGCATAAGTGTCTTATTACCTCCGCCAAGGAGGTTATGTTTTTGCCGGCGTTTGTCTGTTTGTTTGTTTGTTTGTTTGTCTGTTAGCAACATAACTCAAAAAGTTATGGACCGATTTTGATGAAATTTTCAGGATTTGTTGGAAATGTGAAAAGGAAGAATTGATTTCATTTTGGGGGTGATCCGGAAGAAATCCTTTGAAATTTTAGTTAACATTGTGGTAAATGGGGCAAAAAATTTTGTTTCTCAATATCTCGGTTAATTATTGACAAAACCGCATGAAATTTGACTCAGGGATGGACAATGGGATCCTCTTTCATTCCAAAGGCTGATCCGAATCTGATCCAGAAGACTGATTTTATCGCAATTTATATAAAAAATGGGGGTAGTCCTTGGCGGAGGTCTGCGCTCTCTGACTGCTTTTCTAGTTAAGTAAGCTTCTGAAATGTGTTCACAGACATCTCTGCCCAGAAGAATGCACAGATCCACCAACAGAAAGTCCAAATACAGGTATGATTGAGAAGACTGTACTTACATATGGCTGTACCTTTCACGTTTAAAAAACAATAGGGAATGCAACTGCAACAATATAACTTTCTCTTTCTATGTATAGGTATAATAAATAAGTTAAATAATGAAATGTAGGCACACAGTATAAACCATGTCTTGATTTATGTATTTATGTACATGGTGTAAATAATCCATGAAATAATAACAAATGCCATGATAATAATAACTATTCTTTCTATCAGTTCTCAGGTAACCTCTGAATCCCCATCTCCTGTACCACCAACTTCAGACCAGTCCCAAGTTCGAGCATCAGTTACTCTCTACAAAAAGAAGCACACAAATCCCACACGAAGGAGGCATACAGCAGCATTTCCCTGCCATCAAGCCCTCTCAGACTCCAGTCCAGACCCTGCTCTACGACTCTCAGTGCTCAGGGAAAGTGGTGCCCACAGAGATGACGACAGCGACACAGACCTGTCTGAATCTGAAAAACTTTCAGAACTGCCCTGTGGTGGTCCCCCTCCACAGTTACAGCTGCGACCGGAAGTGATCACTCTTGAAGAACCTCCACTGTGTAGTAGACACAAAAACAAATCAAAATTTGAATTTCCAGACTTTCTCCCTCCACCTTTTAACTCATGGAGCCTCAACCAGTTAGCTTATTTTTATAACATGGAAGGTCGTGCAGCTTCCCAGCCTAAGCCCACTGGTCAATTAGAACGCTATTTGGAAAGACTTATGCAGTTAGAATGGTATCAGATCAAAACATGGCAAGATAACAATGGGACAACACATCCAGAGCCTTTAGCAGCTAGCCATAAGAGTCTGGTGTCTACCTCAGCCCGCCTCAGCACTCCTAAATGTATCCTGCAATGCCAGCGGGCCTTTCCCCTCACTATCCTGTCCTCTGTGACTAGCCACTGCGCTTACATTGTCTGCACAACACGAAACTTGTCCTGCAGCTGCCGCTCCTCTGGCAACCATGCACGCCCATCCAGGATGAGCCCGACCCAGGAGAAAAGAGGGCCTTCCTCACTACCCAAAAGAAGTTACAGTGAAAGCCGTGCTCCTTTGCTTAATCAAAGGCTGAGTAGTCCTGTCAGGAATCAGGGCCATCTAAAGCAGATGCAGGCTGCAGGAAACCTCCGAAGTTCTGTACATGCCGTTTACAACAGACAGCCCTCCACTGCCAGGGACCAAGGACCACTGTGGAAGGATAATTTTCCAAATTACAGAACTGGCTTTGTCCGGAGTGGCTCAGTAAATAGAAAAAGCAACTCAGAACGGCCGCATAACAGTGCAGAAAAGCGGCGGGGCAGGTCTGAGTGTAGAAAAGGACATGCTGAAAGGAGAGCACAACAAGAGGTAAAACCTGATGCTGTGAATGCCATAATGGACAATTTATCAGCCACCAAGTCTACTGCTGTGAATAGATTGTCCAGGTCAAAACAGATTGAATTTATTACATGACCTTCAGGAACTAATTTTGTGTACTTCACACTAATCCACAAATTGTAAAAATTGTCTGCCTTGTACTCTCCATATCTGCTATCCACTGCCAAGTTTACAAATGGTTCACACTGGAGTGTGGTGAATGGTGTGCTTTTTCAGTTATTTGAAATGTAGTATTGGTGCTATGTAATAATAATAATAATTAAAAGTGATTTTTTTTTTTTTTTTACGGTCCTGAAAAAAAAAAAAGTATTCATTGTGTTTTTGTTTTCTTTCTCACAGCTTATGCAAATCATAACTTTAGGCTATATAGATTAGGCTACACTTTGAATTTACCTATGTTCACAGACACTTTAGTTCACAGATAGTCATTTAGTTAAGGGCTCAGTAAATGCCTTATGCAGGGAATTATTCAAATGTATAGATGGGGATGTGATAAGACTGCTATTGTACAGACAAAGGCAAAGTACGAGTGAGTGGGATTCGGAATATGTGTGGTCAATGCCCATTGCCCTGCTGACCAGTCAAAACCCCAAAATTATTGTAAAAGCTGTCTGTTTAGGAAAATGCGATCCAGTGTGATCAAGTATTACACTCGTACCCGTAGGTGGCAGTATTACCACACTATGGATGCCAGCTGCCGTACAAACAGCTGCTCAAAGAAGAGGGTCCACAGACCCCTGCTGCAGCCGGAGTGGTCACACATGTCCGCCATGCAGCAAAACAATACATCCCATGAAGACGAAATAGCAACTGGACCACACTGAAATTCTACGTTTATCCACGTTACTTGCTTTCAAGAACTTCAACAACATGGGCGTCCACGGTTTTCAGGAATATATCGAAAAGCAGTGCCCGATTGTCGTGGTGCCAGTGGAGCTCCACAAGCTGACTCCGGGAGGAGGCGGACGCCCCGGTCCGCTCCGCTTGCTGCTGGATGCAGAGGGCTGCCTCCATCGGCTCTACGGGGGATTCTACACTGACTGTGTGAGCGGCCCTCTCCAAGGTTTGCCTAAGTGCCAATATACAGTTTCTGGTCTGCTTTAATGGCGCCCTGGAAAAAGCCGGTTTCACCAGTGGGTCAAGCGTCAAGTGAACGAGAGACAAACAGCCCAGCAGATCACAGGCCATATCCCAAAAGTATGGTTTCCACCTCCCGTCTGTATGGTCCGCTGCATCCGGCTGGCGCGTGAAGGTATGTTTAGATCCACGGCCTGGAGGACATAGCCTGTTGAGCACAGCCTTCAGCCCGCCAGCTTAGCCCAGGGCTTGGACCGGTATTGGATTGGATCGATCACCTGCAGATAGCTCTAACTATGGAATTTTAGGAGCTTACTATTCCTAAAATAATATAAACACAATATAGACAAGGAGATCATGACACCAACTGACCAACTTATAGGTCAGACTTTACAAATCCTTGTTTTTCAAAGTCTTTTTTTAACAATTCAAAAATGTAGTCTAATGAATATTTGCAACTTGGATAGGTATGGAATATCCGGAGAAATATCTATGAAGAGGAGCAAATGGTTGAGCCTCCACCTAGACAGGACATCATACAATAGTGACCAATGGCATGTAACTGCAATAAAATGACTGCAGTTGTAACCACACCCGCATTTAAGAATGGCCACACTGTTAATACGAAATGGCAAAAAGGCAAGAAATGCAACATAAAGTAGGCCATTAGGGCAACGAGTCTCATTGATACATTAAAATGTTTTGGAAAAAAAGGGCTCTATACTCATTTAAATAATTTCCACTTCCTATGTTAAGCAATTAGTTTACTTTAGTGCAGTGGGTGCATCGGTATACTTCTGGACGACCACATCACGTCAACTTTCTCACAACTTCCCAATCCTATCAAAACAAAACAATGGGAAATTGTCTTTGTAAAATAAAGGTCAAAGTCTCTGATTTATTGTCTCCACTTAGGTTGTCCAGACTATGGAAGACCAGGAAATATTAGCCCATTTCCAGAAATGACTTCCATGGATTGGTAGCTTATGGCTCCGACTATGCTCTCAGTAACATCTGTCATTATTTCAGTTCCCAGGCTCTCAAACTGAGCTGCAATGTCAAAAGCATCACCACCACTCAATATCTTCTACAAGACATGGCGAACCAGTTAAATACTCAAGTTCCTCTGCTGTTTTTGCTGCACTTTTAAAAATTTACTAATCACAGTGGGTCATTCCATGCCATTTCAAGAAATGGCCCACGCACTTCGATCTCAAAAAATTTTGAAAAAATTACCAAATAGTCCCTTACTATCATGTACCAACCCTGTGAAGTTTTAGTCATTTTTGATCATTACTTTTTCAGTTACAGCTCATTTTATGAGGTGAGTATGTGTCAATTTACGGGCCCAAAATCGCATCATTTTTTCTCGGCTGTTTTCACAGGTCGATATCTCAGTAAGTATCACACATAGAAGGCTGAAATTTTGTAGGCTTGTACTTCTCTACTCTGTGTTCAAATAACATCTATCGAAAGTTTGGTATCTCAACCCATTGTCATTTTATATGAACTTAAAAATTAAAAAAAACATTTCCATGGTGTACATTTTTAGCCCCCTTTTAAACCTACTTGTAGGTGTAGTAGACCCTTAAATTTTTTTGAGAATCAAGATGACTATCACTAGCCCTATCCTCTACAGAGAATGACAAGAGCATAAGCACTCTCAAGTGTGTTTTTGTATTTTTTTGTTGTTGTTTTTAACTCTGAACACCTTTTTGTTTGTACTTGTTTTAGTAGATATTAAGTATCAAATTATATATTTTGCATTGGAATTATAAATTTTCTTTGTTTCTGTTCTTGCAGTAACCATAAAGAAAAGTGGAACAAAAGTGACAGAACACCTAAGTCTGCAATCAGTGCAGATGCAGAGCCAGAGGACCAGATAAAAGTGAGTTGCACAGGTGCACTTATGGCATCCAGCTTTTTTAACTGAAGGTTTTGATAGATCTTGAAATGAGCTTGTTGTATCCAGCCCGAGCTCACTGTGGGATCACAGCCTAAGGCCCACCAAACCCACACACCCTCGTTACTGTCCATGCCCACCAGGAGTCACATGGACTGGGGATCCCTGCTCTCCCTGCAGTGTTCACTGAGGTCCTGCGTATCACCGAGCTCAGGCACAAGAATGGCCTTACATCTACCATGTACTCAGCAAAGTCTTTTTCATATAAATTAATCACTCATTTGGTCCTTTAAATGCTTCTCTTGTTGTACTGGAAAATGTAAACTCGTTGTGAATCTTTTATATAGAGAGATTAAGCTTCCCGTGACAATTGAGGATGACACTAACATGGACCTGCCTCCAGTAGTTTGGCTGTTTCAGCCAATCCATCATTACGTTTATGGTGTATTGTTCAGTCTAGCTGAGGCCAGGAGGAAGGCTGAGAGACTTGCAGTGTCGAAAAACTGCTAGCTAGAATGTATGTCCATTAGAAACACTACCTACATTATTTTTCAGTATACTGGATACTGGTCACAGAGCTGAACCTCAGCTATCCCAATTAAATTTACTGATTAATATAAATGGTTGTATCTCCATTTCTTTCAGCTAATCATAATAATAGTAGTAAAAGAATGGGCTGCATTTAATGGCAAGGCACCACAAATCCCAGAGCTGGTTGAAGCTTTGTCCTTCAGGGAGTGGACTTGTCCAAATCTGAAGAAACTGTGGCTGGGAAAAGGTGTGGAGGACAAGAACTGCTGGATGCGAGCTTTCCTGGCTTGTATGTGCTCCGACACTCCAGCTATGCTCAACCCTGCCAACATTCCCACACCTTTTCTGGTCCTCTGTTGTGTTTTGAGGTGAGTAGTGGAGGGCAATTTCACAAACTGGGAAAGTTTTGTGTTTCGTCTTAGGTTTATGTTACAATGGCCAGGAATAAGAATTTTGCGTTGTAATGAACTTGACGCTTTTCCAACCCAGGCACTTTCTCCTAAACTATATAAGCCTGAGCAGCTCCAAGAACTTAAGGTGATAATGTAGTAACTGTATGGAGAGTGTCAGAGATTTAAATACAATTAAAGAAATAGATCTTTTATTTTCCTGTTTCATAATTTAATTGGATAAAAATTATTATTTATACGTAGGAAAGGTGTCAGGCAACAGGTGTCCTTGATATAGTAAGAAAGTAGTACATTTTTATACTCATACTTTGAACAAACTGAAATGGATTCTTTCAATGTGCACATTCCTGTCGCTATTGCTTTTACCTGTCATCTCTTATTCATCCATTTCCCGTGCCTCCTCTTCACAGGATGCCTTTATACCCACCTGGGTCATTCTACTTACCACATCCTATGTTTCCAACTCGCCAGAGAAGAGGCCAGAGGCTGCCCAGTAAGATGTCTACAACAATTAATATGCCCTGACTAGATGACAGAACTATAAAGGATAACAGAAATGTTCTGAGTAACTTAGTACCACCTGTGGTGGAATCACTGACTAACACACACACATTTTAAGCTTCTGGAACAGAACAACAATACGCAATTTAAACAAAAAGGCTGTTTACACTTTTAAACATAAATATGGAAGGTACAGCTACAAACATGAATGAACTTGTGTTCATAAAACGGTAATCTTAGTAAAAACATTGCATAAGCTTTCTGGAAACAGAACAACAATACGCAATTTAAAACAAAAAAGGCGTTTACACTTTAAAACATAAATATGAAGGTACAGCTAACAAACATGAATGAACTTGTGTTCATAAAACGGTAATCTTAGTAAAAACATTGCATAATGCCATCACAGAATATCAACACAAACTGTTTGGTATTCGGCACTATGGACCCACAGCAGGGTTTTCATGTAAGATCAGGATAGTCTCACATCTCTCTGAGAGGGAGCATTCTCTGTACTGATTTCTTGATTTTTTTTTTTCTTCTTGATATATCCTTAAATAGCCAAGATATACAAATTTCAAATGCACTTTTGGTTTCCCATTTTTACCAGCATGCCCAGGGCCTTCCTCTCAGGACGAGGCATTGGGCAGGGACCAAATGTGAACAAGACAGAGGAGGACTCCCTGTTCAGTTGGTGTCTGTAGGAGAAACCAATTGAGGGTAAGAGTAATAGAAAAGTATATCTTTTTGTTTTATAATTTTTTAATTGTGAGAAAAAAATATGTAGAATATGTCTTCTAGGTACACCAAAGGTATCATTTCCACACCTTTGTTCCAAACCTTTGGCATTGAAGGGTATTTCTATGCTCGAGTCTTTAAAAACCAGGCAATTAATCTGGTAAGTAAATAATTATCGACTTGATATCAGCATATTTACTATTGTTATTTATGGTCTATTTAAACTACAAGTAATCATTAAATACATTTCATTGGAGTGAAGTGAGTGTTTCTTTTTTCATTTGGATTTTTTCATATAAAAATCTTACTCTGCTACACATTACTGTTACTGTTTTTTTCTTTCTTTTAGTTCTTCTCCCAGAGTAAGCCTGTTCAAATGCCTACAGTTACACCAAATGCAAAGAAAGAGAAAAAGAGCAACTTACAGGACACCAAGCCAGAGCAGCTGAACAAGTCTCGCCACCAACCCCATAGTGCATTGAAGCGCAATACTAACCCTCTCTTAAATGCACTAAATCTAGGTAGAGGCCAGGGACAAAATTAAGCACTTGAGGCTGTTGTCTTAACAGAGAAATAGCATTTATATTTTGTATTGCTTGTCAAGGTTAGAATGTTGTGTCTGATGAGGGGAAAACTAGACTGCTTTCAATCACCTAAGTGTGGCCAAGAATGAAATTTTGATATTTCTTTGCAGACATAATTGTTCCAGGTAATTTGCCTTTCTTTGTCACAAATGTTTTTCTTTTCATTTGTGACATATTTATCTAAAAACAAGGTTTACACTGAATGTGTGGTTCCACAAGCCTTTGTATAATAGTAACCCGAAAAGCACTTTTCTTTCTAAAGCTAAACTGGTAAAATTGATACAATTCCTATTAAGTAAATAAAACATTATTTTGTTGCTTTTTACAAGAAACCTGTTGCTTCAATGTTAACAGGGTAAACCAGTTCTGCATGAGGTTTCATCAGTAATTTAGCTCACAGTCTTGATTTGGCAGTCAGCAACCCAAACCAGTGTTGGATGAGTCTGTGGTATTGTTTATGTTGTATCAGTACGCCTCAAATAATGTAATAGGTTGTTCATTGTGGCTTTATTAAACTTAAGCCAATTGTTAGACATCCCATTTCTGTTAAATCAAATGCTAATGGTTACCAAAAATGTTTTGTTTTGTGCATACACTACAGTTCTATACAATCTGATGATTGGAAATTAACTACTGTTTGACTGAATGTTGGACTGTGGCTTAAAAACAAACTTGATAAAGTCTATTCTCTCTTGGCCCTTGTACTTTATTCTTTCTTATTAAGCTCTCTCTCTATCCATCTATCTATCTATCAATCTCTCTATCTCTCTCTCTCTCTCTCTCTATATAATATATATATATAATATACAGATGAGAGAGAGAAGAGAGAGAAATAGATAGGATATATGTTAATATATACCTTCTGTGGGGGCAAATCTGCAAAAATGTTTCATTACCACTAATGCAATGTCACACCAACAATAATATTTCTATGTAATATGGTACTGTAGACTTGCTATGGGTCTGGAACAAGATTACGTATTGATGAAAAATAACTGATTTGAGTTATGATATAATTTTGGTTTTTTGGTTATTATTGTGTTATAATATATATAATATAATATATTTTTAATAATCTAAAACAAATTTGAAAAACAGTTTTATGGAAGACTTAAAGATATTTAATGTTTTTTTTTTCTTTTTAAAAAATTATATAATTGCTGAGTAATTGGCTATAGTTCGGACTTATTTCAATATGCATCAAAATTATCTCATTCTCCTCATTGCAAAACCATTGCATGACGTAACGCCCGCATAGGCTGTACTGTATTATCTATTTCGTAACCGATCAGAGCTGCTGCTGCTGCTGCTGCTGTGTTTTCTAGATGGCTGCTAACACGAGCGGCTCGTTGTACAGTCACCAGGGGGCACGCACACGGTAAAAATCATAATAATGCATTTGAGGAGAGCCTGCTACGCCGAGTGTGCATCGACTGGCCCTTCTCTATGAGAACGCACACGCCGATGTGCCGTGTTGGAGATGTGCATGTAGTTCATGTGTCCGGCGGGACTGCCCCTGGCTTTTTCTGGGGATCATATTGGATCAAATTGTTTGCAGGCCGTTGTTCCTCCTGCAGCCCCCCAGTCTATCCCGACGTAGTTGTGAATTGAACATGGCGACTGTACCAGTATATTGCATCTGCAGATTACCTTACGACGTGATCTTTTATGATCGGATGCATGCTTTGCAGGAATTTTTCCAAGCTTAAGGGGCATATTATTGACCGTGCTGCATTTGTGGCGCCTTCTAGCAGAAAACAAACAAAAATGGCGAGCTCTCGGGCGTTTGACAGCTTTGTGGCTCTCCCTCGGCCGTCTACATCTGAAGAGAGAGGCCGCTCGGTGAAGAAGAAGAAGGCGGAGTTACATTTAGCTGACCGGGTTGTGACATTTTCACAAATATTATAAACCATTATCTGTTCATGAACAATACGTACGTAGCTTTATTGCGCGATTATGGCGCGGGCTTGGTCTATTCCTTGCATTCTGTGTAACATCCCCGCATATCCTCTAACTGAGGCACTCGGAGTGGACGACTGTGTCGACCCGAGCCTCAGTCTCGATTTTTACCCACTTCGCACTCATAAATGCATTTTACAGCATGTGCTGTGTAAAAATATCCGCGCGTGTTAAGTGTTTGTGGTGTTGTTTGTGCTCTGGTGTCCAACACCTAAAATCACAACCAGCATGAGCGCCCGGATCAGTCCCGTTGAGCCTTCGTGCTTGGCGGCAGCTATGGCTGACAAAAGCCCGTACTGAGTCCGGAATATAGCAATAATTATATTTTGGTTGTGGACGTGTTTGAGTTACGATGTTGCTTGTGACTTTTCACTTTCCCGTGTACATAAGCTGTAAGCTGGCTTGAACTAGATCGGAGTCATCGCTGTTCATTTTCCCTCCTAGTTCTTCGTGTGCACGCCTGCGTCTGTTCTCGCCTTTGTGTGTTTGTTTTTATACTACTGTAGGTCTTATTATAGCTAAAAACATAAGTTATTCGTGTTTGATTTGTCGAATGGGCTCTTCAGAGCGACAGAGAGTGTATTTACGCGCCTGAACGTTAACCCTTTGCTGCTCCACAGGCAGTCCCACCACAGACAGTCTGGGCTTAGGCTAAAGTGGCTAAGAGCTGCGCTGTGTCAAAAACACTTAGGATAAGTCAGACATTAAAGTCGAGCGTAGTCGTTCCGCGGATTCATCGGTTAAACCTTATATTGCAGTAAATACATAAATCAATATAGTTAATTCTCAGAGAATGGATATAGGCCTATCCAACGCTGTAATAATGTTTTTTTATTCAGTCCTGAAAATATTAAAGTACTGAACTCATAAGGTTAGTGTGGTATATCCTCGAATCTAATTCAGTTTAAATAACTGATATCTACATATATATATTTTATCTTTGATAAAGCCAGATATTATAGTTTGGAAAATGGCGTTATATATCATTATTCTCAATTTATTTCCATCATCCTTGGCTTTGTTATGTTATAAATTATGCTATTTTTTGTATGTGTTGTAAGGTAACATGTAGGGTTTCTGTATCTCAATAAATTGCACTAAGTATACCCCCTGCTAACAAGGATTTTCAAGTGTCCCTGTCAACCCACAAGTTAGCTATCAACATCAGTTAATTACAAAATGGAATTCAGGCATGTAACAATGACTACCAGTATGTTCACATGCACACCAAAAATCTGAATATTATCTGAGTTCTGGAGCTTTAAGATTATTTAAATGACATGCAAACTTCAAAATTGAATGTGAGTAATTGGAGAGACCATTATTAAAAAGAAATTAGACCATTATGCTGTTTATATGTTTTACATGTCTATAACTGAAAAATATGTTATTAATCAGATTTTGAGTGCGCATGTAACCACAGCATTTATGGTTTGTTCTTAAATAATTTTCTTTTAAAAAAAAAAGGGAAAACATCATACAATTTATTTTGCTGTGGCATTTGCCCAGTGTCTGAGATCGTATTCCACCTTTCTCAGAATACATGATTTATAGACAACACCTTTGTTATTGTAACAAGTAACATACAATATCGTCCCTGCATATTAAGGCCCAGTGTATGTTTTGTTCATGTTAACATTCAGAGTTCACATAGCTTAAATTTGAGGTGGAGGTAGCGAAGAAGTTTGTGGTTATTGTTATATTTAGTATCTCTGTAATTACTAGACATGGACTAAACAAATCTGACACAAGGAGGACCTTACTGCACAAATTAATTAAAATGGAATTATAAATGTATTTTCTTTACTACAGCTTCAGCAGTTGTGATATTATTTAGTCACATGGGTGTCATTGCACTTAGTAGAGACTACAAGATGAAGTCACAAGACTTATTTGTTGAGAGTTTTATGTAATATTAATAAAAAATAAAAAGAGGAGAGAGAGAGAGAGAAAGGTGGAGGGGAGTATATGTGGGAAACTCCCAGTTCATTGAGTCATTGAGTTCAGCAGCGGCTCCAAATGGGAGGAATCTGCCTTTGCAGCAGCAACGAACACCTGTGAATTCATTAACAACTACATAAGGAATGAATGAAAAATGAATGAAAACAAAACACATTCTGTGGCCAAAAATTAAAGTCCATACAGTGTTGGAAGGTGCTTTGTAGTATGTTTTTAAACTCAATAAAATTAGGTTGTTTTAATTTACATTTCTAGTCCTTTGCAGCTGTGTTGGTGTGGATGAAGATGATGCCCCAGATATTGATATTTATCACTGCCCGAATTGTGAAAAGACCCATGGCAAGTCTACATGTAAGTATTAATAATCAATAATTGTTTTTTCACTGTCCAGTAGACACACCATTGTATGTAATGACATTTATAATGCATTTAATGACAGTTTGTGCATAACATTGTAAAAAAAAAAAGAGTAAAATATTTTTTGCTTTATTGTCATCAATCATTCATAAAACACATCTATAACTTAAATTTCTAACTAATCAAATTTAAACACAATTTTAGGCTTAATGCTGTATTCATTCTTACTACTCTTCTTGTTACCACATCACAGCCTAAAACTCATCATTTTTATATTATTAAATTATGTCTGTGCCTTTTTCCCTTGGTGTAACATTTTGCATGTGAATATTGATATGTTCCCTAGTTTTATTTTTCCTATTTGTTTTCAGTAAAAAAGAAAAAGAACTGGAGCAAACATGATACGGGCCAAAGCACAGACATCAAGCAGTTCAGAATGGCAGTCAAGTGTTCATTAAAGAGCTACGCAGCAGAACATTTCCAAGGTAAATAGCCTGAGATGCCGATTCATTTTATAAGCTGTTTACAAGCGCTTTCAATTCAAATTCTATGAGTATATAGATGAGTTAACTGTGCTTTACTACAAAAGAATAGCTAGTCTGCTACCTTATAACTTAACCATGTTATTTTGCTTTTCCCTCATTGTTACCCTACTTTGAGTTTTACTTGAGTAATTAATGCACGTTTTGAACAGACTAGAAACACATTGAAAAAACAATTTGTTTTAATATTTTATTTAATAAAACCACCATATAAAGGTCAGAATCTGATGTAAAATTGAATTATGACGGGGTAGGGCTGAAATTTTGGTCCGGTAGCAGCGTGTTGTGACAAGATGCAAAATACAGTCACACACTAGCATGGGATGCTTTGAGATAAACTACAATAGATTACATATCTATGTAATTGAAAGCATTGCTTAACTAGTAGAACATTACAGGAATGAAAAAGTAATTAGCTTCTCCTGTGTGAAAGACCAGCTGTCACTGTTTACTTTGATTAAAATAATTGTCCATATTTTAATTGTCCAACGTGTGCAAAGAAAATCTGGATTATTATTCTGATTTTTTTGCCCATATCACCCAGCTCTAATTTAAACACAGTAGTTCTACCAACTCCCAGTCTATGTTGGGTTAAATTTTGCTGTAGGATGGAAAAAAAGGTCTATTTTGTGTGGAGCTAGACCAGCCTGTGATGCTTTGTAAACCTTGCTGTTTGTTTCAGTGCTGATGATGTGGTGGTGAAGTTGAGTGGTGTCCAGTTGACCATGGACTACCTGGAAGAGAACGGTTTTAATGAGCCAATCCTGGTCCAGAAGAAGGATGGCCTGGGCATGTCCATGCCTGCTGCCACTTTCTACATTAGTGACGTGGAAAACTATGTTGGTGAGGATGTGTTATTAAGAGTGTATGGGTTTTTAATTGAATTTTAATTGTTATCATAAAATACTATTATAAATATCTCCTTTTTTTAGACGTATAGACTTTCTCCTCATTTTAGACATATTGTTTTTCTTCAGGGTTAACAAAACTACAATGTAGTAATGCACGTCATGATGAATAATATAGTAACTTAATTTAAACCAAAAGATATTCCACCCATATACAGAATTTATCATCCTAACATTGCAACTAGTAATTCTATGATTCAATCTTAATCCTAAAGTGAATATACTGCTCCACCACACTGTAATATTGCATTCAGTTATAGATACATAAAATTTAAGTTTGAGCTTGGTGAGCCCAGACTGAGAACATTGCATCCAATGCATGGCTATGTCCACTAGAGGGCACCCTCCACTTTGAAATGTTTTTATGTTAGTTTTACAGGATATAATGTTTGTACATGTATAGTAATATAAGACTTCCTTTGTCTCACAGGTCCAGATGTCAGTGTTGATGTGGTGGATGTCACTAAGCAGACAGACAGTAAAATGAAGCTGAAGGAGTTTGTGGATTACTACTACAGCACAAACAGAAAGAAAGTATTAGATGTTATCAACCTGGAGTTCTCTGACACAAGGTCAGGCCTGAAACCTCAGCTTTTTTCTCAATTCATTCTCCAGATCTGGTCGTCATGTTTTCTATGTGTTTAATAGGATGAACAATATAGTTGAAAGTCCACAGATTGTCCGCAGATTGTCTTGGGTAGAGAACTACTGGCCCGATGATGCTCTGCTAGGAAAGCCCAAAGTCACCAAATACTGTCTCATTTGTGTCAAAGACAGTTACACAGATTTCCACATTGAGTGTGGTGGAGCATCCGTCTGGTATCATGTGTTGAAGGTATGTTCATATAAGCTTTGTAAATCAGCCTTCGGCTATAATTTGGTGTTCATTCATGTTGTATCTTAGTTTAGTTAATTTATTTTTAATGGGACAGTGCACTATCTACATTAACCTTAACAGGGGAGATGCATTGTACCAGATTGTAGCACCAGTACTAATTTCCACGTGTCGTCCCTGGGCAGGTTAATTGATTGTATAATGTCCATTAACATAGTAATACATCAAAAACCTGGTCCTTATACAAAGTTCACCACTGATGCTTATTTAAAATACATTAGGTAATGCTATTTTTATCCTCTGATCAAATTCCTATTATTAAAAAAAGATAATGGTATGTTTTGAAAAAGAAAACCAAGGACGCTATTGTCTTGCTGAAAAAGTATAAACGTAAGCAATGTTTTGTTTTGAATAAAAATAAATTAATTGCAAATGTATTGTTGTGTTTAGGGTGAAAAAATTTTCTTCTTGATCAAGCCCACCTCAGCCAACCTGTCTTTGTACGAACGCTGGAGGTCGTCGTCCAATCACAGTGAGATGTTCTTTGCCGACCAAGTGGACAAGTGTTACAAATGCACTCTGAAGCAAGGACAAACCCTCTTCATCCCATCAGGTGCTCACAGTAGTTTAGTTGTAGTGAAAAAAACGTTGGTCTTAATATTTTATTATATATTAATTAAATTGTTCTTACAGGATGGATCAATGCAATACTGACTCCAGTCGACTGTCTGGCATTCTCTGGGCATTTTGTCCACAATCTCAGTGTAGAGATGCAGATGAGGTTAGGAATTATTGTACTATAAATCATATATATATATATATATATATATATATATATATATATATATATATATATATATATATATATATATATATATATATATATATATATATATTTGTCTCTTCACAATTTTTTTTTACCTTTTAGAGCGTATGAAATCGAAAAGCGGTTGAATGTCAAGACTCTCACCCCCTTTCCAAACTATGAGACAGCCTGTTGGTATGTGGGCCGACATTTCCTGGAGAGATTCAAGGGTGAACACTTTTTCCTTTATTCTCCAATTTTAACATAACGCCAAAACTCCCTATTTGACCTCCAGCGTAAAAACAACCAGAGAACCTTCTCGCAGCCTGCAGCCATCGGCAAAAGTCTGCTGCACAGATGAAGGCCTGGATGCTATATTATTATTTCAGTCATTAAATTGGTGAATCTCTGAGTTCACAGATAATTAGCATCAAAAGGCTTGGCCCAGCTAGAATCACTTGCTCCATTACAAGTCTGTGTTTAAACTCTCCTCAGCTGGCTTGGGCCAATTGTTTATGTTTCCACCATTTTCTCTGCATGTGTTCAAACCAGATTGCTAATGTGCGTGCAGTACTTCCAACCCACAAGGCCTCACTATTAATATATCATTATGTTTTACTTTGAGGTCAACTTTTTAGTGCAAGATATTGTGTCAATTAATTTTAGTCTTGTGCAACCTTGATCATAATAGTTTTTTAGTGGTCAATTGAGGTTACTTTCTCATTAATTTTTGGTATTGTTTTTTTGCAGCGTTACACAAAGCAAATAAACAACCAGCTCCATATCTTGTACATGGTGCCAAAATAATCAATGGAGCCTTCAGAGCTTGGACTAAAAAGCAGGTAAATGCACATACAAAAGCTTTTTTTTTCTGCCCAGCTGCACTTCTGAGTTCTGCCTCTTGCACTGTTAAAGGCACTTTTGGAACATGAAGATGAGCTCCCAGAAAACATGAAACCATCGCAGCTTATTAAAGATCTTGCCAAAGAGATCAGACTGTCTGAGGTACAAATTTTTTTTATTTATATTTAGCCTGTGGCCTTTATTTCTGGAAATAATATGGAACTTTCAAACAAATGTAACTTTTAAAATCTGAGCTGTTTTTTTTTTTGGTTAGAATGCAACAAAAGCCATTAAAAGTGAGCCAAGCATTAAGATCCCAGTAGAAGAGCCACCATCAACACATTCAGAACCCGAGGAGCCTGTGTCCCCTGCTCACGTCCCATCTCCGAGCAGAGACAGGCCACGCAAAAAGAAACCACCCAAACCTCCCAAGCCCCCAAAGATGCCCAAAGCCCCCAAGCCCCCCAAAGTGCCCAAGGTGAAGGAGGGGGGGAAGAAGAAGGCCAAGAAAGCCAAGGAGATGTCCCCGCCACCCAAACCCTCCAGCTTTGCTGCTCTTGAATCCCATGCAAAGGACATCTTGAGTAAAATGGACCAGTCCAAAAAGGCCAAGGTTAGAAATTTTTTTTCAAATAAGCAAGATGAAGTTTGGTTTTCTTTTACAAAATATGTGTGAAATCAGTTAACTGTTGTATTGTCTCTGCATTGTGTATCTCTTGTTAGCAGGGCTAATGCTTTGTCAGAAATTCTGAGTAAAAAGTGTGAACTCTTGCTAATTATATATAATTTATATTGCACGTTGAACTATACCCATGATGATGAGGTTGATGTGGACAAGATGTTTTTGGCTGTTTTCAAAATTTGATTTTGTTGCCAGATTGCTATTTTTAAAAATAATTTTTAATGTTTTAATTATTTTGTTTATTTTCCAGGCTGTTAAAAGTGTTCTTAGTTCATCTGAGAAAGAAATAACCAAGCAGAACAGTGTGGATAAGTTTGAAATCAGAGAACAGAATAAAAACAAGACGGAAGCAAAATGGAAGTACAAGGTAAGAATGTGAATTTTTATGGTTATAGAGTGAAGAGTATGATAATGACCTCAAGCCAAAATAAACCCAATGAATATAATTGCTGAAAGATTTGTTCACTTCAAAGCAATGATGAGAAAATAATGATGTGTTCTAAATCACACATTGAGGCCTGTAGCTCATCAGTACAACTAAAAGAATGTTCACCCTTCAGTAGTTTACCTAATGGAATTACACCACGTTACTTCCTAACTATTTTCATCTGCTCCCATCTTCAATTGGTTTTGTTGTACCGTTGTAAAAGAACAATGGGGAAAGGCCTTTGGAGCATAAATATAATTTTGCTGAACGGAAGACATTAGAGGGATTAGGTTCCATGGAAAATTCAATGCCAAAGTACTGTGGAATGTTGGCCGTGTGTGCCTTCATCCCATTGCTCTGATCAGGACAAACACTTGCAGATGGACTGGAGACCCTCATGATGTGTCCAAGGTCACAGCAAACTACAACCCTTTTCCTTCAACTGATTAATAAAGTACAGCTTAGAACAGTGAAAGGTTGTCAAGAAATCAATACTGGCCTATGAAGAGTTTTCATAGTTGAATACCAGATTGAATGCTCTCCAAACTGAGTCCTCCTCAAGGGTCAATATTCATTTGTAATATAATTGTGGGTGTGTACAGAATTATGATGTAGCATAGTAAGTACGTTAGTCAGAGATAACTTTTATTATAAATGTCATTATAAGAACCACATTAGAAATCTTAGACACATTAGACACTTTACTCAGAAATCTCTAGTATCACACATGTATTTCCAGCTCTTTGGAGTATTTGTTGTTGTAACATCTGTAACGTTGTATGTGTTACAGAATAGTAAACCAGATTCCTTGTTAAAGATGGAGGAGGAAAGCAAATTTGACAGAACGCCACTGTCAAGCAATAAAGAAAGATTTAGCTTTATGTCTCACAAGAAACTGCTCAGGTAAGCGCTCAAAAGTATGTGTGAAGTGAGTGTCTTGTTAACCAATTCTGTACACTGGTGATTATGAACCGTTTAGCTATCAGCAATGCATCCATTAGCATTAACTCAAGGTCTTCACTTGAAGTGCTGGGCTGATCCTCGTACAAGTCACTCATTGTCCTGTGGTTTCCTTCACAGCTCCAAAATGCTGAAACCTCAGACCAACTCAAGTGTTTTTGGATCATTACAAAACCTAAAAGAGGACAAAGCCAAGCCGGTGAGAGACGAGTACGAGTACGTCTCCGATGAGGGTGAGTTGAAGATTGATGAGTTTCCCATCAGACGGAAAAAGAACACCACAGTTAAAAGAGACCTATCATGTGAGTAATCACCCCTGTTGTTTTTTTTTTCACAACAACCTTCATAAAATGTTAAAACACCTAGATTTACTTAAGATTTACATATATGTTTTTCAGTTTTGTCTGACATCCGAGAACCAATTCAGCCATCCAAAAAAGCAAAGTTCCAGCCTATAGTGAGTAAGGTAAGAACTGTTGGTGAACCGTCCTATATAGTCACAAAGCTAATGTGTTTAGTGTAAAAAGAAGAGAATATTTCATTTTGCTCCCCAAGGCACATGGGGGAAATACCTGTCTATGGAGCAAGGTGTTAAAATGCATTCTCACTAATGAGAGCTCTCAGGAAAGAACACTTGGCCACACTTAAAAACTTAAGAACCTTAGTTAGTCATATGTTATGTTTTAGTACATTTTAGTTACCCTATGCAACGTGAGAAACCTTACACCGAAACATGATATAAATATTAAACAGATGTGGAACATACTGTGTGTGTTTTGTGTGCTACATTTCTCTTCTTTGTTCTTGTTACATATTAAGAGTGCTGATTCGTCAGATGAGGAAACTCTACACATAGATACAGAGGCCAAACCTGATGTCAAAAATCGCAACTCCAAGGTCAAGAAAAAAGGTGGCAGTGCAGCGGGCATACTGGACCTGCTGCAGGCCAGCAAACAAGTGGGAGGCATTGACTACAGCACAAACAGGTAAATTCTCTTAAGCATTATCATCGGTAGTTATGGCTGGACTTAAGTTACCCTTTTGTTATGGTACAGTGGAAAAGAGTAAATCAGATGTATTCCAGCTTTCACTTGCTGTAAAGCAAGCAAATCAACAACTCATCCCAAGACTACTCACCAAAATTGATTTGTCTCTTGTCTCTTGTTTTCTAATGCTCATTTTTTCTTCACCAGATGAAATAAATTGCTCTAACTAAATTGAACAATGCAGTGTAGCACCCCTTTCACCAGAAATGTCTATAAACAGACACAGAAAAATTATCCAAAAGTGGAAACTAAATGGCTCCCCGAGAACATGTGCCATGACCCTTAATGAGTTTTACCTCTTATGCTCACTAATGGGCCAAGTCATTGACAAACAAATGGACACTTGGTGACAGATGAAGTGGTCTTAAATAGCCAGATTTGTAATTCTCTCAAAGTTAAAAATCTGAAGTTTACACTGATCCTTTCAGCATTGTTGCTAAGCCTGTTTGTTTCATCTCTAGTTAATTTATCAAAAGCAGTATGGCTCCAGGCCCTTCCTCTCATTTGATTTTTTTCTGTTTTGGTTGACTCTTGATGGTCTATTTCCACCACACTGAAAGGTACAAATGAGCAGTGAAAGAGAGAACAACTTCAAAATAATCATAATTTCAAAATAGTTTTCCTAATTATATAAAAGGGAAAAAACTTTAATGTAACACAATTCAATCTTTTGCAAAAGAAAATGAAATGCTGTCAACTGGACAACTTAATCTGTATTCTTCCTGTTGGATTTTGCACCTATTTTCATCCTGTAAAACAAATGTTCTTTGTGAAAATACGGTGCTTCATATGACAGGGCTCTGTTGCCATGGTGTAATAGACGTTTTGTTGTATTTCTCATGGTTGTACTTACAGCCAGCCCCCTGCATCTCCCAGCACACAGGAGGCCATTCAGGGCATGTTGTCCATGGCCAACCTGTCATCTTCAGACAGTTTACCACAGCCCTGGAGCAACAGCCAGTCCCGCAATCACAGCCAGTCCAAGAGCAACTCTCACGGCTCTCAGGCTAACAGGAAGTCCGGCAGCAGTACCACCGGCAACAACAACAGCAGCAGCAAGCGAGCGGCCAAACGCATGCCCAAGAAACCCCGGAGGAGCAGCAGCATGGAGAGCCTGGACTACGATGACGACCAGGACCACATGGATGCCTGCTTCAAGGACTCAGACTACGGTAAACATTTATTTGTAATTTGTAAATGAATGTAATCTATAATTGCTATTTTGCAGTGGTTTGTTGTGAGGTGGGCTCTCACATACAATAGGCTAGCTTAGGTTTTTTGCCATATGTAGTTAAACCCATTGGAAAAACATGTGCACTCAAAGTGCACCATGAGACATTAAAATACAACCACATGAACAAACAACAGACAATCATTACAGGCGACATACTGACACTAAAATAAATGAGAAACAAAGATTAAGTGTCTAAAAATGTAATGTGCTACATTAAAGTTCAACTTGCCTTGTTCAAGCTAATAGCTGCTTGTGGGAAGAAGCTACAGTAATAGCATGGCGAAAAGTCTGACATGTCTCTGCCAGGATGGCCAGAGGGGTCACGTATGATCCGAAGGGCTCGGTTAAAAAGTGTACTTTGGAAATAGTCTCAAAGAGATTCAGGTCACAGTTTGTGTTTTTTTTTTTGGCTGAGTTGAGCACCTTATTTAAAGCTTTCCTTTCTTTGGCTGTAATGTTGTCGAACCACACAGTAATAGAGCCAACCAGAAGCTGTTACTGAAGTCTTTGCTCCAGCTCAGATCATTAGACAAGGTCAGATCAAGAAATTTACACTCTTCTACAATTTGAACATCAGCATCAGAATATTGTGGTAGTACAAAACAAAAAACTATACTTAATGCAATATATTTTTGTACAGAAATATTGTTCATGATCTAATTCTGTTGAGGGGGCCATGGTACCCTTCACAGTCCTCGCCTTAATTCCAAAGTCAGTGTGGACAACATCAGTGCTAATATCAATATTGGTGATACTTTTTTCCACATCCACATACAAAAATCTCCAATATATCAAACTGTCTAATATCTTTTATCAAAGCTACATTGTTCTCTGTGATACAGCTGTTCATTGTCTCAGTGTCTGCTCGCAATCTATTGACTTAATATCTGATAATTAGCCCATCAACATTAAAAGCAGCTTGTTTATGAAAGAAGAAAAAGGGTGCCAGTCTCCACAATCTAAATACAGGTTTTCAGGGTGATTATGAGACACTAATTACAAGTTCAAAAAGCATGAAACTATCTATTGAGAACTGGTGTTAATAGCCTATTGACAAGCTGGGAGTGCCTACAGCAGCTGGGTTGGATGAACTTCATACAAAATGTTGCAGTGGAAAATATTTTACAATTTGGAGCAACACAAGAGTGGTTTACAAAAAAAGCAAACACAATCCGTATTCACTGCTAATGAATAGATTGAATCCAGATTCAGATTTTATAAGCCACACATTGATACTTCACGCAGGCTGTCAGCACCTGTTAACACCATTATTATTTTCCCCATTCTTGAAGACCGGACCTTTCTTCAGTCAATCACTGCTACATTAACAATAAATTGTAATTTTTATTTGCAGTTTATCCTTCTTTGGAATCAGAGGAAGATAATCCTGTTTTCAAATCCAGATCCAAAAAGCGGAAAAGTAGTGATGATACGCCATACAGTCCCACAGGTAAATGTCCTCACATGATTCCTTTGAAGAGTTTTCCTAAATGTGTCCTCAAAATACTGATACAGTCACAGACTTGTGAGCAATACTTTTAAACATTAGTAAACATTTAACACTGTTTTGTTTTGGATATTTATGTATCAGAAAATGTATTAGCTAAGATTGTGGACTGTGTTTCGGGATAAGTATTGTATGTACCATGAGGTACTTGAAAACATCCAGCCCTAAGCTGTGTCTTGTGCCCCCAGCTCGTGTAGGACCTTCAGTCCCTAGACAAGAGAGACCAGCCAGGGATGGGGCACGAGTGGCCTCTATAGAAACAGGCTTGGCCGCTGCAGCCGCCAAGCTCTCGCATCAGGTACCAGTGTCATTCTGAAGTTCTAAAATATTTTGGATTGTCTGGCAAATCATTTAATGTGCATTTTGAACAGGAGGAGCAACAAAAAACAAAGAAAAAGAAGAAAAGTACCAAAAAGAAGACATTAGTAATGGAGGATCCCCCAAGACTCTCCCAGGACAGCAGTTCTGATCACAATGCAGACTCTAATGATGGCAACATGTCGGATCAGGAGTTCAGCACTGGGACAGTCAAATCCCCAGGAGGACCCCAGCCCATGGCCCCAGGCGTGTTCCTCAACCAGAGGCGGCCATCTTTGTCCTCACCCAACAACAGCACCCACTCCTCAAGCACCAACAACAGTGGCCTGGCCAAGGGAGAGCGTCCAGCAGCTCCCGACTCCAAAGGTGAGCTCCTTCACTGTTCATTGTTCATATGCTTTTTTCTTTGTGGGCATAGAAAAAATAAAAAACACAATGTGAGATGAATAAACAACTCATGCCAGTGCGTCCTGTAACACTGACCTCGGGCCACTGCAGAGGGGAAGGTGTGGGTCTACAGAAAGAATCTGCAGTGGATATTTCCTGAACAGCACAGCAGTCTGGAGCGGTGTAACAAGCTGTCTCCAAGTAACCGGCTCAAAATATATGTTGCACCTACATTGAATGCAAGTCCTGCCTAGTGGTTGAGGTAAAAAAAAAAAGAAATTAGATACCAAAAAGTTATGTTTACTTCTTACTCCTTTGTAATAATAATGGCTGATTTTATGCAAAATTATGTACTTGTGAATGCATTTAGCTCAAACTGAAAAAGGTTGGTGTAAATACGTTATATTGAGCTGATTAAAATATTTTAAAACTAAATGGAGCTGTTGAACATGATTAGGGGTACTAAGTATTTTGTCGATTTTGTACATGCTCATGCTAATTTATTAACTTTTGGGTTTTTTTTTTGGTTTGTTTGATTTGTATTGACTGTTCTCTCTCTTTTTCTGTTCACAGCAAAGCGGCTAAAGAAAGGCATGGCCACAGCCAAACAGAGACTAGGAAAGATTTTAAAGATTCATCGAAATGGAAAGCTCCTCCTGTAGCATGCAACGGACTGGGTTCACCTCCCAAACTCACCCCTCACCCCTACGCCCTTTTAACCGTATAAGGAAAAAACTGAACCAAGAATAGGAGGAAACGGGGAGAAATCATGCATTTTTTCAATTTATAAGAAGAACATCACTCAAATAGGTTTTTGCCTCCTCTTATACTTTATAACTTTCAAATATAAAAAGTGTACAGAACCTACTATAAATATTTTTTATGAGAACATGTGTCATTTTACTACAGCTGTTTGTTTATCAGGGGTTGCTAAACATGAAGTAGAACTACATTGCAGTCATTCCAAGATTTCTGAAAGTATCCCTTGCATGTATTGAGTTGCATGTCCAGGTTGGGTTTGGGGTTTGCGTTTTGGCTTTAACTGGATGGATGCAGCTCATCATTGCCACATAGGTTATGTCTACACTAATAAGCTACACCACTCTATTGCAGTCTGTCTTATTGTTGATTTTATTATTGGCAAAAACAACACTCACATTAAAATGCACTGACATTAAGACAACAATAAATTTTCTTTAGATTATATTCTTCAAGAGCTTAATAGCGTGGACATCGCCATGTATTTAACTTAAAACTCTGCCGCTCACATTTTACTTAACCCTGTTTATCATTTCTGTGTACTAAAGCAAAGCACTATCAAGAGTAATATTTATTTATTGGTATGGTAGATGGGACTAAGCAGGACTTGGAGGAGTAACTGTAAAGCACAAAGTGAGTGGGGAGCTGGTTTGCATAGGACTGTGGTACATTGGGCTGGCCTCCCTTTAGGCTTGGACTAGTTTCTGTGTTGCCATTGTAATAAAGGGCCCAGTATTTTTTTGTAAAATGTTTGGAAAAATACCATCACAGCAAACCTATACAGTAGACATCTTAAGAAATCAACAAAAAATTGTGTTTTGTTTCATTTTTAAGAGACAATAAGATTTTATTTGTGATGTCAATAACAAATCCAAATCATATTTTATGTGTCATTTAGCACAATATTGCTTGACTTACAACTTACTTGACTTCTAATGCTAGTTACTTTATTTTAATGCTAATTTGAAATTCTGGAAATTGAGAATTGAATCCTGTAAAGTTGTCTTTACGGGTCTCTTTGATAGTTATATGCAAAAATAGCATAGACTGGTCTAAGCTTACCGGGTGGTGCAAGCCCTGCAGTTTGATAATGATAAGCTTCATCCATGTCAGGTATGCCGTTACATGGGGATACTTTCTCTCTTCTGTTGCTTTACCAGGCAGCACAACCACATCTGTGCATTTTCACTACGTTACAGTACAGTGTAGGGAATGTAGCTTGTACATAGCCTTTTCAGTTACTTTTGTATCCCTTCCTCTTATGGTTTAATCCTACATTTTTACTGTTTTTGCTAATTATGAATAAATAAATAAAAATATATAAATATATATGAATATACAGTATCAACTGAGCAAATCTGTTAAGTTTTTTAGTTAGGTTTTACTTAAAAAAAAACTTTTTTCTTAAAGGTGTTGCCTGGAAAACAACTGAAGAAACGTTTTATTTTCATATTGCCTTACATACACATAGCTAATTGTACTGTATTGTGTTTTCGGTTCAAAGGAGAGACAAAGCTTTGAGGAAAATTTATGTAAAAAAGTTTTTAAAAACAAAAAAAAGACAAAAAAAAAAACAACAACACTCACACAACCAACCACAGACACTTAAAAGTTTCTCCAACCAGCCTCTTGTTGGAGCTCTAGTAACCTGAAGGTTTTTGGAATTATTTTACTAGCACCTTGTGAAGTGTTTATGTGTCAGTGATGTAATTTATTAATGTTTGTAGCTTTTTTATACTTGTACAATTCTTAAAGAGTTTTTGGTTTGGAATATTTCATTATCTTGTGAATTTATCCTCAACAGAACTTCTGTTTATTATTCTTATTTTGTTTATTGTGTACTTGAGTGCATTTGGGAGGCATCACAAACATTTTACAGATTTATACCAGCAACATTATTCAAAATAGCAGTTCACTGTGGATGTATTATAAGACCTGTATTTACCTGAATTTAACAGATTTCGGTTCAAATTGTATTCATGACAATTACTTATCATCGACCACATGTTTGAACTGTGTTTCAGTCAGTGTTGCGGAATATCATTAACAGGGCTATGGATTTCTTTCCCCAGAAACTTTGTAATACCATTTATGTCCAGTTTGTGGCAGTTCTTATAATACATCTGCAGAGTATGTACCCTCAGTGTCACCATGGTCTGGCATCACGGTCTACATTTCCACTGTGACATTTCATACATGTTCATCTCTTGGCCTCTGTCCTTGCACTTGTTTTCGGGTGGGACGATTTCATGGGCCGTAGATTTAAGTTCTCACCAAGACCTGGTCAAATACTGGTCAAAAGTGAACATCTTTTCAGGTTTTCTTTCACAGGGTTCCTACACAGTATGTACAAACATGGAATATGGGTTTGGGATATTTTATGTCTGTAAATGTATGGAAAATAATATGAGATATTTTGTTTTTTATTTCTTCAAATTGTATGTTGAAAAATTAATACCTCCAGCCTATCATGTGATAATTATCTTATAGCTAAATTTACCATTTTAAGGAAAATCATCATATTCAGTATTTTAGCAAAGATTCTGCGCTGTGGCAACACCCAGTGAACATTCACTGTATTCTTAACTCATCTTTTCACACTTAAATGTCATATCTTGGCTGAAAAATTAATTGTGATGCCTGCAAAAAGTTGAAATTTTATTTGTAAAAATGTGTAAGAACCCTGTTTGTACATTATGTGTGTTACTTTGTTTTTAAAAATCATTTTATATGTTATCACTGCATCCACTGTCACAGCAGTGAATGATACTTGTTGTAGCCGTCTTCCCTTACTGTTATTTGCAGTACTAGTATTTACAATCCTTTTTGAGCTGAAGCTATATTTTTCTGTATTTAGATGATTCTGTTTGAGGTCATGGCTCACTTTTTTAAGACATGGAGAAATGGAAAATTCCGAGGAACAAACATATTGTTGTTGAATGATATGATTGTCCGCCTTGTTTACTTTTGCAATACAGTTATTGTGGAAAACCTATGATGTGTCACACTTGCATTTTAACTTCTTCCCATTGTCCCGGTTCCAAGTCACTTATGTGTAATATTGATTGACATCCACAAAATCATCTTTAAAGTAGGCCTAAAATATATCTGAAGGAGCAGTCTTTTTTAACCCACTCCCTCAGTTGCATTATGCAGGTGTTGCAATGTTTAGCCAAAGATACAAATGTTCGCAGAGACGAGTAAAAATAGTTTCTCTGTTAACTCAGCTCCCTTTGAGACTTGCGGCTTTAAACGCTATGTCAAGTCAGGGCCACTAGATGGAGATAAAAAACACAACTCAGCCAAAAACGGCACATCTCATAAAGGACTTTTAACTGCTAAATTAAATCAGCCAGCTAAAAGCAATTAAACCACTTACCATTAGCAAACAGTTGGTGAGGGTTTTAAGTTTCTAAAGAGTGGATGTCCTGTAGATAATTTCAGAATAATAATATTTGATAAGGTTTTGTAAGCTAATGGGTGCATGGACCCATGGGGGCCTCGCCCTAGGCTACAGCCTTCACTTCTTGTTTTGATTGTTTTGATTATTTTGATTTATTTATTTATTTTTATTTTTTCATTTGAAATAAATGAAACGAAAATACAAAACTAAAAACAATATAACATAAAATGTAATTACAATAAAATGATCAGTGCACTTACATAAAGGCCCACACGGTGCATTTCTCGGCCAGACAAGACTATTGACTTATGTAGAAGAGGTCAGTCTGGACACTTCGGCGGTGCGTTTTGGAGGTACTCCTCCCGCCTGTGCGTGTGTGCAGGCAAGAGGAGTGCAGCGGCGCGCCTGCAGAGAGGTCGTGACCTCGTTTCCACCCTGGTTAGCTTCAAAGTGAGTTGTTATTGTTACCTAATTGTTAACACAAGAAGCTGAAGTGCGCCGACATCAGCCAATGAAACAATCCCATCATTTGTCCTGCTGCGTGAGGCCTGCGCTGCGCCGGGCCACGGGCCACATTCACACTACGGAGTCTGGGCAGGCCGAACTATGTGCGCCGAACTGATGTAAGTAAATCGACACACACCGGCAAAAAAGAAAGATTTTATACAAAAGTATCATACAAACAGCATCGTGAATTTGGGTAGAATATATTTTACACCTTTACAATATGCAAATCAAGGCGTTGAGCCTGGCATCAGACTAAATTCAATCAAGATTCAAACCACTTGTTATCGATTATTCATGCACAAATTGAGATGGAGCCTTACATGACGGAATGGCAGAATAAAAAGCGGGCATTATACAGCCTATTAGCCTATAGGCCTGCAAAATGGCCTAAGCCTTATAACAGCTGCTTTAGGCCTAAAATGAACAAAGTTAGCCAAGTCTTTATGAAGTTTGTAAAATATAATACATACTTTGTAAAGTTGAAGTTGTGTAGAATCCTAATCAAAACCTGCAATTCCTTTAGACCTAATTTAGGATTCGGAATTGCACATGGCGACAAATAGGCTATCTAAAAATGTCTGATGCAAAAGTGGATCTATAAAAAGGACTGAAATGTTTTATAGTAGTCTTCTTAAAGTCAGGAGCTTTCACTGATGCATAGGCCTAGTGCATTTTTGGAAGAACAAAGGCAGTGTAAGACAAATAACATCAGACCCCACTAATCTCCATTAAAATGCTCTCAGTCAGCCTACTTTTAACAACAGTGCTTATGGACGAGACAATTGACAAAAAAAGTAACTACACATTCAATAAATAGGCCTTCATAAGATAAGCTCATTAAGGCCCAATAGTTGTAGACAGTTTAGGTGCTTTTAAAAAGTATTTAAGGAACCAATTGATGCCTCATGTTTTAAATGAAAAAAACAAAAAACAGACAAACAAAACAAAACAAAAACCAAAAAAACCAACACATATATGCACAGTTTATTTTTTTGTTTTACATTTCAGAATAATATTTTTATCAGAGGGTTGAAACAAGCAAGCATGTTAGCATGAAGCATGTTAGAATAAAAATGTGTAAGTTTGATAGCTTAAAGTTTGGGAATAGCAGAATGTAAAACTTTGCTAAGCTCACAAAGTAGAAAGTAAGATTACTTTTCACAGCAAGATAAGCAACAGTCCAATGCATGAGCATTTAGATAAAAATGAATTTGCTGTTCCTGCATTGCTTTGTGAGTGTGTGCGGCCCCCAAAGGGTAAGTGGGATCACATTTGAGATGTCAGATGGTTCTATCTAGGCCTGCACAGTGTTACAGTATGCACTCAGGGCCACACTGCTTCGTCTACGCGGCACATGTGAGCAGGCTGCCCTCTGGAGCAGGGAAGGGCCCGTCTAGGGGTCCCCAGTGACGGTCCCCTGAGGAGGAGTTGCTACAGAAATTTCCTAGGAATGCATTAGTTTCAAGTCATACTCATGTCGAGCCATAAAAACTCTAAATGTAAAAAAAAAACAACTTACTCTTAAGCATTAAGATAAGTTCATAATAATTTTATTTCTAATGTCTAATACTGCATTACAACACTTTTGCAATTTGATATACCGCTTATGCATGCAGAATACAACTTAAGTATATTTTCAAATTTAAGACAAATAAAAACTGAAATACTGATTTACGCTAATATTCTAGTATTACTTCTCCTATCCTAAACAAGTGTGGCTTCCCAATTATAATATATAATATAATTATGATTGAAAAAAAACATGTGATTAAAGATTAAAAAAAAAAAAAAAAAGGAAAAGCACGATCACACACAGATCTAATGTAGGCCTAAAAAATATTTTAAAATAAACATACTAAAATGTTTCATTACAACTTTAATAATAATAATTATTATACATTTTAAAAGATGCTTGACATAAAAAAATAAATTCAAATGAAAGTGAGTTTCTTAACAGATTATAGAAGTTCTAACAGGTGGGTTTTGAGCAGTTTAACATGGCAAATGTCGCAATTTCTAAAGGGAGGATATTTATAAAGTTGTATTGTCAAACACTCACAACTGCATCACCACCCTAGGTTTAATTCTGACATTTAAAAGACATTTTCACAATACTGAAAATAGTAATCTTGTGTTACCCACCTCACCCTACTGCCCTTGTTTATCTGTGTTTAGAATTTACTACAAAGAAAGTGCCTTAAAAGCTCCGTACTTATTCCAAATGAGAGATGGAGTGTGCCTTAAAATAGCTGTGATCCTGCAGAGTTAGTCTTTAGTAGCACACATTGTTTTAGCAGCTCCCCTCGCTCTGTAATCAGTTGCCACATGAATCAGGCCCTCGCTGTGTAAATGCCCATAAATCATGTCATATGGTGCACAAATATGGTAATGTGTGCAAACATCTCCCATCACCAAAACACTGCACTCTCTCCACTTCTCCTCAATGTTTGGGTTATGTTTTTGTATGTTGCACTTTTCATCAGATATCACAGAGATACCAGGGCTTAAATCCACACCAAATAAATCAATTAAACCATTTATTTTGTCTTATCTGTAGGTTGCAATTTTGTATAATTCTATGGTATTTTAGATTTCAATCCCAAATACTAGTACCACCTCACCCAATTGAAGTCACACCAATCATGCATATGAAACCTTTGATGCCCTCCATGATAAAAAGGAGTAGTTTTGACAAAAAAAAAATCAACTTGTAAATGTGAAGAGTTAAACAGACAACCTGCAATCAGGGCATTTGGTAATCTGTTCATTTATCTTGTAAATAAACACCCATATGCCATTACAATCATTGATATACATTTTATTTAGTATTTTTCAAACAACTTGAGGGCTGACTCTGTCTTTTTCAGTTTTTTGCGTGTAGTTGACACATTCATGACTGAACACATTCATAACAACTGATGGAGCAGAAGCAGGACTCATCTAGAAATATTTATGTTTCATGTTTGTTTCAATGTAGAAAGAATAATCAGAAATAGATAAATAAATGGCGTTTAAGAAGACAGTTGTTTCAGGCTTGCAGAATTGTGCACATGTGGAATAGCCCTCCAGATGTGTCACGTTCCTCCCTGAGATGTGCTCAGTTTGGGATATAGTGTACATCTTTGTGTTACAGCTGAAGGTTTAGCTCTTGTCACACACCACTGCTGCCCTATCTGCTACCACTTATCCAGAAACGCAATAGATTTAGTCGTAATTACTTAAAATTCTGCCGTGCTTGTAAATACTAGCATCCTGACAGTTCATTTGTTTGGTTTGATTGCTGCGGAGTGGACTATTTATAGTTGTGGGCTGTTTGCATGCAGATTCCATGTGTCATCTCCATTGGGTAGTGAGAGCAGAATTATGGTGGTGATTATGGCCTGGCTAGAAGATGTTTATATACTCTTTGGGGTGGAGGAGAATGGGGCTGTAATTGACATGCATTGAAGATTAAGAAGCGCTCTCTCTGCCAGCTCTGAGTGTGTGGGAGACAGAGAACAAAAAGTTAAAATATTATTATAGTTTTGATCTAAGGCATTTCTCATGGGTAAAATAACATACCAGGATTCATAAGTGGAAACAATGCACTTTTATGATAAAACAAAACATGCATGATAAATAGGCTACTGTATTTAAACTTTGTTGTGGTGAGCCAACATGTGCCCACAATTATGGACATTGTTAGTGCTTAGTGTATTTGCTGTCTACATACAGCTGCACAGTGCCAAACCTACTAAAGCCCAGAATGAGTTCAATTATTGAGATTAACTCAAATAAAATAAATAAACTATCATACATTTTAGTACAAACCTGCATATATTAGTCCACTAGATACATTTCACTGTGGTATAGATTTTATCAGGTAAAATGTATGGAAAAATTATTCTCATTGACAAGCCTGTCTTTGCCATGACCTGTGTAAGATCCATAATACTTGTAATTATTATTATTCAATAATTGTAACCTTTTTTATAGTATATTGTGCACAAGACATTGCAGATCTACTTTTACACCATAAAGTAAATTCTACTGGGTTGACAGGACCCTTTTAACCTTCTAAGACCCGAACTCTTGAATGGCATGCT